TACTGGCTGCTAATTTACCTGAGATATCAAGGACGGGATAATTATACGTGCGCCACAATTAGGAGATGCCATTATCGTTCGAACAGCTATGATGTGGAGTGCCAAAGCACCTGGCTAATCCATATGTTTTGTCCTTCAGCCAACTACATTTGTGCCTTTAAATCTCTAACGACTCGACCTATGACCATCCGGTGGTCTGGCTGCGCCCCAATCACACCCTGTCCATCCCGGCGGTCACGTCGCTAAAATTGAAAGCCACCTTCCCGACCGCTTGTCCGGCGGCCAGGAGCTTCCGCAATTCTGCGCTCACACCGGCTTTGTTCGACACACGTCCATTATCGGCCTCCGATCGTTTGTCTTGTGTGCCGGGAATGGCGCGGTCCAGCGCGTTCGGAGCGGCCCGCCACGCCACCGGCTGAGCCCGGCCGGCAGCGGCTTACTGCCTCCGCCGCCGCCGCCGCCGCCGCCGCTGCTGCTGCTGCTGCTGCCAGATGCTCTCCGGAGCTGCCCTGTGCCGGGCCGCGGCCCGCCGCACGGCTCGGTGACCAGAAGGTCAGCTGCCGCCTGGCGGGCGGAGCGGGAAGTGTTCGGCGTTGATGGGCACCAGCTGAAGAAAGTCGAAGGGATTGTTGAGATAATGGTTACTTGAAAAGGGCGGCGTCGGCCAAGAGTGGGGATGACGGTAGCAGTGCTCGTTTTTTGGTGAGGAGTCGACATTTCCGCCCGCATTTTCAACCTTCACTTCGATTGCTTCATGTGTGAAGACTTGGCGCATCACGGTGTTTTTCTTGTAACTTTATGGGACAAACGTCTCTAATAATCGCCGTCAGCTTCCTCTGTCACCGCGCGTTCGGCGTATTCCAGCGACAAGGCGCGTTAGGATTACGACATCTGGACGCAACCTGAACGTTTCTCCGGATCCGTCATCGCTGAGCACCGTAACGATTCCATCCGCTGTTACGGGAAACGGCCGGTCTCTCAGGGAAGTAACAGAGACCCTTTCACCGAAATGCGGTAAAGATGGCGAGATCAAGCAGTCGATGATATCCAAAAAACGACAAATGTGGCTATATTAGCCAAAATGGCTGACAGGCGTCAGCCCGTTAGCCTTTATCGATGACTGGTATGCGATAAAGGCTATGCGTGCTTCAGGAAATGTCTTATTTGTATGATAAGCATGACTGTTCTTCTTTCTCATCGTGTAGCCATGCGTAGTGCATCTAACCCCGTATGTGCTCAGGACACGCCTAGCGCAAGTGCTGAAATCTTAAGCAGGCACAATATTTGCAAATATCTGGTCATCATGACGGAGTCGGTGTTTCGTTTCGTCCTCTATTGCATACAGTTCGGCGAGCCTGTTCAGTTCGCCATTGAATCGCACCTTGGCCTGATTCACCACACAGTCCGGTAACTTCCGGCTGTAGTCACTCCCTTCTCCGGCGGCTCCTGGCTCGGCTCGCTCCCGACTTCAGTCACCCCGGCATCCGGAGCTCCCAGCCCGCTCTCTCCCTCTCCGTCGGCCGCCAGCTCCGCTCGCTCCCTCTCCGTCGGCCGCCAGCTCCGCTCGTTCCCCCTCCGTCGGCCGCCAGCTCCGCTCTCTCCCCCTCCGTCGGCCGCCGGCTCCGCTCGCTCCCTCTCCGTCGGCCGCCGGCTCCGGTCGCTCCCGACTTCCGTGACCCCGGCATCCGGAGCTCCCAGCTCCGCTCTCTCCCCCTCCGTCGGCCGCCGGCTCCGCTCGCTCCCGACTTCCGTCACCTCGGCATCCGGAGCTCCCAGCTCCGCTCTCTCCCCCTCCGTCGGCCGCCAGCTCCGCTCTCTCCCCCTCCGTCGGCCGCCAGCTCCGCTCGTTCCCCCTCCGTCGGCCGCCAGCTCCGCTCGCTCCCTCTCCGTCGGCCGCCAGCTCCGCTCGTTCCCCCTCCGTCGGCGGCCAGCTCCGCTCGTTCCCCCTCCGTCGGCCGCCAGCTCCGCTCGTTCCCCCTCCATCGGCGGCCAGCTCCGCTCGCTCCCTCTCCGTCGGCCGCCGGCTCCGCTCGTTCCCCCTCCGTCGGCGGCCAGCTCCGCTCGTTCCCCCTCCGTCGGTCGCCAGCTCCGCTCTCTCCCTCTCCGTCGGCCGTCAGCTCCGGTCGCTCGCCCCGTCGTCGCTCGGTCTGCCGCTCCGGTCGACCACCCTGGCCGCCGTCGGCATCTGTCGCCGCATCTCCGGCCGGCTGGACCGCGTCCAATCGTGCGCCGGCCGCCGCGCCGCCGCCGCGCCGCGCCGCCGGCACCGGCCGCCGCGCGGCCGCCCTCTGGGAAATGGAGCATCTCGCGGCGGCGCGCGGCGCGGTTCGATGACCGCCGGGTGTCGCGCCGCGTCGGCCGGCGCTCTGTGGCGGCGGCGCCGGCCGGCCGCAGATGAATCGGGCCCTCTGATGACGGTCGTCCGGGCGGTGATCGCCGCTGCTCGGCTGACAGTGCGGGCCCGGCGAGGCGCGGACCCTAACGGGCCCGGACGATTGCTGCATTCACCGGCCTGCAGACAGCTGGCTGCGGCCGCTGGCAGCCGGGAATCCGCACCATTGGCGGACAGCGTGGCGCCGAGCGCTGTCCTTTGGGGAGACTCTGGAGGCCAGCACACATGTCGTTTTTGGAGGAGGCGGCGCTGTCATGCCTCTTCCGTCTCATTAGGAGGGCATGGGTGGCAGACGAAGACAGATTGTTTTTGCTCTACAGCGGGTGGAGTATTGTTTATACCAGGCATGGAAGCTTGTAGACCAAATGCCTTCCGATTAATGGCTGGATGACCGCGCACAATACTGTCACTAGCGATGCCTGGTTCGTTTTGGTGCGAATTGTGCCTTGGTGTGGGCAGATAGATATTCGTCCAACACCTCACGGCAGTCGTTGCCTTTGTCTGATACAAGATTGAATCGGTTTCGTTCAAAATAGGTCAATAAATGAGTTTATGATGACTACGTCAGATGGGACAGCCCTATTCTGACATTTCGATGATATGCGGTGGTTGTTGGCCTCGCTCTAAAGGACCCGCCAGCTATGGCCTGGCTGCTGCGTTTGCTGTGTGCGTGTGTTTCACACCCAAATGCCTATTTAATCATTTACTAGTCATAATTACGACTTGATGGCTAATTTAGAGGCTGCGTGTTTAGCCAGCGAGCGGTGATTAAGACGGGTGCTCTCTCTCCGTTTGCAGCAGGCGATGCGCGCCCGGCAGCGGGTGGCCGACCGGCCCGATGACGGCGAGGTCGACTCGCGGCCCGCCGAGCCTGTCAAGCTCTCATCGAGCTTCAAGCAGAACCTCTCCTTCTTCCAAAAGGCGGCGCACAACCTGGGCCGCGCCGCGGCGCCGCCGGCTCGAGCGCGCCCCTCGCCGCGGCGCAGCAGCGTCGGCTCCGACGGCAGCTCGGCCGCTTCAGCGGACAGCGTCGCCGACGACGAGAACTTCGAGTCGGTGCTCTTCGTCAACGGCCGGCCTCGCTACGTGACGTCAGAGGCGGGCGGCGCGCCGATTGGTGCGGCGCCGGCGGCTGCGGAGGCCGGCGCACCGGACGCCGCGCCGCCAGAGTCGGGCGGCGGCGCGCGCAGCGAGAGGGCGGCACAGAAGGTGCGCATCGGAGGCACGGCGGCCGAGAGGATCCGCGCCGGTGCCAGGAGCGCGACCAGCAGGAGCCCGGCGCGGCCCGGGTCGGAGCAGGCGCAGCCGGCGCCGACCGCCACACGAGACAAGGCCGCCGCCAGGGACGCCGGGACCGCCGGCTCCCGCGAGAAGACCCCCTCTTCCGGAGCGCGGGAGAAGACCGCCTCTGGTTCGCGGGACAAAGCCGGCGGCGGCTCTTCCAAGCGCGAGAGGGTCTCTTCCGGCGTGTCGTCCAGTGCGCAGGACAAGACGCCATCCAGGCGCGAGAGGACCAGCGAGTCCTCCGGCACCAAGGAGAAGACATCCCCTGCGGGCTCAGGTCGGCGGGACTCGACCCCGGACTCCGGGCGGGACTCCGGGCGGGACTCCGGGCGGGACGCGGGTCGGGACAGGGCCGAGCGGGACGCCGGCCACGCCGAGGACGTGCAGCCGCCGCGTCGCAAGCCCTACATCCGCTTCAGCTCGGTCGAGGACCACCTGAGCCACGATGACCTGACGTACTTCAAGCAGACGATCGGGATCCTACCGGGCGGCGGCGCCATCACGCGCACGCAGAGCTGCCACGACGGCCTGAACGCGCCGCCCAGGCCGGCGCCGGTGTCGCGCACGCTCAGCTTCAGCTCGCTGGCCGACGTGGGAGGCGAGTCGCGCTCGCTGAGCGGCAGCCGCACCAGCCTGCGCCGCGTCCCCTCCGTCGAGGAGATCCTCGAGTCGGTCAAGGCGCTGCGCGCGCGGCGCCAGCAGGACGGCATGGTGCGCAACACAGAGCCCGAGGCGGAGTACCAGAACGTGGGCGGGCTGAGCGGCGGCGGCCAAAAGTCGCGCGCCAAGGGCCGGCCGACGCCGTGGAGCGGCGTCAAATTCAGCGGGCCGGTGCGCGCCGCCGACGCCGACGAGGGCTACGAGCTGATGCCCGACGACGCCTGCTACGAGAACGTGGCGCCCGGCCAGGCCGTCTACCAAAACGCGCCGCTCAAGTCGGAGGTCATCTACGACCAGCCGGTGAAGCAGCGTCGGAAGCGACGCAGTAAGGCGCCCGAGGAGCCGCAGCAGCTGTACGAGAACGTGCAGTTCAGCGAGCCGGCCGGCGGCGAGTACCAGAACGTGGCGCCGCAGCCGACGTACACCAACCTGCCCGAGCCCGACACCGTGTACGAGAACGTGGAGAAGGGCGCCGTGTCGGTCACTGGTAATGGCCTGCTTGCGTCCGGCCAGTACGACGTGCCCCGCACCGCCTCTCACATCTACGACGCGCCGCAGCGCACGCGCGTCAAGCACGTGCCGCCGGCTGAGGCGGGCGAGTACGACGCGCCGCGGCCGACGTACGCCGCCGCCGGGCGCGCTGAGGAGGCGCCGTCGTCGGCCCGCTCCACCAGCATCGTGGTGAAGGGTGATGCGGCGCGCGGCCCGGCCGTCGACCCGGCCGCCGACTGCGACCGAGACTCGCTGGAAGGCGAGGCCAGCCGCCGCCCGGACATCCCCTCACCAGGTGGGTCGCGTGGCGCCGTCACCCGTGACATCTGCCGTGGCTCTTCCGTGACATCTTACATGATGTCTTCCGTGACGTCTTCCGTGATGTCTTCCGTGATGTCTTCCGTGTCCGGGTGACGCCTGCTGAGAGGTACGATGTCTGCTGTGATGACGCTGTCTGTTGTGGCGTTGTCCGTTGTGTCTGATGTCTGCTGTGAGAGCGCTGTCTGTTGTGGCGTTGTCTGCTGTGTCTGATGTCTGCTGTGGCATATTCCTGGCTGCGGCGGTCGGTTTGCCGTCCGCTGCAGACGACGCCCGCCGTCTGCTGTCCGTATAGCGTCTTGTGTGTATTGTCTGCTGTCTGTAGATGTGGTCCGAAGTCAATATTTTGTCTAACGTCTGTACGACGCCCGGATGCAGGTGTGCCGTCGACTGTAGACCGTGCCACTGGCTGTCCATGTGACGCCGCCCGTCTTATGGACACAAACCGTGACATCTGGTGACGCCTGCTGCGATGTTCGCTGTCGGCGTGACGTCGTCTGTCACCTCATACCGTCACGCCGTCGCGTGTCTGTCGGGGCGTGGTGATGAGGATCGCGCCGTGCTGTCCGCTTGCGTCACGTGAGAAGGCAGGGGGGGAGGGGGCGCCCGACACCTCACGCACGAGACGGACTGAAGCCGCCGGCTGGACGAGACCCGCGGGCGCGGTTGAGGCCTCGGCTGACCCACGTACGCTGTGTGGGATGCATCAGACTTGGCTTAAGAGATGGCGCACCGCAGCTCCGCGACACGCGTGTCATTCACATGGCTCGTCGATGACGGCCAGCTTGCCGACCGGCTACGTAACGGGCGGCCACGCGCCAGAGGCCGCGCTCTGCGTGCCGGAGTCGGCGAAATTGGCCAACTGTTTCGGCTGTAACGGTGTGCGGCAGATCGGCCGCTGTGATTTATTGATAAGCAGCTGGCGGTGGCAGACGCACCAGCCGAGTCGGACCACCGATACCGCAACTGGATCACACCGCTGAGTCAGCGGAACAAATGAAGCATCAAACGTTAGGTCGGCTGCTATTCACCAAATGAAAGTTCATGCTGGATTGGCAGCTTTGGTACACTCAGGTGAACGCGCGTTTCAGTGGTCTTATGTTGTATGTGTGCTTATAGGCGTATCGATTTGATGCGTATACACATATATACACGCGTTAAATGAAGCACTATTAAAGTCGCACTACGACTCCGCTTGCTTATTCTCTCAAGGAACTTGAGGCAACAAGATGGACGGAAGTGCCATGCTCGACATGCCTGGATAATACCCAGCTCCGTTGTGAACCGGTCTTCCCTGAGAATCACCTTCACATTACGACAGCAGAGCTTATGATCACCGGGATAGCTTAGGACAGGTCAACTGCGTTTAAATGAGCGTAATGTGTACTGTCTGCCTGCAGGATGTCTCCTCCACTCTCACCGTCCTGGGGCTGAGCACTGACTCGGCACCATCCGGATGGGTTGTTCAGATTGCTTTGAAAGACCCCCGCACTTTTTTTTCGTAACCCCCAGCTTGCAAAGCAGCTGAGTCAAAAAGTGACAGTTCTTCGTTGAAGAGCCACTTGTGGATGGAATAACGGGTCTAGACTTCCTCTCCATAAGCTGTTACGCAGTTGTGCCGCCCGTGTCTGTTTTGATCGGCGTGCGTCCGTGCCGGTGTCACACCTCAGCACGGCTACCGTCCAGGCTTGCCTGGACGGTAGCCGTGCTAACCGGGCCCGTCTGTTCTGTCCTCCCGTCACGATCGGGCCTGGTCTCACCTGCCACGTCAGGTCATCACAGAGTGCCTCGGCCAGACGCCCACCTGAACCACTAGGTGCTTGTGTGTTATCCGGCTGCAGCGTCCTGGCCCGAGGTCATCCTCAGACGTCTCCGCCAGAGACGCACATGATGGAGGGCTTTTATCGGGCTTCATCCTTAATGGCCGGCTGGGCCGTTAGTCCTGCCGAGCTGCCTCCTCGCGGCGGCCTGTCCTCCTGTCCTCCCTATAACGTCACACCGGCCGTCAGCCGGCCAATGGGCGTGCCGGGTCGGCGCCGGCCGTGTCCCGTAGGCCGCTGCGTCTGCCGGCCCGCCGGCTGTTCCGGGTGTGCGGTACGGCCGCCGCCCGGCCCCGTCCGTTAGGGGGCGGCTGGTGCGGCTCTGACCTGCACCGAGAGCATCAGGAGCACCTGGCAGCTGCCCGCAGCTGCTGCGGCCGGCAGCGCCGCAGGCCGGCACGTCACGTGACCTCGGTCCGGGCCCTGTGTTGTAGCTGTCCGCAGCTGCTGCGGCCGGCAGCGCCGCAGGCCGGCATGTCACGTGACCTCGGTCCGGGCCCTGTGTTGTTGGCTGTGTGTGGTGTGGACGCGTATGTACGTGCGTCGCCTCTCTGTTTGCGTGCGTGCGTAACATAACCTACGTGCGTGCGCCGTGCGCGAGAACCTGGACTGGTCTGCGTAGTGGTGCGTGCGCATGTGTTATGGCGTTGTTTTAGTGTATGGGGGTCACGCACGCTTCATCGTATCTAATCGCATGCACCTCACTCGTGTGTGTGAGGCTACGCTCTTTTTCGAATAAGTTTTCATGTCGTGGGCATGGAGCAGCAACGGGCTGTTTTGTGCGGGCCTGGCCTTCCGCTGAAGCGGTGCAGACTCACAGATGGTCCCCGTTTTCACACGGAGAACGCTTCTTGTGCTTTCGCCACAGAGATATTCGCCCCTAATTGTCGTGAAATTGTGTCGCACCACCTGTTCCGTCGCCCATCATAGCCCGGAGGAATAGGGTCTGAACTTGGGGGCGACAGCGTTATCAGCTGGTGATACATTACAGCTCGCTTTCATTTCTCTGGGGACATAATGAGTAGCTCTGATGTATGCATATACAAATAGTAACGAATTATTCTGGTATGACCACCGGCGTACCTTATTGGACGACCGTGTACAGGTTGCATAATACTGGACACGGGCCAATACAATGTTATTGTTTCCTGCAGAGTCTGATAACGAAATGTAACCATGCATATGAAAAGCATCCGGTCAGGCTCCCATCCCACCTGTTAGGCGTCCCATATTCCAGACGAGGAGGAGAAAATTTTACCCCTGTACTGACTGAAGGGTTGTGTCACGACTCTGCATGACATGCTACAATCCCCAATGCTACAATCCCCAGTGCTACCAGACTGACGTCAAATGCCCACACAGCCCGCGCCAATGCGGCCGATGGCAGTGTCACTGCCCGCACGAGAAGCCACGCTAGACGCATAGGACACCCTAATCCCAACGCCATTCCAGTAAACCTTCGATGCGGCCAAATGAGGGCTACACAACTACTGCATTAGCTCATCACTAAGGCATACCGCACATTTTGCATTCTTTAGAGCAGCCGTCTTGTGCAAGTGTGCGAACGTGCTCGGTGGATCGTAACGTGAGGTCGGTCCGTGTGCTGCAGACTACGGCAGCGACGCCGAGGACGTGGACGGCATCCCCAACGACTACATCGGCGACGACCAGCTGGACGAGGGCCTGGGCGAGTCGGACGCGCGCAGCTACTACAACGAGGACCCGGGTAAGCGCGCCGACTGGTGCCGGACGCGCCCAAGGGTCACTGCGCCCGCTGGTGAAACTCACTGGGTGCAGGTGAAATCGCCGAGTCCTTTGTCAAGTCTGATGCCTGCTAGGCTGCCGCTGCCGCCGGATCTGTCTGGATTTGATGGAGATTGGCCGTAAGCCCTGGTTTTCCGCCGTCGTGGGTTGATGGTAAATTATCGGCATAAAAAACTTCAAAACCGACTTGATTTAATCTGACCCCATCCGACCTTATTTTTGTCTGATCTGGCACGACACTACCTGATCAGACCTGAATTGATCCTATCTGAACCCGATTCATGCCGATCTGAGTGAAGAAGACCGTGCCTGCATCGTCATATTTCTGAAGTCATTCCATTCCACTCCATCCAAAAGACTCCGTATTGCACGGGCCTATGTGACCCCACGCAGCCTGATCTGACCTCCTGCCGACGGTGGCTGCGTCGCCGGCTGGTGAGCGGCCTCAGTTCCGGCGGGGCGTGCGGGACGCCGCAGCGGGCGTGTCGGACCGCTGCGCCGCCGCGCCGCCGCGGCCCGCCGCTCGTGCGGCGCAGTCCGCTGCTCCGCCCGCCGCCGCCGGCTCTAGCCTGTCAACAACAGCCTTCCTGGTCCCCCTCCCCCATTCCCACCCATCCCGGACCTGGCCGAGCGGAGGAAGCGTCAGGTCTTTCTGCTCAGGTGCTCTCAGCAAGTTGTTCGGTCTCTCCGAGTGCAGATCCTCTGAACGGACTGTGTTGCTCCCGGTTTCGTCATCGAGACCCAAACCAATGCAACAAAAGGTGTGCCCCGTCAGTTCAGCTCCACCTGCGCGGCAGTCCGTGTGCAGCTGGCTGCTGTGTTATCTGAGCACACCGCAGCCCGGGCCTGTGGGGGATTTGTTTGCTCTGCGTCGCCACCGGGAGGCGTCGCGCGCATTTATGGCACCGCTATCAAGGTGGCAGAAACCGACAGTCACGCCGCGCGAATCGCTGCGATGACTGGCAGATGGGGCTCGGAGCCTCGCCTCCGTCTCCGTAACTGTGCCGAGTGTTTTCAAACCAACTGAAGGGAGAAGGGCGCACGTGCTGTAACCGACTGATGAAGGGATAGGAGCGCACGTGCTGTATGCAAGGCAGTCATGCATGCAGGGCTCGGGCAGTAAAATGCACTTGTTCTGTGCGCAGTACCGGGCTTTGGCCAGCAGGGGCACATGCCACATCGCCAGAGCGGGGTTTGTCGTTCTTGCCACGGGTCAGTGCCCAGTAACGTTTTGCCTATTGATCCGATCAGATGATTCACCGACGTCGTGTGACCACAGGGCCAGAACGTCCGACCAGGACATCGCCTGGGTATCTTTGCCTGACATTCCCTTCTCGTGAGGTCTGTCAGACCAAACGCAATATCAACAATATCAACAATATCTCACGAGCGCGTTGTCTACGGCCAGTCTCTTCTATATCCCGCGACCATACCCTGTAACCAACCTTTAAACCCTGCAACCAACCCATAGAAAGAACTCTGGATTCGCAGTTCTTTGTTCGGCCAACTTCTCCCGGCCTTGCAGTGACTCCCGGTCGGGCGCCCTGCCCGCGGCCGCGCTGACCATCATGTTAAGTGGAGCGGAAAAAACGGCCGACCCGACATGACCAAGTCGGCGGCAGATGGGAGTCGGCCCACGCCGCCGCGTCGCGGTCAGATCGCGAACGCGGCGGTCAGGCGGCGGTCAGATCGCGAACGCAGCGGTCGCGCTGCCCCACTGCGCAGCTAACTGTCGCCGCGGACGTGACCGGCGCGGGGCCGCGCCGCCGCTCCGCCAACTGGCCTTCATGTGACGGGACGACACGGCGGCGGCGGCGACAGTCACGTGACGTCACGTGACCTGTGACGGTCCTGTGACCTGAGACGCGCTGCCGCCGAGCGTCGAGTGACGACTTTGACGACGACGATGGTTGGTGTGGCGTCCGTGGCCATGCCGTGACTAGCGCCCCGCGCAGCCGAGCGTCTCGTGAGTACTGTTTACCCCGTCGCTGAGCGTCACGCAATCACCGCAGGCCTGGAGGTGATCCTCGAGGAGCCGGAGGACGAGTACGTGACGTCATCAGAGGAGGAGGAGGAGCCGGCGCAGCGCAGGTCGCTCCGCTCGCTGGAGGGCTCGGAGGGCATCGGGTCCGCCGAGGGTGACTCCGGCTCCAACGCGTCCGTCGAGTCCAGCAGCGGAGTCCACAGTGCAGGTGAGGACGCGCCGGCCGGCTCGAGGGAGGGGGGGGGGGGGGGGCACGCCGCTGTGGCGGAGGCCTCTGCTGCCCTGGTGTTACTCAGTCGGCTCCGCCCCGCAGCAACTGCCGACGCCTCAATGCCTTGTTAGGTCCTTATTTACTTGCTCGCCTAGCAGATGCTCACGGCCCATCTGTCGGTGATTAAGACCGAGTTTACGCTCCGATGGGTTGGTCCTGCGGTCCTTTTTTATCTACAAAGTTATCTTTTCTTGTTTCTCTCGCATTTCTTCAAACATTTTCGTGCGACATCGATCACGCCCAAACCCGGGGCAGGCAAAATCCTTCACGGCTAGACAGTAGACACCTAATCGAATGAACTGTAGCATGAAACCACAAAGCTAACGTCACGGACACAGCTTTACGAAATGACTGAGACGATGTCATTCCGTCCGTAACGTGACGGGGTGCCGGCACGCGCCGCGAGTGCGAGAAAACACCCGGGCTCGTGGTTTCGCAACAGAACCTGGCCGGACCATGACATGCAAAGAAAACAACAGACTCAACCTGGCGTCATGTCACACGAACTTAAGGACCAGAGCACAAACCAGTGTAACACTGCCACATCACCTGCGACGTGCTATCGTGAGGGCAACTGCCGCATCAAACAGCGGAGAGCGGCGGGGCTTCTCCGCCGGCTGTGTGGCCCCCTCCCCCCCCCCCCCCCCCCCGATACGCCACCGCGAGACAGCGCCGTGACGGTTTACAACGGACCGGAGCAGTTTCACCGGGCACAGGCGCGCTCCATCACTGCCAGGCCGGGCCAGCGGCAGCCAGTCGGCGCGCGCGCTCGGACGCGCCGCGTTCGTCGCACTTTCACGGCGCACGGGCGCGCAGTGATCCGCAGTCGGGCGGCGCACCGCGCTGCGGGCCCCGGCCGGCGAGCTGGAGCGGCCTGGTGCTGGCCACACGGTGGACTGGTCCGGTCTGGTGCTGGCCACACGGCGGGCTGGTTCGGTCTGGGGCTGGCCGCCCGGCGGGCATCTCCGGGGCTGATCTGATGGGTACTTGGAGGAATAGATGCCGTTCAGGACCGTCGTGCCGTGGACCACAACGCCTTGAAAATTATACGGATGACAAGCTATCGGAGTTTACCCTCATATGTAAGGGGATACGACCCATATGACAGACCACATCCGTCTCTGAGTACGCTGCTCGAGCGCCACACGGGGATACATATAACATGAAGGCGAATTTGGAAGCCGGACAAAACCGTTATCACAGCTGTCAACAGGTCTTGACAATCTCTTCTTGCTTCTGCTCGATACCGTTTTTACCAACATCTACGTATTACATTCACGCTGCCGTACTAACCCCACCATCTTTGCGCTTGCATTGCCAATAAACGCACGTAAGCCCGCCGGCTGGGCTGCATTCCACCAGTGGTGGCGTGCGTGGTCCGATGCTGGTCCCTCAACTTCCCCCATACGGCACTCACTACTCAGAGGTTCTTGCTGTCGTATGGGGCTACGATCAAGGGCGTCTCATCAGGGATGGCCGCTGCTGTCAGCAGCAGAGGCCCTCAGCAGGTCGGCGGGTCAGAGGGCCAGGACCCTCTGAGATCCTCGCCGCTGCTAAAGGACTCTGGCTGGCTACCAGCCAGCTTCCTGTCCGTCCCCGGTCCATACCACGGGCAGTTGAAGTGTTTAGAGGATCAGTGTGAGTAGACAGTCCTGGGAAATTCTGTCAGCGATGACAGACACCAGGCAGGCCATAAGGCTGTAGGCGATTTTCTCGGTAGTGCGTCTCAGGTGCGTCTCAGTACGCCCGGCAGTGGTTTCAGTAGTGCGCAGGTGGCGAACAGCGTGCAGCCCCCTTCGGTGACGACTCTGTCGTCGGCAGCCAGCCCCGATGAGCCGCCAGTGCTCGCCGGGCGCTCCCTGCGGGGTGGGCTTGATCTCCCCGGGGCCTGTCACACGAGCGGGCCCGCCGCCCCCGGCCCGGCCGGCAGCCGTGACGCTCGGCCGGCGGGCAGCCCGAGGTCGGCAGCGGGCCGCGCCGTGACCGCCGCCGGACACCGTGACCGCCGCTGGACACCGCGGCCTCGTTGCTCAGTCGCTGTGTCGGCTGACGGACAAGCCGGCGGCGGCAGCGGCGGCGCCGCTCGGCCCGTCTAACGGAGCGCGGGCCCGCACGCCGGCGCTGGCCTGATTAGGCGGCAGTCGTCGACGCCTCGCCGGCCTGCCTCCGGGCCGGGGTGTGACCGGCGGGGACAAGACAACAGGCCGCCTGGGACCGTCACCGATGGGTGACCGATCAGCCGAGGTGATTAGCCCAGACGGCCAGCAGGGCTGACCGTGCTGGGCCTCGCTCCGAGCTCCGAGCCAACAAACGCCCTGACAATGTGTGACCTCCGCTGGCGAGTAGCCGCTCGCAATGGCTTGGTGATTTGCCGTGTCTAATGGCGCCAACGGCTCGTTATGCAGGAAGGCTATGATGCGTGCAATGATAAGCCGCGCAAGCTACATAATTGACTAAATGAATGCAAGATTTTCGCAGAAGGATGCATTGTTGCATGCTGTTGCTATTGCGTACGGTATTTTGCAACGGCAAAGGCTTGTTGCATATCATGGCTATCGGCACGCTCTGCGATACTCGGAACTTCAATTTCCTGTATGAGTGAAGGTAGTGTGAACTGCGACGCACGCAGCCGCCGACGTAGGCGATGCGACACCGGACGGGTATTAATGAACGCACTTCCTAGTGAGGCGAGGCACTTCCTAGTGAGGACACGTTGTGTGTGAAACCCTAAAAGCAGTAATCGAATCCGGGCGGCATCATTGCGGCAAGGATACACCCTAATGCAATCGTGACACCGTACCCAATTTTCTCTTTATTCTGCAAATGTTCCTTGCCTTTGATCCTACCGAAGAACGCCCGCTTGCGCTAGCAGTCAGGGTGGCAGTGCTCCTCGAGATTTGCTTTAACGCTAAGCCGCGCCAGTGTTCCGTTCCCCAGACGCTAATCCTAGCCCAACATCCAAGCTGCGCTGACGTCTCCTTGCACGTGCCGCTCCTCTCAGTGCTGTCGCGTAGCGGCGGTGGCTGGCCATCCGTTGACCAATCTCGCGTCGATGCGGCCCGTCTCCGGTGCGGCACGTGTGGCCCGTCTCTGATACGACCCGTCCCCGATGCGGCCCGTCTCCGGTGCGGCCCGTCTCCGGTACGGCACGTGCGGCCCGTCCCCGGTGCGGCACGTGCGGCCCGTCTCTAGAGCGGCGCGTCTTCGATGCGGCACGACCGCGTGCCGCCGGCCGCGGTTCAGTGGACTGGCGTGTCCACGCTCTCCACGCAGCGGGCTGGCCATATGTCGCCGGCCGCCGGCCCGCTCCCACAGTATGTCCGGCCCACACTTCCTGGTGCTGCGCCGGCTCCTGCGCCCGGCGGACAGGCGGGACAGGCAGGTGCCGGTGGCCAGCCAGGGCTAGCAAGCACGGCAGCCAGCCGGGGCTAGCAGGTCCCGGCAGCCGGCCAGGGCTAGCAGGCCCGGCAGCCAGCCAGGGCTAGCAGGCGCCGGCGGCCAGCCAGTGCTAGCAGATCCCAGCTGCCAGCCAGGGGTAGCAGATCCCGGCAGCCAGCTAGAGATAACAGGTCCCGGCAGCCAGCCAAGACTCGTATGCTCCGGCAGGCGGCCGAGCGTATACAAGGCTATTTATTTAATGGTGTTTCATTTGTTCGGCTTACCACGCGCCGGAAACATGTTTTTAAGCGAAGCTCTTTTACATTTAGTTACAGTTAATTTTTATCCTGATTTTATCGAATAGCAGTAGGTACGGGCCATTTCTGGGCTCCTGCAGCGTTGACTCACTTCATCCGGTAAACATGGGTGCCCTGCTCCGGCGCTTAAGGAAATTGGGGTAAGCCACCCTACTCGTTTCGAACACAGAATGTTTTCCGCTGTCCTGGTAGCCTGTGGCTTAAAAGGCTTAGTTGGGTCCATGTGGAGCGACCCAGGACGACACGAAAGGCCCACTTCCCAGGCTGTGAGTGATGTGATGACTGACTAGGTGTGAAATGTGACGCAGCTTGAGCATGTATGGCCGTCAGAGGCCGCAGCCGTGGTCTCTGAGTGGCCCGTGCCGAGGCCGGCGCGGGAGATGGCTCGACGCGGCGCCTCCCGCCGGCCGTGCGACCACGAGCATGCCGTGCCGTTAGTCGGGCCGCCGCGCCGGAAGACTCGGCCGTTTCCCAGCCGGCGCGGCTGGTCGCACCTGCCTGGGAGTCTCCTCCGGGTGACGGCGCCGCCGTAATCTGCCTGGAACACATAACTCTGGCCTGGGGCGCCGGCGCCGCCGCCGCCGCCGCTGGCGGACGCACCCCGCCGCTCGGGATTTACTCCGGGAATGGGCAGAGGAATCGTCGCACGGCGCCGCTCCGTCCAGCTCTGGCGACCCCGATGGGCCGAGCGATCCCGACCAACAACTTGATGGCCAGGGAAATAGGGAAATGATGTAAGATTGTTTCCGGTCAGTGGAGACTTGTAATGCTGCGGCCGGAATGTGATGGGTCGGCCTGGATCATCACTGTTGACCGACATCAGCGTCGCGCGCCCGCGCGCATCAACTAGCAGTAAGACATTAAGACTGACAGAGAACAACTGCCAGATCATTTTTTCCAGCTGCTGATCGCCACGGCCCGGCTGTTTTGCTGAGCATCTGTCTTGTCTGAGAGGGGCTAACGGGACAAGGCCTCCGCTATGTGGGAGTTATTACGGTTCAGCGCCGCTTGCTGTTGTCTGGCCTTTTCGTTACGCACGAGAGGCACGGCACCGAGCGTTGTTTGGCTCTTGTGTACAGCTGTTTTCGCGCGCGGCAAACGTTACACGTAGTTTTTACTAGGATCTCTGTTAAGTTTTTCAACTTAAGTGCTCGAAGACCGGCTACTGCCATAACCCAGTCTTTGGTGAATGATTTTTTGTATATCGATTGCTGTAGTATGTATCTACTATCACATACAAGTATTACCCATATGGGATTTATATAATTATTTGTAGCATAATAACTGACTAGACGTTATATATCTAATGAACTGTCATCTGCTATCTGACGATGTTGCGGAACATTGAAGCTGAAGACCACTAGCGACCTTCGGTGGCCAAGCCGACTCTAGAAAAGCGTACTTCGAAACTTGATCTTTATGACTAGACTATGGCCAACGCGGCTTGCAATCTTCGGCGGCTCTCAGCCGCTCTGTGAGCGCTCTGAGCCCGCTCTGTGAGTGCTCTGAGCCGCCCTGCGAGTGCATGTGCGGCCGCTGAGTACTGCCGTGGGGAGGTAGCTCACCAGCCGTGGTCCAGGCTGCCGGCTGCCGTCAGTCAGCGGTCCGAGGCCGCACAACTGCCGCGGGCGGGCGCCGATAGCCGTTATTGGATGTGTTCCGACCAGGTATATGGCCTCACCACGTGACGGGAGGGTCTGAAAGGTTGAGCGACAGGCAACAGCGGCTGGGTCATGTTCTCGAGCGAGGAGAAATGCATTGACGGGTTAAGTCATCGAGTGGGGAAATGGGTGCCAGGTGCGTGCTAAATTTCCACCACTGACCGAATAGAAGCTTGAATCCAGCTATGACGTCGGGAGGTGACAGATGCTTCCTCGCGGAGATATCGGTACTGTGCCTTGCGGTGCTTCGCTGATGTCAGTCACTTGCCTCGTTGCTAATCATTCAACCAAATGTGATGGCATTGGCAAACATCTATGCAAATCAGAGCTGGCACTTTATGGTGATGCTTGGTGCAGCGAAGTGATGCACCGTTTGACAGGTGACCTCGTCACCACCCACCCGTAACGCTTGCAGTGGTCGGTCGGTCAACCGGCGCTTGGGGCGCCACCTATGATCTACAATTTCCCTTTGTGCCGCCAGGTGGCTCTCCGACGCTCCGCCAGCCCACGGACGAGCGTGAGGAGAGAATCCAGAAGGACCGCTGCGTTGAAGTCTATCCGGAGACTATGCGGCAGCGGAAGCAGGCCAAGAAGCACAAGCAGGTACGTCCCCAGTGCCAGGGGTGGGCGCGGCTGTTATGTTAGGTTATGGTTATGTTATGCTGTTATGTTATTCTCATACAAACGTCTGCAAATTAGGCCCGCCCGCTAGTGTGGATATGTCATAAATTGTTAAAGAAAAGCCTCTGGTTTGGGGGTGCACCAAGTAGAATCGCCATTCCATCCGTTACACCCGACAATTCTGGTTACTTTAGGCGCAACCCCGGTCACCTCTTGTGACGCGTTCCCCATTACCAACAGCTGTCCACAAGTTGTAACCTATGATGTCAGAGGTAATTGCGTCGCAACAACTCCTGCGGCTTGGAGGTCAGTCACTTATGTGTGACGTGGGTGCTTGCGACGTCATAGGCAGCAAGTCAAGTAGGTACATTGCCAATGAGGAACGCCGGAATGCCGGTAGTGCAGTGGTTAACACGTCTGCGCCTGGGAAGCCAGAGGTACGGGGTTCGATTCCGCGCAGTGTCCGCCCTTTCTGCCAGGGTGAGAGGCAGGCGACGCCATATAGCCTCAGCAGCTGAGTGCGTCATAAAGCCCCAAACACAAAGAGGAACGCCACGCTGGTGTCGCCGCCTTTCGCCTTCGCACCCGCCCGCGCCCGCGCGCGCGCGGGCTGAAACGGCACGGGCCACGCGGGCTGACATCTAGCGGACGCCGGCGAAGTGACCGGCGGCGTTCCGGCAAGTCCAATGCCCGGCGAGGCTGGAGCGGACGGGAGACGAGCGCGAGTCGGTCACGCTCGGAGCGCGCCCACTAGTGGCAAGGGGTGCAGTGGGCGCCGCGCTCGCCAGGAACAGCTGGCCGGCGCGGTCGGGAGCCGGACGCCAGTTGCCCCGCCAGACGGCCGCTGCCCCGGACAAGTTGCAGGCTGTAGACTGGTGCTCCGGTCAGAGGAGGCCGAACACCATGGCGACGCAGACAAGCTAGAGGCCGTGCGAGCTTTCCCATTTTTCATAATAACCACCCCTCATGGATGCACAAATTATAAAGGCTGTGAACATTTTGCCAGCGTTAACTTGGCACGACAATGTAGCTGTATGTGGAGAGTAGTCCTTCCACTACGACTTTGTCCGTCCTTGCCATTATATTTTGCTGATCGGCACAGTGAACGCATCCACGGATAACAGGCAACCACAGAGCTTTGGCGCAGTTTGGATGGAAATCCGCCGTCATCTGTAACTGTGTGCACAAGTGCCGATGATCAGAAGTGATAGTTTCAGTGTCATTGGGTCTGAGTGACGCGATTTACGAGGTGCTCAACTTCGGATCTTGAGGCACGAGACGAGGTCCTAAACAGCTCGCAATATATCACCGGTTCCATCGCGGCATTCGGCTTGACAGACTACGTCGCTTGTGGAGTGCTGGCCGTATGAGCCCATATGTGATCGAGACGAATGTTTTGTCAAGTTTGAGCTGAGTTTGTTGAACAACTAAGGCGTGTTTTGGTCATCCGACGCTTTGCGGATAAGTAGCGATGCGCGAGCGAGGCCACAGACCGAGAAAGTCCTTGATCTATGAGAAAATGTTAATCTGGAGCGACCCGCTCTGGTCCGGCCAGCCGTTGCTGTTCTTGGAATATTCACAGCCACTGATAACGTGTGCACGTGATTAACAAAAACAAGAGACACAATTAGTTAAAAGTTGTCCGTTGCAAATTGTTGGACATCGCTACGCAAGACATTGCACCAGGTGGGTCTCCCTGCGACACTGAAATATCACGGTAATCTGGCGTCCCCCATTAACTATTAGGCTAGCACGAAGACCGTAAATTTTCAAACAGCGAAAACACAGCGCAAAAAAAACAGATGGAAACCGATCCAGGTTTAAATGACTTGGTGTCGCCACGAAGCGAAAACGACAAATTGGCGCTATGGCAGAGAAAACGGACGATCATGTCGGCAAACGGATGGGTCATTGTTTACAGACCGTTATGCGATCTCGTCCGCAAACCATGGATCTGCCCGTTTGCTGGGCGTTCTAGTGATGCACGTCAGATCTCAGCAACCAGAGTAGATTAAGACGTGATACCATCTGCACGGTGTAGTTGGACGTACCGGTTACAGGACGCTATCGCATGGCTAAGCCGTCCGCCGCGTATGCGCGCCTCTCATAGACCACTAGCGAAAGCGTCGCGATTCCGAAACCGATCTCGCGCCGTTAACACGTTGTGGCCAAAAGCGTAAGATATTGGCGACTGAAACAAGACAAAACTATACGGGCGCTTAGTTCCATTTATAATGATTATCGTGACGGTTGCGCGCCGAAGATGTCAACGTATTTTTCAATGCTTTGATCACACTCGCAAAACCGTAAATCATGGCAAATTCATCCACCCCGTGGGACTGCCAAGCCTGAGAAGACCTTATCATACCCGGCCATTATTTAAGCGACGCCATTTGCGATTATCGCTCGCATGCTACATCATGGGTCATGAAATCCTCATCATTATGCATCACGCCTGCTAGATTCCCATGACAGCTGGACTTTCCAACACATTGATCAAACACACTGGTGGCGGTGGCCGAAGGCGTCCCGCCCAATTAGCCCACATTTTAACGCCATCTATGCGATGTCAGCCGACAACTCTCACATCTGCTATTGCCTGATTCGTTTGACAACGCACAAGGTGTCCCACCGGTGCCTGTAAGAGCGTTTGTGTGCGGAGGGCTGCTGGGCCGGCTTAGATAACGTTTATCAACTGTCATCGCGCTGTCAACACTTTAATAGGGCGCGGAGAACTTGTAACATAATTGCACTTGGACTGAGTGGTCCGATTTGTTTTTGTTGGACCTTGCTTGGTGTTCATAGTTTCCCCCTGGAAGTGACACTACTTGCATCGATTATTACGCCGCGGGGCTGCTCGACCTCACTATGCATGTTTCTCGTGCTGTTATCCACTTTTTTGCCAAAGCCCCAAGTTTACGTTATTCCTTTCTCCCCTTCAAATTTCCTGGCCCCTTCTTTTCCACATTTTATTCACCTTTACCCTTCCGTTTGACCCTTCCGTCCCTTGCCCGGTCCCCGGCTGGCCGCCCCATCCGCCCTGCCCGCCGGCGGTGTCCCGGTCCCCGGCTGGCCGCCCCGTCGCCCTGCCCGCCGGCGGTGTCCGGTCCCCGGCTGGCCGCCCGTCCGCCCTGCCGCCGGCGGTGTCCCGGTCCCCGGCTGGCCGCCCCGCCGCCCTGCCCGCCGGCGGTGTCCCGGTCCCCGGCTGGCCGCCCCGGCCGCCCTGCCCGCCGGCGGTGTGCCCGGTTCCCGACAGTCGTCCGCGACAGCCGTCACCGTATCGGGCCCTGTCTCGCGTCAGGGTCGCCGACGAATCGATCGGACTCACCTGTCCGGGGGCGCCCGGCAAGCGCCGCGCGCGATGCGTGTTGCAGCGCCCCTCTGGCGGCGCGCACCCGACACCGGTGCGCTCCGCCCTCCGGGCCGCACGCGCCCTGCCGCCGGCCGCCCGGCCGGCCGCGCTGCGCCACTGTAGCGGCAGCGGCACGGGCGTGCGGCGCGCGGTGGTGACGGCGGCGGTGCAGCCATGGAGACGGCGCTGCCGCACCTGGAGAGTGTGAGTGTGCTGAGGCTGCCGCGGCTGCCGGGAGCAGGACACGGTGGTGTTGCCCGGGTACCAGAAGTGGAGACGGGGCGCGGGGCAGCAGGTCTGGTCTCGGGATTTGTGGTCATGTGTGATTAGTGGACATAACTATCTAGGAGCTCGGTGACTGAGGCAATGGCTTAGAACCATACTCATCATGTTCGGGTTGGATGGATAAATGGTCGTGATAGCTAATTGCCGTCATTTGCGGGCTTAAAGCCTGCATATCCGGGATTATTTTGATCTCTTTTGTTACGCAGCCGTGTTTTTAAGAGTTGGTCATTGCCAGGTGTATTGCTTGTTGGAATCAATATGCAGGCCAGTAGACTAACATCAATTTTCCTGGTCAATGCTTTTTTTTTATTCGGCCGCTCTTATCAAGTAATGTCCGTTGCATATTTGATCCATCAGTGCTGTTTTGACGGAGCATGCCACAATCTGGACCGAGCTGTTACGTGTGCATATGCTGCGGGTCTATTTGGTTACAAAATTCCGATTGTAAATTTCAGCTTAGAATGAAAAGTGTGTCGTTAGAAGCGCAAGATGTAGCAAGATGTATGATGTAGACCGTCCTCTGCTAACTAAACACACCGTTCTCGGCTTATGCCGTCTCGCATGTCATCCATATGGGAAAGTTCCACCTGCCGCTGTACACCCCACTGCGCTGGGAATGGCGAATGCTCGGTGGTCGGTCGTTGCTCCCCGCAAACGTGTGGGCATGAGAACGGGCGCTCACGGCCGACACTCCCGACGTCTGGGTCTGAGAACGGGCGCTCACGGCTGACACTCCTGGCGTCTGGGTCTGCGAACGGGCGCTCACGGCCGACACTCCTGGCGTCTGGGCCTGACGCTGAGACGCTGTTCCAGTGGAGTGTCTGGCGATGTCTCCGTCGGGATCCGCGGCCCTGCAGTAGCCGTGTGGAAAGCCCCAGACGCGACCCGCCCTCTCCCCTGCTGAGCCGGGCGGCCAGTCCCATGCTCAGACCAGGCTCGCGGCTCGACTGGCGGCCTCGCTGTACCGGCCTTACCGCTGCCGCTGCCCGTACGGCACCGCACGCCGTCTCTAACAATGACGCGCATTGTTCTGAAACGGCGCGCTGTTCTGGCCGGCTGCGGCGGCACGGGTAACGGTGTGAGTCGGCCAACCCACCGAAAGAGAGGTCGGGCAGACGGTGCCGGCCGGCGGGCGCCCGCGGTGGTCAGGTGCCCGCCGGCGGGTGAGGGGCGCTAGGGGCGGAGTCCGCGGTGGACCGCGCTGGCGGGAGAGCGACGCCAGTGACGCAGTCCGCGGCGGACCCCGCCGGCGGGTGAGGGGCGCTAGGGGCGGAGTCCTCAGCTGTGTACCCGTGCTGTCGATCGAATTATGGGGCGGCGGAGACCCGTGTTGTGGTGCAGCAGGTGGCGACAGTTTTAACAAGGCCACGTCATTTGCTGGTAGTTGCCAGAGCCGGATATTGTTGTTTTTATATGGATCTAGCTTGTGTTCAACGTGTGTAGAAACTGAGTCGTCTGCTTCAAGCCTGCATCAGTTTTCGTTCCCTGGTGGGCGGCAAGCCGGCCAGGTAGCGACGGCTGGCGAGCTGGTCGATTTGTTGGCCAACTGGTAGCTAATGGGCAATTTAGGGACTAATTATTGGTTTTAGTATTGATTGTGAATTGGCAAATGCATCCCCGTCGCTTCAAACCCAACCAAATCTGTTTTAAATGATCTAGAGCTTCTATAACAACGTTAATGTCTAAGACCTAAGTATGTTTTTAACTCTGCCAGACACGCCTCACGACAAGCCGGACAGTGCAGTAACCGTGGGGTTGCTTCGGTAGCACCTCGCTACCCTGCAATGCCGGTAAATTTTGGGGAAAATGGCTATCGGAAATCACAACACCACCGACTTTTCCCAAAGACAAGCAGTTTGTTGCTCTTCTCTCCTGTTAGTGTTTTTTCCTTCCCACCGGTCAAGACTCGTGTTTTAGGAAATGTCCCATAGGATTCGTGTTTACGTGTTCGCATTTTAATCAAGCGTAACACAAAGGTGACGTGTAATTAAAACTCTACCAAATAAAACGTATATAATCAATTCAGTGCATATGGACGTTTTTCATTGTGGTCAAATGGCTAACGAAGTGGATTTATGCATCCCAAATGCATGACTAAAATCCGCACGAGATTGTTTTTCAACAGCTTCCTCATGTTTCCACGGGTGGTTAGCCGCTCATTGCGGCTAGCCGATCGATCGGCGGCTAACCGGCTAGCTAGGTAGCTGAAAAAGTGGATTTGGCATTAATGGCATCAATTTGTAAAGGCTATTGTCTTCCTTCATGGTGTTACAGATCGCATCCTGTCAATGATGAATAAGTCATCGCTCGTATGTGCGTATACCGGCTTCAGCCATTCGTGTTACCATTTTTGTGTATCCTCATGTCCTGACTAGAACTGGCTGTGATCCACGAAGCCAACTTCGACGCGTCTGTTTATTGGCGCAGTTGCCACTTTGATTTATTGGCGGACGTGCTGGAAACGCGAGGCGGCTTAAGCTACTGCCGTGTACGCTCAATCAGCGCGTCTGCTCTGTCCGGGCGTGTGCTGCACGTAAGGACCGATTTGGCATCGGCTACACTTGGAACTGGGCGTAACTCGCAGCGGCTGTATCTGCCGATCGCATGAGGTCACCGACTGAGCGGGCCGGTTGCCGCAGGTGGATGCCAAACAGTGGCCGGAGACCAAGGACGGCGGCCGGCGGGAGGACGGCACCAAGACCATCGACAGCCCGTCCAAGATCAAGAAGCTGCTGCCGTCGGTCAAGGCGCTCAAGTCGCAGTTCGAGAGCGGGCCGGCGCCGGACGCGCCGCGCAGCAGGTCCAAGGACAAGTCGCCGTCGCCGCCGAAGCCGACCGCCGAGCGGACGCCAGTGGCGCCGCCTGCCGAGCGGCCGCGGCCGACAGGTGTCGCCACCGGCGAGTCCGCCGCCGCTCCGCGCACCGTCAGCCCGCAGCGGCCGGCGGCGCCGGGCCCCGCGTCGGCTCAGGCGCCACCAGCCAAGAACGGCGCCGGGGCCAAGAAGGTGTACATTCCCGACGATCCGGTGGAGGCGATCTACGACAAATTCGGCGAGGTGGACGAGCGGTTGCTGAAGCAGAGGATCACCACCCTCTCCTGGGACCCGGTCAGTCATCCGCCCCCGGTTCCCTTATTATCGCTTCAGCCTGCATCCTCGTGACCCCCCATTTATCTGGGGCAAGCCACATTCGCCGGCCATGAGAGAGCCTGTGTGCACCTGGTCAGGGCCCCGTCCGAGCGCCGAGCACTACCCTTGTATATGGGTGCCTGTGTGAGCTACGTCTCGGCAGATGAATCCCCAGATGCATGTATTTTTGTCCTAAGATTATCCACTCTCCTTCATCCCATGCCCCGGAAATGGTCACTGCTGGCAGGGAGGCTCTGATCCAATCCAAACGAAGCTCGTTCATTCGAGCCTGACTCAAACAGCAGCAGCAGCAGCAGCAGCGGCTTTCTATCGTTTGTATGGTCGTCCCGTTGCTCCATCCGACAGTTCGTTGCCCCTCGACATTCTTAGAACCCCATTACTTTCATGCCGGCAGAACGTTCCACGGTAGACGATCACGTTCTGCGCCGCCACCCGGCATGTTCAGCCAGCCATTTGTCGGCAATGGTGCTGCCTGTCATGCAATGGCTGAGCCTCGTGGGTGGATTCTCCAACTCGATCCGTCACGGTCCACAGACGTCGCTGGTGAGCCGACTGTACGAGGTGCCCGAGCCGGCGCACCGGCCGCAGGGCCAGGAGAAGGGCTACATCAACATCGAGGGCTGGCTAGAGAAGCTGCCGTCCGGCCGGAAGAAGGCCACCTTCTGGAATGCCTGGAAGCGGCGCTACTTCAAAGCCAAGGACGGCTTCCTCTATTACTACCAGGTGCTGTGTCTTCTGCTGCCATTTGCGATTCGCTGCCGATGCGATGGTTTATGCTCAGCCCGGCCCTTGCTTTATTATCATCCGTCTTCACAACAAACTTTCAGACTCGGCAGCGTACTCGAAATATACATCCATACAGCCACAAGTCCGTCGCTCCGGCCTGACGCATGTCGCCGCCCACACAGTGCCGTTCCGGCTGACGCAACAGCGCTGTGTGTGGGATCCATCAACGCCGACTGATTGGTGGAGCGGCTGATGACGTCACTATTCCCACTCCAACAGACTAACACCACGGAGAAGCCGAGCATGGTGCTCCAGCTGATGGGCGGTCACGTGGAAGCCATGGACTCGTCCGTGGTGGGCGTCGACGACGGGGTGAGTTCCCGTGTCACGGAACACCCCCCGCCCCCCCCCCCCCAGCCGATGGAATGGAGAGGCATGATGGGGATGGTGCTGGAGGGACTCGACGCCGCCGGTTGGAATCAAGAAATGCGGATTGAGAGCATGGTTTGTGTAACAACCAGAGATCAGTTTCAGATGGTTGCGTTGTTTTCTACCGGGTGGTTCACACGCCCGATCGGCGCTGACATGCATTTTTTAGGTCCATACACTCGCGCACGCAGAATAACGGGACAACGGCGATTTATAAAAGGGCATGCCCTGAATGCGTTCGAGGCGAGCCTTGCATGTACGTAACTTTATTTTGTGTGACATCAATTAACCCGGTGGATGAAATGTATGTCAGTGACTCTTTGACGCGGTGTGAAGGTTGTTGACGTTCCCGATGAACCTGGTGTTTGGCTTTGGTTGTCTGTCCCATTGACATTGCTAATCGCACCGCTTACAACTGTCTGTCGTTTTCTTAAATATGAGCGAGGTCGTTTCCACACATAAATCTGATTTAATATGCGGGGCGTAGCCAGGCTGACGAGGTGCCGTGCCTTTCCACTGTCTAAATGACCTCTGGGAGGCACATGCGAACACTTCTGGGCGCGCACACTTCTTGAACCAATTATATTTGGGTTAGCGTGCATGTAAGGATTGGGAATGGCTACCACAATAACAGCCGAGGCTACGCCCTGTCCTTGACTCGACACACGCGTGTTAACGATGTCCATCGCTCTAATCCTCCATCTGTTTCTTCTTCGTCTGGTGGAAGGTGCCTCAAACGGTCCCCATGCTGGGGCTGGATGATGGGGTGAGTGAAACGCATCTCGCGACGCGCAAGGACAATGTTGGCTTTGCAGATCTGAGTTGCTTGTATTTTTTGGGCGAAGTTATGTAACAAAGCTCAAATTAGCAAATGCTCAACGGTAGTGTTTAACTTGTTTGCTTCAAATTCATGTTTCGTTGCGCATTGGTCACAACTTAGCATATCCCCGGGGGCTGCTGGTTGGGATCTCCCCAGCCCTTAACTCAGCGGTGTGGTTTTACGAAATGAGTAGAGGGGCCGAACAGTGAAGATGACTTAATGTACGCCCCAAATGCACCAACCAATGAGTTTCTACCGAGACTCGGTCCCCTTTCTTTTCAAAGTTGGGAGGGTAGCTAGAGCCCAACTTGGAGGAGTAGGTCAGAGCCTCCCACTCCCGCCAGCTGAATGGGAAACTACATCTGTGCCCTGACTGCCTCCCCTTGCGAGCATTCGCTCCAACGCTGCCACTCGTCCTCATCCGACTGCCCCGGCCGCTGCCACTCGTCCTCATCCGACTGCCCCGGCCGCTGCCACTCGTCCTCATCCGACTGCCCCGGCCGCTGCCGCTCGTCCTCATCCGACTGCCCGGCCGCCGCCTCTCGTCCTCATCCGACTGCCCGGCCGCCGCCTCTCGTCCTCATCCGACTGCCCCGGCCGCTGCCGCTCGTCCTCATCCGACTGCCCCGGCCGCTGCCGCTCGTCCTCATCCGACTGCCCCGGCCGCTGCCGCTCGTCCTCATCCGACTGCCCCGGCCGCTGCTGCTCGTCCCCATCCGACGGCCCCGGCCGCTGCCGTTCGTCCTCATCCGACTGCCCCGGCCGCTGCCGCTCGTCCTCATCTGACTGCCCCGGCCGCCGCCTCTCGTCCTGCTTCTGCCGTGTGAGCCGCCCCTCACCGCCGGCGCCCGCCGCCCGTCGCCCGCAGAAGGGCCGCTACGTGGTGGTGCGCTGCAGCAGCCGGCAGGAGGCGGAGCGCTGGACGCGCGCGCTCCTCTCACACACGGTCGAGGACTACAACGCCACCTACGTGCAGCCGGTGGCAGTGCCGGCCAGCGTGGCGCCGGCGCGCCGCTGCGTGGTCATCGACCTGGGCAGCTCGTCCATTCGCGCCGGCGTGCTGCACGATCAGCGTGAGTGCGAGCTGTCACCGGAGGACGGAGAGCGCCACAGGGAGTGGCGCTGTGGCGCGCCGGGGACGGGGCGGGGGTGGGTGGGGTTTGTCGCGTTGAAGCCAGTTTTTGTTGTGCTATTCAGATACAACGTGTGTCACTGGGGCTTTACGACGCACTCAGCTGCTCAGGCTTTATGGCGTCGCCTGTCTCTCACCTTGCAGAAAGGGCGGGCACCGCGGGGAATCGAACCCCGTATCTCTGGTTTCCCACACACGCAGTGGTTGACGCAGACGCGCAAACAACTACACTGCCGGCACCCCTGTTCAAATACGAGGCGTGAATTAGACCGCTGCTGACGTTTCAAACGCCTGACAGACAGGCTGGAAGCATGTGCAGTTGTCGCTAGACTGGCATGTAGAACGTCTCACCGCCAACGTCGGCGTGCCGCGTAGCTGGAACGTTGGTCGCTGGTAGCGCCCGCAGCGCCCTCTCACCGGCGCCTCCGTGTCCACAGCCGCACTGCCGCAGCTGTTCTTCCCGGCGGTGATGGTGACGTCACGCGAGGGCCGTCAACTGACGTTCGGCGCGGCGGCGCTGCGGCCCGAGGTGCGCGCCACCGGCGTGCTCTCCTTCCCGCTGCGGCCGTCCAGCAAGATCACCAAGTACTCCGTGGACGTGCCGGCGCTGGCCGGCCTGCTGCAGCTGACGTTCCGCGAGCTGCGCGTCAGCCCGGCCGACTACAGCGTCCAGCTGAGCCTGCCGCGCAGCTTCAACACGGCCACGCTGGGCGAGATCCTGCGCCTGCTCTTCGACAAGTTCGGCGCGCAGGGCGTCAACCTGACGCACCAGAGCATCCTGGCCATGTGGTCGTACAACGCCACGAGTGGCGTGGTCGTCGACGTCGGCGACCGTATGGATGTCGTGCCCGTCATCGACGGTGAGCGGCGGACGGGGAGGCGGCCCGAGCGCTGCGGCCCTCGGCGGGTGGGGAGGAGGCGCGAGCGCCGCGGTCCTCTGAGAACGGCACATCGGAGGTGTCTTAGAGGCGGGCCTGGGACAACTGTTCATCTACGCAACAGTCCATTTTAATCAGCGTGAGCTGGCGCTGCATTTTCCGTACCTCAACGCAGCTGTACTAGCGATACTTTGACAATGACCAGCTCGTTATGCATCCACATGCAATGTATGATATTTGCCCCCGTGATATATTCGTGTTTTTCGCATGTTCTATGATGTTATCTATACTCCTCGCATATCACGTTACGAAAAGTGTTTGTCTGAGTGGTCTGCTCGCCTTTACATTGCAGTGCCCCGGCTCGGTAGCATTGGTCCCGCGTCACACCGTGTCCTCGCCGGTCTCCGGCCACTGAACGCCACGCTCTCCGCGGCAGGGTACATCGTGGAGGGCGGCGTGTCGCGCGTGCCGTACGGCGGCGTGCGGATCCAGGACCACCTGCGCCACTTCCTGCTGCAGAAGCACTACTCGCTGGTGACCGAGGTCGAGTCGCTGGTGGTACGGCTGGCCATGGAGCGGCTCTGCTTCGTGTCCGAGCGGTACGCCGCCGACCTGCAGCGCTTCCAGGCCGACCCGGCTAGCCTCGAGAAGTCCGTCTCGGTCAAGGAGTTCCTCGGTGACAGCGTGTCCTGGAGGTGGGTGCCGGCCGCTCGGCTCGACGGCGCCCCCGCGAGGCCCAGCCGGTCTAGTGCGGCTAAGCTTGTGGAATCCGGTGCGATCTGTCGGATCTGGTTGCTATGTGAGACGTGCGCGGAGCCAAGGCGCTGTCGCTGAATTGGGGAAGCTCTGGTCGGTATGTGCTGCTTATGCCGCAGGAAGTTCTCCCATGTCGATTTGGATTACTCACCGCATAGCTGGCATCATCCACGTGTACTAAGCTGCCGGAACCACCTTCCGGTCGCGCCTCTTCTGCTGTTGTCACCATCCCGTGCTCCGACAAACCTGGTGTTAGCCGGGCTGGGGACGGCTATTTCGCCGACGGCGGCGGGTGCGTGAGCGCTGACTGCTGCTTTGCAGGCGGATCACGCTCGACAGCGGCCGGTTCCAGGCCGCCGAGGGGCTCTTCACGCCCGAGGCTTGGGGCCTGGACAACAAGGGCGTCCACAAGCTCGTCCACAAGGCCGTGCAGGTGCGTAAGTCGGCTGTCGTTCCGGTGCGTGGTCCGCCAGCATGTGCATATGCTGGCGTACATATATATATATATATATATATATATATATATATATATATATATATATATATATATATATATATATATATATATATAATTTCCAGCATATGCCAGGCAGCGACCTGCATATGCTTGGAAAATTCGGCAGGAATTCCTTCTTTGAAATGTGTGTTGATGGTTTTACTTCTTTAGTTTTCACAGAGCAAAGGCTCTGTAAATGCGATATCCACGACGATCGCCGTTTAAACGTTTAACAGTCGGCGCAGTCGGTCTTCAACGTTTAACAGTCGGCGCAGTCGGTCTTTAACGTTCAACAGTCGGCGCGGTCGGTCTTCAACGTTTAACAGTCGGCGCAGTCGGTCTTTAACGTTCAACAGTCGGCGCGGTCGGAGTGTTGCTGTGTAGGTCCCCTGGGACCGAGGTGCAATCCGCATGGTTATGGTCTGGCTCCGTGCGAGCTGAGCCAACTGCTTCGCTGCGGCCCTCAGGAGTGCAGTGTGGACATCCGCAAGGAGATGGTGCGCTCCATTTACCTGGCCGGCGGCGTGACGCTGCTGCCCGGCTTCGCCGAGCGGCTGCAGGCCGAGATGGACAAGCTGACGCCACCCTCAGTCACGCCCAAGGTCAGTCATCGGCCACATCCCGCGACCGGCAGATGTCACATCCGGGCTCAGAGGGCCGTCCGATGACCGTGGGCTAGATGTTGGCGATGTCGTCGGTGGTACGCTCGCTGCATGGGCTAGGCGCTAGTCCCGTGTCACATCTCGGGTCAGATGTCCGTCTTCAGCCGGGCTGGGACGTCCGTCCCGCGTCACATCCCGGACTTGACGTCCGTTCCACGTCACATCCGGGGTTAAATGTCTGTCACATCCGGCGCCAGTCCTCCAGTTTCGCTCCTAGGCTAGCCGCCGGTCACGCTTCGAGTAAGTCTGTAGTCTCATCTTGGCCCAGTCCATGTGCCGTACTCTGGATCACAGAACTGAACTCGGACTGCTCACACGCTGGCATGAGACATCAATATTGTTATTATAGGTCTACTATACCGAGTTGGCGTAGGCTTGCGACCTGTTGCATGCCAGCGACGCACATGACATGGATGTTGATGTCATCGTGCTGGAAGTTTTTGTTTTACGTCGTGAGTTAGAACGCTTTGCTGACATAAATACGCTCTTCTGCCCGTTTCGAAATAGCACTTGCAGCGTCAGTTCTGCGTTCTTAAGCCGGTGATGTTTGATGCTGCCGACCCTGGTTTCTTCCCCTGGCTGACAGCCTTCCCAGGCCGCATAGCATGTCCAGTTGACTAACCCAGTTGACACGAGCCCTCCGCCCTGCCGGGTCCAGCTGACCTGTACCCTGTACCGCAGGTGCATGCATCTCCGTACCGGTACCACGCCGCGTACCTGGGCGCCTGCGTGTTGGCCGGCTCCGACGGCTTCCAGCAGGCGATGGTGACGCGCGACAGCTGGCTCAAGCTGGGCGTGTCGGCGCTCAAAAAGTGGACCGTGTAGCGCCCCGGGCGCCGCACTACCAGTGACGTCATCGAGGGTGGTGGTGCTTCGTACTGGCCATGTGGCGGCCGCGTGAGGCCGCCCTGGGCCGTCTGTGATTCTCTGTGTTTCGGAGACTTTGCCGCCTTCGGCGGCATACCAGTTGGTGAGGTTGTACAAATAGTCGAGGAGCAATTATGCAGCGTTGTGTGGTCGAGGGCGCGCGGTGCGAAAGATGTGTGCGACTACACCCTGAGTCAGCTCGTGGGAAGACGGAGTGCCCGATGTTTGATAGCAGCGCCGCAACCCAGTGGCGTGCAAGCGGATGCCAGGCCCATTCCGTCGTGTGACGACCACAGCTGGGTGCAGCTGGCGTGTCGACGCTGTCCGCCGGGTTCAGCGGACGGTACCGCGACCGAGCCTCCATTCCGATTGGCTGACGCTGGCTGACGTTATAGGCCGACGTCAGACGTGCTTCCCGACGTCGCCGCGCGATTGGTGCAAGGTCGAGTGTTATTGCTCGTGAGCGTTTTGACGGTTTGAGACGCCGAGCTGCTCCTGTGTAATGATTTATCTTTGATGTTATGATTTCTTGCACTTGTAACTGCTGATACCAGTCCATAGTTGGTGTTAATTTATTATATCAATGACTGGTTCGACCATAATACATTCTATAACGGACATCACATTGTTTTCCATCTAATATCTCATTGCGACACTTTTGCAAACATCTCATGTGTGTAGCTGCTAATGCACGTACGGCAGTTAATGTCATCGATGGCCGTAAACGCATATGCTCGCAAACGCTAATGTACGTGCAGAAGTTATCCATATCGCAGGCCGTACAGCAAACAACACCTTTCACACGTTGGTCTCCCTGAACAGCAATAATATCCGAGTGTATGTATGCCTAAATGGGCTACCCATGGTTGAGAACAGGGCACTTTTCACTCATTTTGGCATTCGCACGCCACCTACATGGGACATCTGCCTACCAAATGGCATGGGACTCTAACGCGTTGTTGATGGCTCCGCCTCAGGCTCTTTCGGACGGCGGCTGGTTTCATCACCCCCAAATACCGTCACATGCTGTTTTGACATGACATGTAAAGAAAACTCACCCAGCGCATGTTTCAAAATATGTGTGAAGACGATGAGCGACGTAAACACGCGTTCGGTTAGGGGTCAATTTGCCCCCACCACCCGGGGGCTTTACAGAATAATTTCGTAACGGTGATTGGCATAGTCGCGCCAGACTTTGCTTGCCTGTCAGCAACTGACTAGCCGATCTTTTCATATAAACATTAGACATGCCTCGAAAGGTCGCTGACCTACGGCAGGGCCAAGCCTGGCCATTACTGTCAGCAAACGCATTCGCTAGGGAATCGTTTGACATGACACGATAACGGAGCGTTGGACGACGTTATGTAACTTGATGCAACAAGACGCATTAGATCTCCTCCCAGCGGGAAGAGATCTGAGAGCATTTCAGGCACTGATCTTCGGTTTGACCTTGTTTGACCTAGTTTTACCCGACAGCTAGGACCTAGTGACATCCTTAGGGAGAAGGGAGGATAGGGATAATAATTCATTCGTATCTGGCCAAATATTTGATAAACACGTGCAAAATTACTGCATTGTATTTGTTACAATCCCATAGCATGCAATAGTTTTGTGTTGCGTCATTCCATTTTCACCAAGGCTATGAGTGTGCTAACCGTGTACTGGAATTCATCCAAGTACATCCCCTAAGTGGCATCCTGCTGAAAATGGGTATAATGCCAGACAAAATCGCTGATAACCAGAGCTTCATCAAGCGCGATGGACGCCTTTGTTTGCGATGTCACGATGACGGTCGAGTTTTTTATTCTGCTCAACGTCACCACACAATCGTGGACATGTTTGGCCACCACCACACAATTTGCAGCAGCCTGTGGACACCAATGGCTGTACCAAGGAATGAGGAGGTATTTTGCGTAATTTCCTTGTGCAACAGCACGGAGGGCAAATCCAAATCCAATGGACGCAAGCTCCAAAAACACTTTGAGCCATATTTTGTGACCAGCTGGCCCGGCACTATAGATGTTATGGTCCATTACCCTGATCTGTATTGCCCCACACGATAACTGCACTCGTGCAGCCTACTAGTCAACTGATCCAACGCAACTGCGTGCACCCAAGCTGCCCTGAGGCCTGCTAAAGCCGGTGCATGCGCACCCCACGAGGGTCTGACGCTGAACATGTAGTATACGATGGCGATAACGACGAGGGTCGAACGGAACCGGCGGCCGAGGGTCGTTGCCGGCGCTACATTGTCAAAGTGTAGGAGCAACATGACCTTGTTTCTTAACGCTCATATTAGTCAAGTATCTGTATATGTGCTACCACAACCAACACATATCAACGTTACGCGAAACCCTACGAATACCCTCGTGATTATATATATATATATATATATATATATATATATATATATATATATATATATATATGGGTGCATCATGATACGCGTGTTAAATAGAGATGATACTGTGCTTGGTGAATTAAACGCGCCTGATAGCCCCTGATATCGATTTGTGAATAAATCTGAGTGATTATCAATACTTAAGAGCCGCGTTACAGTCACTTGACAAGCGTCCCAACCTCGGTATCGTCCGAGCGTCAAAATGAATGAAAAGGGTCATGTGTTGGGGTGCGTGAATGCTTCTTAGCACTCGCACCCACGAATGTCGCTTTTGTTTGGAAAATATGTCATACGAAAGGCAGGGGTATCACTTTCTGCAGTCGGTTGGGGGGAGGCTGAACCGGTAAGGCTGGCGTAACCTATCCACAAAACCAGATTCCTCCCGGATTTCGGGCGCTCCAGTTTGCAGAAGGGTATATCAATATACCTTCACGCCTCATCACTATTCATGAACGCACCGATTTCCGAAAGCGTTAAAATAATGCCTTAGTACGTTTACTCACACGTGTCCATTTCAGCGGTGTACTTACCTGGAGTTCTTTTCTGGAGGACCAAAAAATGTTTGCACATCTGCACTAAAGACACGCCCTTTTAAGAGCTCATTATGGCGCACATCAAGTGACGAGCTATCGGCGGTACGGAAACGAAACCGTGCACATACTGTCGATATATTGACGACGTGTTCGTCAGTATATTCCCAGCGAGCAGCAGCTTCTCTGCCAATGTTCAATCCTTGAAGAAACCTCAGCTCTAAAATACACAGCAGAGCCATCGTTTGGCCACACAATTCCGTTTTTAGACGTAGCTGTTGATGCGTCATGCAGAAAATATGTAACTTCAACATTTCGAAAACTCACAGGAAATAAAAATTGCCTCAGTGGTCGTAGTGAGTGTCCAGATCAATATAACAAAGCGTGATCCGATCATACACACAACAGGCATTCAGACACTGCGCGGCATGACCGTTCATGACCGATAGTTCGACGGTATTAGACACATCCTGGTCAAGAACAACTAGTCTAACTTGTGTAACTGGCAAGAACTGACATTAAAAACCGCATTACCAAAACAATATGTCAGCTACATACAGGGATGAGGAAAAAGCTACTCGCGTTATGATGTCCATAAACTACTTCCCAGCAACATCACGCCGCTTCCCGCTTCGCGCAGACAACAGCAAGCTGACAACTTACAAAAAGTCCTAGCATATGAAACCTTAGTATGCAGAGCAACATATCCACGAATGGCTCACCACTGAAAATGACCAACGTTATCTGCGGGTTCTAACGGCCCATTGACAATTGCGCGCGTCGACCACACTCGTATGTCGTATGTATGTACCACATATGTATGTCGGCCGTACCACGACCGTACTCAAGAGATGACGATGTACTTCCAGGACGGTGCGCCAAAGCGGTATGTGACACCAGGTCATGGAAGGACACTACTTTGGTCCGAATTGGTGGAAAATACCACTATACTGGCTAAGTGCAAACAAAAAGTGAAAGTGAATGTGCTGGAAGTGTCTTTCTTTTTGTCCGGAGAAAGAGCTGGCAATCAACCGGCAGACGGATATGCCGGGCACACTGTGAGTGTAGGATGGGCAGCCCTGGCACATAAGAGCGTATTTACCGTACTTGATCTCTACTCTGTTTATGCGACAGCGTGCTGCATTCGAGATCAGTTTCAAAAAAGAGCATCGCTGGCTTACCGATCGATTACTGGCGTCACCGACTGCCAGATAGTTTTGGGCTGCGAGGCCATCTGTAGACAGTGCATACACCTACTGCGTGGAGTTCGTAGCGTCACACAGACGGACTGTTGAGATCTGAGATCAATTCTGGCCCTAACACCCCGAAATCTGGGGATTTAGCACGACCTTACGTGCACCACCGCACGCATTGACCCATATTGTCGTGGGTGTCATTTCCCGTTCTTTGCCAAGTCGAAAATGTGCTGATTTCGTATCGCTGTAACCCTTTGTTGTCAAACTAAAAACCTGATTTTCGCCGGCCATTTTGTCATTTTTGGAACTTTACAATCTTTGCGTTTACTGTGTAAAACGAACGCATTTGCGCGTCCCGCAGGCAGCAGATCCCGTTGAGCAGTGGCACATTTTACACGAGTGCATTTTGCTACCAGATCTGAGAGTTCAACGCACTTCGAAAACTACCAAAAAAAACCCTGAAATAATCACCACGAGCTTAGGGATATGTTGCACCGAAGGTGTCTTTTTGCAATTCATTGCACAAATTATTTTGTTTTACGGGCTGCTTTGGAGAGCGCAAGAGCCATGTGAGAGCCTTCCATTATCCTAAAAAATAGTGAGTTTTTCAGTCCTCATGCTTTGTGGGGATGGGACGGGATGGCTTTCGGAGGAGGGATATGTCTTTATTGACTGGTTTCCACTTGCCCCTCCCACTGGTACCTGGCAGCGATAGTGGCCGAGACATGACGTGAAATATGCAATTTTGTGGCCTCTCTTATAGTGAGCTAGGTGGCTGACTCTAGCTCCTCTAACACTGGTTATCACTCAAGACTCCGGAGGCTCCAGATCTATGTTTCTGTAGTGTACCGTTGCGCCAAAGAGACAACATTGAACTGCGATCGGCAAAACAGTAATTTGCCGATCAATTCTCTTCAATGTGGTAGTGATGTTCACTTACCTTATTTATTTTTGCTCTGATATATTCATGTGGATAAAAAAAGGCGCTGAAAATGTTGACGAATGTACCAAGCAATCATATAAATATACATTTTGCTTCCTTCATTGGTGAATAGCAAGCAAAAACAGCAATACATCAGTAACGGTATCTGCTCACTACTATTGGTTTGGCAGTAGTCGGATCTGGCGTATTCTTCTGTTATTTTGCTCTCAGGAAGCTTGTATTTGATACAGCTGTGATTTATATGACTCGCGAGATGACTACAGCATACCATTAGCTCGTTTGACTGGGTATATTGCGGCTTGTTGCATGGTAATAGAAGATTTAAGTGCTGCGCCAGAATTGCCCCAGTGCGAATGGGTATGTATGCTTTAACTCAATGGCCGTACCTGTAGAAGGGAGAAACTTCGTAGAGTTCAGCCGTATGTTATTAGTTCCAGCACTTTCGACGTCCTGCCATTTCATTTAAGGGCTGGGTCTCAATGCAGGCCAATGGACCTTGTAATATGGCAAATATGTTCACTTATCATTGCCATGCATGCCAAGGTGTGCATAAAAGGGCTATGTAGACTGTTCCCAAAAGCTGCCAAATGTTTTGCCAAATGAGCAGAAAATTTTCATTTTTGAAAAAGACTTAACCCTTGTTAGTTCAGAATGGCTAAAATTTTCATTTTTGTGTTTTACACTGTCCTTAGACTGCTAAAATATTTGTTATGCCTGAGATACTTGCTGTAGCTGCAAATTTCTTTACACATTTTGCAATGAATTTGTGCAGCTACCCTTAGATGCTCTATCTCCACAAATTGTTGTGCTTGGAGAGTCATTGTAGGTGTGATTAGGGATAAAGTAGTGGTAGCTTCAGGGTGCAACAATCTGAATAGTCCCCAAGAGGTGTTGTTTTAAGCTTAATTTTTAGGGTAACATAAGCTTTACTTAGCCCTAAACCATGCCCAGTGCACAAATGTATGAGGTTAAGAATATCATTATCACTTGAGCACTTGGCAGGTTGGTCAGATTTGTTTCAGATTGGACATTCTCCTGTGATGTTACATGCCATAAAAAGATTACCACTTAAAGAGGGTCTGCTGCCCTTTGGGTGTATTTCAAAAGCATACTGAGGTGAAATGTCAGGGTCAGATATTTTGGTAACACTTGTGGGTAGTGTCACCAGTGCACCAACAAGATAAAGTAGGCAGTCAAATTTAATTATTGTATGGTCCAAATTACAATCAGCATTTGCCAAAGAACTTCTTTATTCTTTGGAGCCCCAGGATGCAGCATTTGTCCATATCAGCTGATAAGGGCAGAATGTGCTGCCGGCCATGATCATCTGTTCCAGGCCTAACATACCACTTGTTAGCTCTGTTAACCTGAACATTGTAGGCTTGCAAGCTGAAAAGTGGCATCTATACTGGTATAAATTACATAATTTGAAACAAATATATGTTGATCAGTACAGTGGGTGGGGCCATCTGCAAGAAGCTCATCAGCAGAAGCCTGTACCAGTACCAGGTACTCTTTAGAATACATGATGCATCTGTTTTCATAAGCCAAAGTATACTTATAAAAGAATCATTGTGTTGAACACCTTAGGGAGAAATAAAGACTATTGTGTAATGTTGTGTTGAATTTGTGTGATAAAGATGGTATATTCTAATGTTTTCTTCCTAGATAGAGAACTCCAAGCTGTTATGGTCATAATTGCAAACCATTTTGACATGTATATTGCAAGCATTGTGTAAGGCTATGGAATAGCCTTAACAATAGTTGTCATAGTAAGTGAAAATGCCATTGGACACATAACTATTACATTTATAGGCACAAGCATGTGTCCAATAGGTTTTCCCTTTGGAGTAGCCACTGCAGATCAAAATTCTGAGCTAGTATTTTGGAAAAACTGGTTGACTGATCAAGTGGGACACATTTGATAGGTGAAACAATACATAACACAACAATAAGGTAAATGCCAAAGAGGTGGCATCTGATTGAGTATCTAATCTTAGGATTGTGGAACATTGAAATGAAAGGTTTGACATGATTCACAACATCATCTCAGTTGGACATGGGGGCAAAGGCTGGCTTCAAAACTGACAACAAAGCTGAGACAATGACATGAGCAGAGGTCAGAGCTGAAGGGGATGGCTTTGAAGTTGATAACTGTAAAGCTGAAGTTGTGGACAAAGACTTATATATATATATATATATATATATATATATATATATATATATATATATAGTTCATTTATATTTAAGGCTTATGACTTTGTACATGTTGATCCAAAGCCAAAGGTTTGAAACTCTGGTAATGTGAAGCTAAAGCCAAACCCACCTGCCAAAGTCACTAGGTTAAAGCCCAAACTGAATCTAGAGTACAGTGATGCTTTGCAGGCCTGAAACCATTTTTCAATCAGCTCAACTTAAGTGGCATGAGGAAATACAATGGTGCTGCAGAGTGGGTGAGACAAGTTGTAAGCTTATGTAACAGAAATTCTCAAGCAATGTTTGTGTGTTAGTTTGCTACCTGTGTGTACAACATTTCAGAAAGTTAGCTCTTATGAGGTGTTCTTCATCTGGTGTTGATTGCTCTTCAGAACAGCTGCTAGTTTTGGCTTTCAGCAATGTTTGTGTTGCTGCCTTGCATGGCTGTGTGGTATATTGGGGTAACAGGAAGGGAACTGGTTTTGTGAAATAGATCCTGTAAATAGAGCCAACTGCAATGAACAATCATGACAAAGCCTTAGCCAGCAGATTAAAATTGGGTGGAGCCAAAGCTGGAGCCATAGCTCAAAGCTTTTTTAAACTGAGGAAGCAATGGAAACAAACTGTTTAAGTGACAGGAAGCTGAAGGCAGGGCTGAAGCCAGATGTGAAAAATGCCTCAAATCTGGAGCCAAATCTAAAGTCTTTGAAGGAAAACTGCAGCTTCATGAAGCAGAAGCAGAAGCTGGCTTGGTCCTTTGGTGCAATGACAGCACATTGCTATCTTGTTCCCCCTTGGTATGTTATGGGCCCAAAAATGACCTTTGTAATAAGTGTGCCCTGAAACATCAAAACACAACAAAAAACATCGTGATGCTTTGGTTTTGGGGACTTAACTAAGTCATTCCCTCTCCTTTACATATTTTTCCTGCAACCCTTTTCAAATTTGTTTAACACTTTTTAAAGCCCTTAACCACAACCCCTGTTGAATATAATCCTTGTCCATGTGTACTTATACTGATACAAACATACAACAAACTTCCTGCCAAGAATTTTCCCAGTCAGACTTTATTCTACATAAATGGTGAGAAATTCGTCGTTGCATTATTCTACATCGAAATTTACGTTATAATTTTTCTTCGGGACGTACGCTCTCCTGATATTTTCAAGCACACAGGACTTTATGGCATGGACAATTTATGTGTGAAGGGTTTTCTATGCATACTTTTGTCTGCAACCAGTGTAAAAGGCATGGCAAATGCGGCTGGTGCAGCTTTAGAGTTCACAGTTGTCCAAAATGATCGGGAGGGATTGCTGTATATGGTTTAGTCAACTACATTACACTGCTCTTACTGATTATATCCTGCAGATGGAAGTTGATGCTGGTTGGAGTATTATGGGCTGGGAGCGGGCGACACAAGGTTGTGTGGACCTGATTACCCTGTGCTGTGCTGCCATCGCTGTGAGATGGAATATCGCGATACTATGATGGTGCTAACACATTGTTTGGATGCTTCCAAGCATATATATGGGACACATTGCAGCCAATATTGCTCAATGCAGTTCTGGTTTGCAATGCTTTTGCTAGTTTGCGTTGATCGGCATGTATCTAGGGGTGCTCAAACTCTTAAATGATATTGACTACATGCCAATTATTTTGTGTTCAGGTCCGTCCATCTGCCATAAATGCTGTTCTGCTCGCCATCGCTTCCTCTAAAGGCGCACGTCCGTCCCCATACGTCATCCGTGTCCTGGTCTCGGACCAGCCATCATCGCCTCCCCGCTGTGTCCGCGGCCGCGGCCGTGGCCCGGCCGGCGGTCGGCGGCTCTCGTCCGGACCGATGGCGCTGGCGGCCGGTGACGCGCGCCCGTGTGCGGACAGTGTGGCGCCGCGGGGGATGGTGATCAGCAGGGTGGAGCGCCGGCACGCTGGCGGCGGCAGCGGCAAGACGCTGTCGCCCCAGGAGCTGTCCGACTGCGACGACATCGCCACCGCGCTCACCGTCGACCCCTACCTGGGCTTCAACACGCACAAGATGTGCATCAGGTGCGCCGACTGTTGCCCGTACAGAAGATGGCCTGAGGTCGGACTGCAGCATATGCTATGTGTCCAGCTTTTCGCGAGGGCGCATTTGTATCCTGTGTAGAAAATGTCTGTAGGTGTTACATGTATATTGCAATGGGTGTATAGAAGCAGCAATCTCAATTGCTTATCCGATCATGTACTCGTCCACGATTTACCCCTGTGTCGCTCCAGTGCCCCGATGTTTCCTTCCTCGCAAACAGCACACATCCGACATGGTTGTTCGTACCTTTACCGTGTCGTCACGGTCACGCCCTCCCACTGTTAGCGCCACCGGGGCGCTGCGGCCGTGCGGTGCCCGCCGCGGTGGCCGCGCGGAACGAGGCCGTAACTCTCGGCGAGCCTTCCGTGACGGCCGGGCACGTGCGCAGGTACCGGCCGCCGCGCTGCAACAAGGACGTGCTGCGCAACATGATCTTCTCGTTCATCAAGGACCAGAACTACGAGGAGACGTACGAGCGGCTGGAGCGCTCCGAGGCCATGCACCAGCTGATGGCCTTCTATAAGCACCGGGTCAACCGGGACGACCTGCGGGACCACGTCAGTGGGGCTTCGGTGCCGACCACGGGGGGCGCGGCTCATGCGGGTCGATGGTGCACTCGAGTTTATCCCGATCGCAGGAGACGGGAAAATCTAAAACAGGGACATGGTATCTTTATGGAATGGCCGCTGAGATTTTTACCAGGGCATATTTGTCAGGATGTAGAATCATTTTTGCGATGTTGTATGGGCTCTGTAAATGCTGTCGCGAATGCGAGTGAATAATCTAGTCAGCAGCCTGAAGTGCATCCATGCAGACGGTCCATTAAGCTCAGAGGCTTATCTGGACTTCTTTTATGGTCCCATCATAAGCTGGTATGTGCTAATGCCCCCTTACCGTATTTTTAACTGGTTATTTAGACGCTAAATTAGGTATATATTTAGCCGCCTTTATGGGATGTGTGGGTCATATTGCGTTCCTGTGATGGGGTCGCCCACCATTTATCGGCCGCCAGCTGAGGATTGTGTCTGTCGGCCGCGCTGCCCAGCCGTCTGACAGCGTGCTGACCGCCGTGCAGATAATGCGCTTTCTGGGCGTGCTGGACGTGGAGTCCGGGATCTCGATCATGGGCTGCAGCCGGTACTCGCTGGAGGATAACGCCGGCGCCCGGGTCTGCTCCACCAAGGCGTGGTGAGTCACGGTCGGCGCCGAGGCCGGCCGGAAGCGGGGGCGGCGCGAGCTCGCGTGATCGACTCGCGCACCTGGCCGGACAGGCGGCGCGACGCAGCGGCTGCCAGGCGCCAGACGTGATGTCGGCATTCAGGTCAAGGCACGATCTAGCTGGAGTACTTGCGGGATCCGTTGGTAGCGGCACCGCGTCGCGCACGCTGTCGCCGCGGGGTGCTAAGACGGCATCGCGTGCGGCTGACCAGGATCAAGGCCATCAGGAATTGTGGCCACTACTGTCCGTTGTTCCTCAAGTCTGAATCATTTGCTAAGTCTCACGCTAGGAGGGTTGCGTCATTGCGGTCAATTGCGACGGCATCGTTAGCTTGTTTTACGTGAATTATGCTTGCCGTAGCAATTTAGGTGCACATAACTAAGCGAACCTACGGATAGCGTAGGAGCCAGCTGAGCTATGTTCACACTTGCGGCGAATGTGGCACCCACAGCCGACGATTTCCGCAGCGGCGCTCAGAAAATCAGCGGATAGGTGTTGGATTCAGTATTTCTATGCAGTTTCGTAGGGCAATCGCAGTTTTTCGATTGGTTACGAAACGCGTCCCCGTCCCCTCTCACAATGGCGCCGTCCCCGCGTCACTCACAAGTCAAACTTATCAAAGGTCACTTAAGTTTGATGCACTTAAAGTGCGAAGGACTGGTCATATTCGTGTATGCTAAGTGTATTTGGTATTACCGACGTTCATTTATAACAATTTGTACTCGCCCGTTGTGTTGACGACCATTCCAGTAGATTGCTATGCCATACTGTTATGATGCATTATGATGCCTGGGGGACGTGTAGCTTGTCAGTATATCAAGTCAGGCGCATTTCTTACCAGGGGCCGGAACGAGGAAATCCAGTTTTTAGTGGGTTGCATTGCTGAACTTTCGGAGGAAGAAGAGAACCACTTTCTTCACCCGGGCAAGAACGATTTCTCAGTCATGTACAGCACGAGGAAGAAATGCGGCCAGCTTTGGCTCGGCCCGGCGGCCTACATCAACCACGACTGCAATGCCAACTGCACGGTAACGACGGGCGCTTTGCGAGATGCATGATTTATGACCAACCCCCCTAACTTACCGTGTACCGTGACCGGCCTGCCACATTGCTGTCTATGTATAATTTGTCAGGAACGATCCCTTTTATCGCCAATGCGAGCCGGGCTGCTGTGCGCCGGTGACTTCGGAGTTGGCCAGGAACGCTCCCTCCAACCAGGTGCGGAGTGGGCCGGTCCGGAGACGCCCAGCTGCTAGGATGTTCTCGACGAGACACTCGCGGGGTCATGACCACGCGCGCTGACCATCGGAGCGGTCCTGCGCTGCATGTTGAACCTAGAGGTCAGGCCAGCTCCCACCCTCCCTCCCTTGCCGCGCCGTGACCCGAGCCGCGCGTCTCTGTCGGCAGTTCGTGGCCACTGGCAGGAACACGGCGACGGTGCGCACCCTGCGCGAGATCGAACCCGGCGACGAGGTTACCTGCAACTACGGCGGCGACTTCTTCGGTGATAACAACTGTTACTGCGAATGCGAGACCTGCGAGAGGTGAGCTCTCTGGTGACGGCCTACGCTGGCGTGAAGCGTGCTAGATTACGATGCGTAATGTCTTTCGATTATAACAGCAAAGGGAGGCAAACCGTGGTTCTTAAGGGCACCAGGCCCACATGATGATGATTCGGGCTTTGGGGCGCACCGACTACGTTGGTCATATGGCGCTCATAACCTGACACCATCGGGCCCACGCGTGGAGTCGTTGTGCATATGATTTGGCCGGATGCCTGCATATTGGATGCTGTGACCCGCCGCGGCTGTGGTAAGTCAGCCGTGTCTGTGCGCGGCTCACTCCCCGCCGTGCATCCGCCAGGCGGCAGACGGGCGCGTTCGCCAAGAAGGACGCGGACCAGCAGTCGGAGGGCTACCAGCTGCGCTACTCGAGTCGACGGCAGGCGGCGCCGCCGGCCGCCGGCTCCCACAGCCTGGAGCAGACGGTCGAGACGCTGCGGCAGCGCGGCATGACCCGCTACGATGCCCAGATTATCGCCGAGCAGCGGTTGCGGCTGGAGCCGGCACCGCCGCCGCCACCGCCGCCGCCGGCTCCCAGTGCCGCGCCGCGCGCCCGGACACGCACCCAGCGCCGGCTGTCGGCGGTGGCCGAGGCCCCGACAGCGGCGGCGGCGACGGCAGGTCGGCGCCGCGGCTCGCTGGCTCCGTCCGAACCACCGCTGCCGCCGCCACCGCCGCCGTCGCTGCCGCCGCCCGCGCTGCCGGCGCCGGCGCGCCGAGGCCGGGCCGCCGCCGCGGCGACTGCGGCCGCTGCCGCCGGCTCGTCTCCCTGCCACGTGAAGCTGACTCTGCGCATGAAACGCAGTCCGGCCGGCGACGACGTCAGCGAGTCGGCGAGCAGCCACTTCAGCGACGACAGCGCCACCAGCGGCGAGGTGCAGTACGAGGTGCTGCGCGTCGAGGGCGTCGGGGAGCTGCCCGCCGCCAGCTGGCACAAGAAGAAGAAAAAGCACAGCCGCGAGCGTCGCCGACGCGCGCAGCTGGAGGCGGTCGTGTCGGGACTGGGCGCCGAGCGGCCGCCGGGTGCCAAGCGACTGCGACTGAAGTTTGGCGGCGTGTCGCGGACCATCGACCTGACGGGGTGACGCCGCCGCCGCCGCTACCGCCACCACCGCCGCCGCCGCCGCCGCCGCCGCCGCCCGCCCCGTCTTTCACTGGCCGTGCGCGCGCCACGGCCCATTCCATAGGCCGAGTACAACGTTGTTATACCTCCAGTGGCCATGGCCGTCGTGCGCGGCCGCTGTTCAGGGCCCACCGACCGCCGTGGAGTATGTTTTATTGGAGCTATATTATCTGATCCCGGCACTGCCATGGTCAATTTTGTGCATGAGCAATCAACTATCCTTGCTGGCGATTCTTTTGTAGATGTTCCTCAGTCCGATGCCGCATTTACCTTGTGTGGAGTGGAATAGTAGGACTTTTTTGATCTCATTGTTCTGAGTACGCTAGTGACCTTTTTTACCGCCGATGAGTGAGCCTTTCTTTGGGCTGCGCTGTGTGGTAGCTCCCACGGAGATTCGTCCTGAATGACCTCGAGGTTGTAATAAATGTATGCATTTGCCGTTTGTCGACATACCCTCGGCTTTATTCAGTGTAGTTGCTGAACTTGTCGCTTTATGCCGCTTGGCAATAATTATCTCTAGCTCCAGCGCAGATCCGCGAGAGCGCATGCTAAAGGCATTGCGATTTCCCCCTATGGCCCAGGTATTTGGAGGGGTCGGGGGTGGGCCTTGCAACGAAGTAACCTGTCCACGCCGCAACTTATCTTAGGGAGTGGCAAAGTTTTACGCGTAACGCACCTACATATGCAAAACAAAACTGGACATGACGATGACTAGTAGACATGACGCAATATGTAGGTGAATTTAATCATGACGGCATCCCCGTGACAAGTGGAGCTCGATGGCGGCGCACCCGGCGTCCAACTGCTGCAGACCCGGCTAAAAACGGGATCGCGAGGTATACAGCACACGCATGAATTGTGCTGGGCATTTTCTTGGCCACTTTCTACTCTCCCGCTAATTGCTCACTTGTTACCTGACTCACATGCCCCGGTGACGCGGCGTCACGTTCGCTTGGCATATTGGTTGAGGTGTGAAACGAGAACGAGTACGCCGCATGCAAGGGGCGCAGCCAGGGTTTTCTTAAGGGCAGGGCGGAGGGTCGGGGGAGCACGTAACACGACGATTTCTGACTCCCTGTCAGGAGCCACGTATGGTGAGAAAGAAAAGGACGGGCCTGATGGGCGTTTCCCCTCTGGCTGCACCCCCGCTCCTTGTAACGAGAGGAAGTCATTGGATTCTTCGATATTTGAAATGTTTAAAAGAATCGAGCCAGCTTTGTATCCATACCTGAGCGCAACGTTACTATGTCCAAACCACCCTCCTAAAGCTAGGCCTCGGTTACGCTCGCTCAAACTCTCCCTCCCCGCCCACCGGTAATGTAAGTCATGGACGACTCCTAGCCGTTAACCTTGACGGAAAAGTGCTTCATACGTCAAATATACCGTTGGGGATTTCCAACGTAAGGGTTATATCTGTTTAAGAACGAGCAAGATGTATCAGAAATTCAAAATTCTAATGTGATGAAATGTACGCGCTCTAAAAAAACGCACGGAAGCCAATGCAGATGAAATAAATCATAGCACCAAGTATACTGACGTCATTTGAATTTTTCCTTCCCGTTCTCTTCTCTTGGTGGCACCACACTTCCCATGCTTGATTCCGTCCCTCATTCAGTCAGTTCCGCTCCACGGCTGGGGTCGGGTGGGGCGGGCCGCGGTGTTTTAGGGGGTGGAAGTTGGGCGCCGGATGGATATCTTTGCTTAAGGCGGACTGTCCACTTAATCACATTTCCAAAACTGGCATGCGGGTAGAGGGAATGGAGGTGGGTGTCGTGAATACAATGGGCACCCCCATCCGTCAAGGATATTTTCAAATAAATTCGGTTCGCCATAAGGTGTCGATGGGGCAAACTTACATTTCTTGGGAACCGGAAGGAACTCCAGATTGTAAGTATCCTATTCTTGTGTTCCGGTCTTGAACGGGCTTTCCTGTTAATACTTGTTTATATAATGAGAATATGAGAATGGGAGACACGCTGCATAATCCTGTTGTGCTAAGCTGCCATTTAATATGCAAGCAACTTTTTTGTTTTGTGTCTTTTTTCCCAGCCATTGTAATAAAAGAGGTCTTTGGGAATGATGCAATTTGAAAGTTAGTACTTGAACACCAATTATGCCTAATATAGATGTGTGTATATGTGTACATGTGTAAAATGCAGGCATTTTGACCCAGGTATTGGGATTTTCAAAACTAATTTTGAAATTGCCTTCTAAAAGGGGAATGAATATGTACCTAATGGATTCAAATGCCTGGATCATATAACATTAAAGCTTTTATGGTGACGTGAAGTGTATGACTAAGTTCAATACAACAAAATCGAATACCAATAGCAATATCAGTCCAACCATTATCCAGCCAATGTTCAGCCCCTCCAAATTGGGCTCCAGCATTCCAAATTTGATAAGAAAGTGGGCTGAAGTTGTGGGAAAAACCAGTTGGCATTTATTTAGCCTGGGTTATCAGATTTCTTCCTCTCAGCCCCCCGGTGTCCAACACATTTTGCAAAACTTTACCACTGGCAGATAACATAGTGTTCACATCTTTGGTGTGGGCAATGAGCAAACAGAATTTCTACTTTTTCCATAGACTGATTTAGGGTTAATGTTAAATGTTGCCTCAGGATAGAAGGGGGAGGGGAGGAGGATGAGGAGGAGAGAGAGGAGAAAAACTTCTTCCTGTCACCTTAGTCTGCCATCCCTGGATATGGCTGTTGGCAGTCAGAAGAACCAGTGTGTCAGTAGCATACCCTAAAATAACCTATAGTGGTTGCAGGGCCATCTTCCAAGATTTGGTTTTCTAGCTAGCTGAGTAGCTAACTCTGCAGCTAGTTGATAAAGCTGACCAACTATGGGAAGGGAAGAGGGGCTGTTCAACAAGGCATCCCAAGCATTGAAACTGGGTTTGGGATGCTTATTTTGATTCTATTGATAACTTGGTAAAATTGCAAATTCCTATACACATTGCCTGGAACCAAATACTATGGTTCAAACTAAGTGGTTTATTCATGCATTCTAACACATGTTTGTTAGACTTGACCAGTCAGGCAATCTTACAAAATGTGGCCTGCATGTTGACTGTGATCGGTATATTGACAAGGCTTCAAATGTAATCGATATACAGTTCTGATAGAAAGTTTCACTCTTAACCAAACTAGGTTAAAATGGATAACACTCAGCCTCTTGCTCTGCCTGGAAAGACTGAGAAATGTCCTAAGTTTTGCCAGACCTCGCAAAATATATGGGAATCTTTGACAATTGGCTTTTCTCTGGATATATCAGTGACAAATTTGATATTAAAGGGATGCTCCACATTTGAAGCTCTTAAAGCATGCATCAGATATGATGAAATAAGTTCACTTATAACTATTGGTATACTTTTAAGTAAAGAAATAGGTTCACTTGTAATTATTGGTGTACTTTTAAGTGAAAAAAGCTATGGGATGCTTTTAATTAGTCTACCTGAAAAAGTCTGCACATCCTCGTGGGCATGTAGCTCAGAAACTAGAGATGTTTAGGTCTTAAGAAGGGCAGGGCTGTGTACTGCACCAAATAATCTTTAAGATGCCATTTCTGTTCAAGGCATCATGCAAATGTTGAACACTCTTTAAGGTACTGGAAACAAATAAGGCAATGCATGTTGTACTCCACCTCAAAATGAAAATGAATTTTAGGACCCAGCATGGGTCATTGCCATCAGGGCTTAGTTCCATAACAAGGAAAACAGGCCTAAGAATATTTTAATGATGAGATATAGACATACAAGTCAGGGATGAACAATATTCAGTAAAAAGAACACATTCTGAGGGCCCTATTGAACAAAATATGCCTTGACAATTACCAGACATTATCACTGGATGTAGGTGACATTTGACAAAGAAGATGAGAGGGGACCCTTTTTCATTATCAGCTCCATCTGATTTCTCTGGATGCATCCTTGTGAAGGGATGTCTATTTTCAGAAACAAATTGTGATGAATTTCACGCTAATCTTCTTTGATGCAAAAGGCTTAGCCATGATGTTGCACAGCCTGCTCCATCAGTGGGCACCCATTGGGGAGCTGCAGGTGAGGCTGCTTGCTGGAGGTAAAGATGCGCCGGCCACTCAGCCAGCAGTCGTGGTGCGCCGTTCTTTGCTCCGCAATAGTGCTCACTATTTAGCAGCCCACCAAAGCCCCAACGCTGGTCTGAGATGTATTCGGGGAACGTTTTGTCTGGCGTGCTTACATTACTTTCACCGCCGAAGAATGTCAGTTTTGTAACTATTCACATGATTGAATAGTGTTTGGTGTGACATTTTGTTGCCTTTTCATCTTGCCTCCTGTTCGGCCTTTTTCTCTTTCGTGCTCTCCGTTCCTCCCTTTCTGAACTTGCTTGCTCTATTTGTCTTATTCTGCACGTATTTCCATGTTCCGGAAACATTATATGCCGCGGCCCGCCACCTGCCTTGTGCACTAGCCGCTCTGAAGGAAGTGACCTTAAAAGCCGCTTTGGATTCGTGTTTTTTTTCGAGGAGGGTCTGTGTGGGCTATTTGAAGCTCAGTGAATGACTCAAGTAGCTGCAATTGGATAGGTCGGTTGGCAAAATGTAGACGAGACTGAAGTTCTTTTAACCCTTTTTGATTAACGGTGTCTCGGCAGCATCGATTACAAGCAGAAACATCGCCCATGGCCTTTGAATTAGCAAATCGTCTAATGGCTTTAAGCAGTCGTTGTTAGCTTGCGTGACACACATTGTTTGAAGTAGATTCCTACTGAAACAAGCTGCATCAGGTCCGCTATCGTAGTCTATTTTAATCTTGCATGACACACAGAGTTTGAAGGGAATTCGTTTAGGCCACGGTAGGGCCAGCGCCCATGCCCGAACACCGCGCATGTGAGCGAAACGTTACAAAGGTTACGACAGGCGTACCGACAGGGTGAGGACGTGTTTGTTTACAATGTCTGCATAACAGAAACATCAACTACATTGCTTATGGAGGCATTGCCATTTCCTGAAAGCCACCCGGAAATTCGGTCACACCAGTGCGAGAATGGCATGTTTCGCGACTGATGCTCGTTTTGAGTCCGTTCATTCATGGTGACTGGCAGTTACGAGTTGGAAGTTTGTTAACCACTGTTCCGGGGTTCTGCTGGACCACCAGGGACTGTCTCTCGGAATCGCCAGAGCGCGCCCGATGTGCGTGCGTGCTCGGTCCCGGGAGGTGTTCGAGGTGTTCGGCTCCTGTTGCAGTGCGTCACCTGGTGCCGCTGAGCGAGGTGGTGGCCGTGAGCCGGCCGCAGCCGGGCCGCGCTGCCTCGGCCGGCTCCGGCGCCGCCGTGTACCGCGTGCCGGTGCGCGAAGACGGCCAGCTCGAGCAGGCCGCCGCCACCTGCGGCCGCTCCTTCGCCGTGCACTACGCGGAACGCGCCGGCCGCCGCTGGAAAGTGCGCGTGCAGCACTTCCACCAGCGCAGCGCCGACACGCTGCGGCAGTGGGTCGACGAGCTGCACACGCTGCTGCAAGGTCAGCGGCTGGCGCCGGCCAACGCGCGGACGGACACGTGCTTCTAGGCCTTCGGGCGGTGCCCTCAGTGACCTCTCACCACTGTGCTTGTGACGATGGGAGGGGGAGGGGAATACGACCCTGCGGAGTCAGCACTCTGGCAACGCTCTATGCAAACTCGTCATGTCCTTGGGTTTGGGGTATACGTTTTGTTTTGTATGAAAGGAGCAGCTCACCGCGAGAACAGCTCTCGGAATCAGGGTGGCGTCTTCCTCGTCAGGAACAACCAATTTTACATTATGACCTCGATGTGGATCATAAGCGATTGATTCGCAGTCATATGGCCGTAAACAGGGAACATTACGGTCGCATTCCAGACGCCTGGGAACAGACATTGATGCAGCGCTCAAGTGGCCGAAAAACGCAGTGTTTTATCTAACGTGATCAAGATTCATGATGTGTGTCATTTATATACACGTTTGCCATAGCTGGCTGTTTGAACCGCTTGTTCAACTGGCAAACGGTCCATCCGTTTTCAATTTCATCACCGCTTGTACTTAGGAACATTGTCCTTTAATCTTTCGCTCAGTTGTAGCGATCAATTATAAATTTGGGGTCTTGAGGCCCGCAGAAGCTTGCACATGTGCCTTGCTTGGCTCTTTCATACTGCTGCAGTGGTGTGTGTCCTATAAAACGATCTCGGGAGGTGCATTTGCGTGAGTTTTATTTCCTGTTAATGATATAACCAGTGGCCTTCGCGCTTAACGTTAGCCTAACCACTCAGTAGCTGCATTGTAATGCCCTTTCCGCATTCCATGGCATATAACCCCGTCAGTCCCACTGGCAGCTGACAGCATGCGTCTGCCCGCCGGCATCTGTGATACCGTCAGGTTTTCGGAGACCCCAAAGCCTCATGGTGTTCATTAACCCTGCCTGCGGCCGCCGCCGGGGGCCGGCCATTTACAAGAAGAAAGTGAAGCCCATTTTCGCGTTAGCGGGTGTTCAGGTAAATAACAGCACGCGCCGCACCCGCGTGGCTCCTCTTACACGCAGTGTCGTTCGTGGCTCGGCTTTCTCTACACGATGCCTACATGCATGTAGCACGGCGCTGAAGCACGATTTCAGGGTGAGCACGGAGCGTGGTCGACGTGCTCAGAGTCCGGGCAGATGGCGGGGATTCATCGTCGCCGCGAATGTTGCTTTGCCTGTCAGCTGAATGGTTCGTCCACGCCGCTTTAGAAGCACGCTTGCCTGCCTACCTGCCTGCCTGTCTGCCTGCCTGCGCACGCTGTGTTTGCGTCTGTGTGTGGTGGCGCTGGCTCAGCAGTGACCCGCTCGTCCCGCCGTCCCGCCTGGCGTGTCAGTGCCGGCCTGCCGGCCGCCAGACTGTTTGCCGTGGGCGGCGCCGTTGTCACAGCCTCGCGCCGTCCAGCGCGCGCCGTTCAACTGGTCGCTGTGTTTGTTGACGAGTGTCGTCATGGTCACAGTCGGCCGTGACTCTGCCGGGTCGTAGGCGCTGATCAATGCCGGCGGTCACGACGCGTTCGCCGCCTGGCCCGCCTTCCGCACCGCCCCCCGCCGTCTCCGAGCAGTGTCCCGCAGTAGCTAGGGACGACGCATGGACTAAACAACGGTTTCTAAGCACGCCCAATGGCGAAGGCGGCCGCTATCGCACGTGGGCACTTGACTTGAATGGGATGAGTGTGCGCGCGGCGGCACCGCCCTGCGGCCCCGCCCGTCGGCACGTGGAGATGAACAGGCATCGGGCGTTGCGCGCTAGAGAGGGGGGGGGGGGGGGGAGGTTGCTTCGTGTGGACCCTAGCACGCCCTCGGTCGCTCGCCATGCCTACGTACAAACTGGCTTGGTCGTGGCCGTCGGTGGGCAGTATCGGAAGTCAATGGGAACTTGCGCCGGCCGCCCTGAGACCGCTCCATACGTGCTAGTGACGTCAGGGATGGTGATGTCACCACCGGCACGATCGTTGTAAGGGGAGGGGCACCAGAACGTCCAAGATCGCAGCTGTCCACTGTTCATGTCATCCCAAGTCGCAGCATACAGCGTTCACAACATCCCGAGCGCGTCTTATTCCGTACCCATTGGCGGATTTGATGTGAAACAAACAAGCCACGTCCAAATTCATAACATCCATATGTATGACATCAAGTTACGACAACGGCCAAAACTAGTTTTGATTCCTGCTGCTACATGGCACGACACTTGCAGCGTACTTTTTCCATTCTTGTTGCTAGATGACTCAACAATACCATATTTTCCTCTGCCAAAAAGATGGCTTAGTCAGCTTCGCGTTCACCCATGATCACATGATAAGTACCGTGGAACATGGTTGTTCCGAATTACCTAGAGCGTTTGGCGGCTGGCGGTCCTGTATTCGGCCCCGGCATAGGTTCCGTTGTAAGAGGGAGCCTATACGGTGTCACGACTTGAGCGCTGCGGCAAAAACTCCTGCGGACGGGAGTGCCACGACATCAGTTATACGCGACATTATTTCCACTGCAAAAGCTTATGTAGACTGCTTGTACGCGCCATTACTTCTATTGCAAAAACTTGTGCACGACATGAGTGCTACACGACAAAACAAAATTGGCTTCAAAAACTTAAACAAGTCATTGCATCTTCCTGCAAGAACTTATATTACTTATACGGACATTGCTTCGTCTGCAAAAACTCATACATGACGTGAGTGCTACCGACACGAATGTATGCTGCAAAAGTTTATGCTCGTCATTACGTATGCAACAAAGAGTTGTGATCAAGATTAGCACGTGTGGCACTTACTTCGCGTAAGGGTTTTGCAATATAAGTGAAGGTAAGATATGGTCGTGTAGCACTAACGTCGCGTTGAAGTTTTTGCGGTAGAACTAATGTCGTGTATAAATAATAACTACAAGTGTTAGTGGTAGGAGTGTCCAGTCCAACCAGTCCAGTTTTTCAGCATGAACTTCGTTTTGTAACACTAATGTGTATGAGTATTGGCAGCAGAAGCAATGTCGTAGCACTCCTGTCTGTAACTAATTTTTTTTGCGGCTCTAATGTCGTGAAACGGCCTACAAACCATCGGCATCGATTTACTTATGGTGCAGCGTCCACGCCTGGCACGCTCCATTCAAGGAAATTGTTTAGCAAGAAGCCATCGATGCCGCTTCTCAACTTTGACTCAGCGGCGGAGCTATCGGTTTCAAACAGCCATTAGCACTAATTGCTGCTCTGAATATAATCGATGTGCTAGCTGCGGTAAAGGTGATGGTCTTAGAAACGACGCAAACTCACGAGGCTTTTACGAATTGGAAGAGGTAATCGAATCCATCAGCAAAATGATTCGTGAAACATGACCGGTCCAATAAAGGAGCTAGGCGGAACCAATCACCGCGGAGGAATTTTATCCATCGCAATAAAAAACTAGCAGGTGATCCGACAATAGCCTTTCACGGCCACCGTGCACCTACTGCCCAGTAACCAGAGATCTTCGAGGTCACGAGCCGGGGATCAATAATTCTAAATTCGTCATAAGCATACTACCGAACACATGCAGACACGGTGAAATTCGCGTGCGTAAACAGAACGTTGTCTTTGCCCACGCACAGTAGTATTAGTTAGGTAGCACTGTACCGGATGACGTTACTCGTCGGCATAGCAGGACAAATCAACGACGCCACCCCTTTATCGGGTACTAAGCCAATAGTTAAGTGTTCTCCAACTTTTGGACGGTATGAACGCTGGATGTTATGAACTTTGGGTGTTTCTATTTTGGATGCTGCTAGCTTGGATGTCGTGATTCTCTCCACCCATGGACATAAAATATTTTTGGGCGCAGGTTTTTTTGGGGGCGCGCAACCTCAGGTTTCTGTGATTTTTGACGTTTTGACCTTGGACGTTGAACTCTGGATATCTCAGTGTGCGCCCCTTTTGAAGCCACTCCGTGCGCGACGGTGGCGATTGGCCGTGGCGCGAGGGCTACGGAACGATGGCGGTCGGCCGTGGCGCGAGGGCCACGGAACGATGGCGGTCGACCGTGGCGCGAGGGCTACGGAACGATGGCGGTCGGCCGTGGCGCGAGGGCCACGGAACGATGGCGGTCGGCCATGGTGCCAGGGCCACGGAACGATGGCGGTTGGCCGTGGCGCCAGGGCCACGGACCGATGGCGAGTCCTGGGACACGGATCGCCTGCTGATTTGCTTTATCGATATGCTGGGTGGAGCTGGCTCCTTTTGTCCGGGATTCCGGCTTGCGGTGTTTTGAATGGAGCGCTGGTATTTGTGGACGTGCGTGAATACCATTGTACCAGGCGGTATGAATGCCAGCTTTTCACGCCCCGGATGTGTTTGGCACTTCTGAGTCTTACGGAGCAGAGTGATGCGACGATCGACGGCGTATGGGCACTCTATAGTCATTCAAGCATGATACTTTTATGACCAGGCCTTCACACGATCTGTGAGAATCTCGCAGCCATTTTCAATTCCACACGCTACCGCACGGTGGTAAATTGATCGCCATTGAACGGCTGTCTTTTGTTATAGCGAGGCATTTGCCAACTAGTGTGCTTAGATTTGGAAGCTGTTCATGCGTATATGTATATATATATATATATATATATATATATATATGTATATATGCTTGTGTAATAAATGTTCTTGTGCAAATGTAGATGTTATAAGTAAATGTTCTTTTTCTGTTTCGTGGTCTGGTGGCATTGCCCCCCAAAATGCTGGAACGATAATGTAGCTGCTCTCTTTTCTGTGTTGATTGACGTGCATAAATGAAGGCAGTAATTTGCTATGGCTGATTCAAGATAGCGGCCCTCGCTGCCATCTCGGAATTGCTCTCGCGTGGGAGGAAAGTGGAGGTAATGGTTCCCATGTGGCCCTGAGCCCCAGGGAGCATCCCGCCGCCTCATGGGCGACTCCGGACCGAATCCTGTAATGCGAAACAGGCTCGCTCCTCGCGACGTCTCCATGCCTGGAGCTCCTCATGGCACCACCACTATCCTCCCCATGCCACTCCTGGTCACGTGCGATCTTTTGCCGCCTCTGCCAGTCCGTGCCGAACGAGCCATGGCAGCGCTGTTTTCAGCCAGTTCTGCCACCCGCAGCACAGCGTGTTGTGACGGAGGGCCGCGCAGTCGTGCACCTCTGCGTGGCGTTGTCAGTTGGCTTCGATGTGCGTGCTGAATCAGGATGGCGTGTCAGATTGCGGGAACGCTCGGCAGCACTCCGTTGGTGAGCGGACGTGATCAGGACACACCGTTGTTGGGCTCCGGAAACAGCATGCGGGCAGGATCGGGCGACTCCCGGTCGGCGTTTGGAGCGCCTGTTTGGAGGCTAGCGCCCACTGGTCGGGGTTTAACGGGGACTTGTCTAGGTGTTTTGACGCTGGTTGGGGCTTAGTGCCGCGTGATGAATACTCAGTGCCGACGAGTCAGGATGTCGAAGCGACTGATCAGGATGTCGATGCGACCGGTCAGGATGTCGATGCGACCGGTCAGGATGTCGAAGCGACTGGTCAGGATGTCGAAGCGACTGGTCAGGATGTCGATGCGACTGGTCAGGATGTCGATGCGACCGGTCCGGTCAGGATGTCGAAAGCGACTGGTCAGGATGTCGATGCGACCGGCCAGGATGGCGAAGCGACTGATCAGGATGTCGATGCGACTGGTCAGGATGTCGATGCGACCGGTCAGAATGTCGAAGCGACTGGTTGGGATGTCGACGCGAATGGTGAGGATGTCAAGGTGAATGGTCAGGATGTCGATGCGACTGGTTAGGATGTCGATGCGACCGGTCAGGATGTCGAGGTGAATGGTGAGGATGTCGAGGCGACTGGTCAGGATCTGGTGGCGCGTGGTCGACTTACTGCGCTTCGCCGCGAGGCGCTGTTACCGACTGTGACCGGCCGTGACCCGCTCTGACCCTCCGTGACCGCCAGCCGGCCGGCAGACGGAGGTGATCCAGACCACGCACGCCAGCCACGCCTCGTCGCTGCTGCAGCAATGCTCGCTCAGCGGCTGCGATGGCGTCGTGGTGGTGGGCGGCGACGGCACCCTGATGGAGGTGCTGAACGGCCTGCTGAAGCGGCAGCCCGACGACCAGTCGCCCAACGCGCCCGTCCCCATCGGTGTCATCCCCGGTAAGTGGTTTCTCACCGGCGCCATTCCCGGACAGTGGGCTCTCTATGGGTGTTATCGTCGCTCAGGAGTGTCCCCTTCGTTTATCGTGGCCTACTCTGATATGGCGGAGTGCTGGGATATGTACGAAAGCAACGTAAAATCGCTGCCGTTTGTTTTCTGCGTCGTTTTCAGTCATGTTTTGTATGTTTATGATAAACCGTCGTCACGATAAAGTTTCCCGTTACTTAAATACGAGTTGACTTTGATTTGAAATTAGTTGAGAAAGTTGTTATTTTCTTCCTTTTTTTTAAACACTCAACTTGCCGTAAAACGCTGTTCACTACAGGCCTCTGCGCGAACGTCGATATCCACATAGTCTCACCCAAGCATACTACTACATACACGACGGCTTGTGTGTGCCGGCACCGTTGCGGTGGTGTCGGCGCCCTGGGCACGGCTTTGCTCATGAGCGCCCTGTCCGCTCCGCAGCGGGCAGCACGGACGCCGTGTGCGGCAGCCTACAGGGTAGTCAGGACGCCGTCACCGCCGCCCTGCACATCGTGATGGGTGCGTACCGCGGGCCGGCGGCGGCCGCCCGGCCGCGCCCGCACGCTCACGCGGCGTGCGTGCGTTTGTCTGACGGTGGTGGTTACCGCTGCAGCCATGCAGCCCACATGCGATTGAGTGGTGCGCAGTAGTCAGATTTTCTGCCCGTCGGTTGCATGTGAGTTCCCGCCGTCTTGTAAGATAGTGAAAGGCAAGAAGGACCCTGCTTTTTTGTTCCGATTTTGTCTGGCGCGAGTCTCCCGTAATGTAATCAAGTAGTTGTGAACGGGAATGGCTGTTGTCTTGAAGTTTCGAGCACCGGTAATTCCCGGGGGACAGGTACCGGTGTGAGCGGCTGGCCCTTATGCAAATATGTAGCACGCTTGAGGTCGGTTACACGTGCCTCGTGCCATATGTATGCATTTCTGAACCAGGTGGGTTTGGGAAGGCACTGGCTATAAACTATTTGGGATGGTGGCGTGTCACTCTGGAACAAATGCTTGGTCGCTGAGCCTTAGTTTTGGTCTAACATTTTTTGCTCGCGCCCGGATTAACTTACACCAGTGTGGGTACTAGTGGTGATATAAAAAAATGGCGAATTGATGTGTGGCACGGTTTAATGTGACTTGTACAGTTTCCTACGAGTTTTCCTTTCATTTCCAGTGGTTCTTTACCTTCTGATCTCCCTCCAGTGTCGCCCCTCACTTTTGTAATGGGTGAGGTCATGTCTGACGCTCCGTGCCACTCGGATCTCGGTCGGAACATGTGCACCGACCGCGGCGGGCGGCCGCTGCCAGCTCAGCCGCGGACGTCGGGCTCCCTGCCGGCCGTCCCCGCCGCGAGCTCAGCCGCGGACGTCAGGCTCCCTGCCGGCCGTCCCCGCCGCGAGCTCAGCCGCGGACGTCAGGCTCCCTGCCGGCCGTCCCCGCCGCGAGCTCAGCCGCAGCCGTCAGGCTCCCCGCCGGCCGTCCCCGCCGCGAGCTCAGCCGCAGTCGGGTTCCCCGCCGGCCGTCCCCGCCGCGAGCTCAGCCGCAGTTGTCGGGCTCCCCGCCGGCCGTCCCCGCCGCGAGCTCAGCCGCAGCCGTCGGGATCCCCGCCGGCCGTCCCCGCCTCGAGCTCAGCCGCGGACGTCAGGCTCCCTGCCGGCCGTCCCCGCCGCGAGCTCAGCCGCAGCCGTCGGGCCCCTGCCGGCCGTCCCCGCCGCGAGCTCAGCCGCAGTCGTCGGGCTCCCCGCCGGCCGTCCCCGCCGCGAGCTCAGCCGCAGTTGTCGGGCTCCCCGCCGGCCGTCCCCGCCGCGAGCTCAGCCGCAGCCGTCGGGATCCCCGCCGGCCGTCCCCACCTCGAGCTCAGCCGCGGACGTCAGGCTCCCTGCCGGCCGTCCCCGCCGCGAGCTCAGCCGCAGCCGTCGGGCCCCTGCCGGCCGTCCCCGCTGCGAGCTCAGCCGCAGTCGTCGGGCTCCCCGCCGGCCGTCCCCGCCGCGAGCTCAGCCGCAGCCGTCGGGATCCCCGCCGGCCGTCCCCGCCGCGAGCTCAGCCGCAGCCGTCGGGCTCCCGCCGCGTCACGTCCGGTCGGCTGCGTACCGGCCGTCTGGTGCCACCTCCGCCCTGCCTCGGTCGTCACCGGGCCTGGCCAACGGCCGGCGGTGTACACACGGATCGGGCGGCGCCAGATAACCGTTATCGGTCCGTATCGACGGCCGGCCCGGCGTACGCGGCCCGCCGCCGCCCCCAGCGCCGTACGAGGCCACGGCCGGCCGATGTGGAGCTGGTCTGGCCGGCCCAGCCGAGACGAGCTGCCGTTTAAGACGATGGGGGAGCAGTGGCTCGACGATTCGTCGCGTTGTTGCTCGGGATGGCTGTCTGCCTCGCATTGGAGACTTGCGCTTGATAACGCAAACGTACGTTACCATTCCGGATGGTACGTGCAAAGCGTGATGCGTGACGTCGTGGAGAGTGCACGCTGGGTCTTAATGTGACCTCGTTTCCCGAATATTGTCAAAGAAGCTGATTGCGTAGAACAAGCACGCGCTGCTACAAATCCACTGCAGCTCGAAGGAGACAGTCGCGCGTCTCTGTAGATAACCCCTGAACCAACGCGCGGCACGACACTTGTCACCCTCCACGACTGGCCGTGTCCACCGGAGTTGGGACACACCAGTCGCACCACGGGCGCTCCATGGCCGCGCAGGCGCAGCGTCCGTCCGCCGAACCATCCACCGGCGGTGCACCAGCCGCGAGGTCGCGCGCGGTGCGGGCGCCCGGCCGGCCTGGACGCGCCAGTGTCGCTAATGGCGGGTCGCAGGTGGCCCCGATCGGCCGATGAGGCGTTGATGAGCCTCGTGACCCATCGCCGATCGCCGTCATGTGATGTGTCGGCAGCTGTCGACGATGGGCGAGCCGCCAGGACGGAGGTGTGGTTCTCACCAGAGCGCCAGCGCCGGCGCAGCCAGGCGATCAAGGCTCTCGCGCGGCGATTGTTCGTCACCCGCGCGAGGTCACCTTTGTAGATTTACTCGGAACCATTTTGTTTGAGTGACCTTCTGAAAACGGAGCTAACGCCAAACAGTGCTTGTGTGGACGCTGACTACCACCCGATCGTGAACTTCCAGTGTAACGGCAGATATCAGTGATAAATTAACGTGCCGCGATGCCCGCCAGGACCTACGTCGTTTTCTGACCTTATCTGACCTAATTCGGATAGAACTGATATCTGATCTCATTCACACAGCAGTTGGACATTACCTGCATTGCGTTTTAATACACCCACACGTATGCTTTGTGGGTGTCGTGGAGGCTGCGCGTGCCCTAGTTCGGGTGCCTCGCATGTCAAGACACTCCCGCGAGGGGGAGCGGCCCCCAACGCTGGTGGACTTGAGCGGTTACCACAGCCATTCCCAGGGACACCGAGCGGGTGGTGTGCTGTATGGTCGCCGCCCCGACAGTTTGTTAGCTGTGCTCTGTTGGCTGGTGCTGTTAACAACGATCTGGCGTGCATTGTCGTTCCCGGAGATTCGAAGCACCTCCCGCCTACGTCTTGCCTATGCCTCGTGACTGGCTGACCATGTTTAGTGTACTCACACTTTACTGCAGCTCGAGCTTAATCCTCGAGCACTTCCGATCGGGCAGATTGTCTACACAGAATCCAGTGTCCTTGAAATTCGAGTGCTAGATCAGTCAATAATGATCTTAATCGAACCCGAAAGGAAGGAGGATGTGCACTATTGTCGAACGTACTCAGTTCATTCGCAACATCCCCTTTACGACGTTTGTGGCGCTTCCGATTAATGTACACTCAAGTTTCTCATTGCACGGGTTTGGGTGAAGCGACTTTTATGTGCTAAGCTCACCGTTCGTCCCTTTTGTTGAAGCATGCTTGAGCTGGAGAAATGCAGCCACACAGGTCTGGCTCCTGTGATTTGGAAGTCTCAGCGGCTGCTGTTAGGTTTCTTGAATATAGGAGGTGCTCTAGCATATAATAAGCGTGGGCGCGTCCCCGGCCGGTTTGGTCCTTACGCTTACGTTAGGATCAAGAAGTTGGGTATGACCTTACCAGCTGCCTCTAGCGCCAGGTGACCTTAATACACAGCCTCACTGATAAACATCGCTACAGCTGCCGATGTGGCCGCCGGCTGAGCCCCTCCCCTGCCCGTGTCCGTGTCGGATGCGACGTCGGTGCCGGCTCGGTTGTCCGGCGGCGCCGGAAAGGCTCCGGTTCGAGCCTGGCCACGCCCCGTCGCCGGGTGGCGCGGCGTCGGACGCCGGCCCGGCACCTGACTCCTCTTGCGCGGGCTGGTGGCGCCGCATCGCGCTGCTCGGGGCGTCCGTAAGCGCGGTGTCGCCGACGCTCGGGGTGATCCCGCCCTCGCACCGGACACCCCAGGCGCCGGGCGGGGCTGGCCGGAAGCTGCGGTGACATGGTCCACGAGACTCTTATCGGGGACCTGGGACGAGGCGGGGTGGCCGGAAGCTGCGATGACACGGTCCACGAGACTCTCCTCGGGGACCTGGGACGAGGTGGGGCTGGCCGGAAGCTGCGATGACACGGTCCACGAGACTCTCCTCGGGGACCTGGGACGAGGCGGGGTGGCCGGAAGCTGCGATGACACGGTCCACGAGACTCTCCTCGGGGACCTGGGACGAGGTGGGGCTGGCCGGAAGCTGCGGTGACATTCCGAGCGGCTCTTCTCGGGGACCTGAGACGAGGCGGGGTGGCCGGAAGCTGCGATGACACGGTCCACGAGACCTCTCCTCGGGGAGGGGACGAGGTGGGGTGGCTGGAAGCTGCGGTGACACGGTCCACGAGACTCTCCTGGGGACCTGGGACGAGGCGGGGTGGCCGGAAAGCTGCGGTGACATGGTCCGAGCGGCTCTCCTCGGGGACCTGGGACGAGGCGCGCCCGGGGGAGCTTAGGCTGCTCCACTCCGGCCTCTCGTTGCGTGGCGTTGACGATGTGAGGCGGAACGGAACTGAAGAGGAGTATAACGTTGGAAGCAATGATGTTCCCAATGCGCCCCACGCTGTAGCCTGCGTGCGAGTTGGGAGGGAGCTGTCCTTGCCAGATGCAAGTTGAATCTCAGTCAACTATTTCCACCGCTCGCTGGGGATTGCTGTGGAACGCACCATGACCTGCCGTTTTGACAAGCTACTCTTTGTCGCCGTTGTTTTGTTATGCTACGGTGCGGCCTATTTTGGTTGCTATACTGCTTTTGGATTACGTTCTGCCTCGCATCGCAACACATCGGAACGCTCAGCGAAAACTGGGCCGGGCGGGATGGCCTTGAGTTTGCTGCCTGGATGTGGACGCACTGATCCCCCCAGGTCCGGATGTCACGCCCCCGTCACCGTCTGAACCCACACTCACCCATGGTACCTCAATCCAATCATTCGGACTGAGAGGCCTCTCCTTGCAGGGAATCAGTGGTCATCCACTGTTTTCTAGCTGATGAACCAAACAGCGGCGGGCAGGACGCTGCGTCCGTCCCGGCCACCGCACACATGCGTACGTGAACTAAGCCTGGCTTAAAGACGGCCGTATATTCCGCTGGCCGTGGATTAAACCCGACACGCTTTGGCCTGCCTCTCCCCCCCCCCCCGCAGCCAGGTGCCGCCGCCGCCCAGCCGTGACCGTGACCGTGACGGGGCTTGCGTCCTGCCGACAGGTAGCACCCGCTGGGTGGACGTGTGCAGCCTGCGCAGCGGCGGCCGTCTCCTGCGCTACTCCCTCTCCATGATCACGTACGGCTTCTTCGGCGACCTGCTGAAGGACAGCGAGAAGCTGCTCTGGCTCGGTCCGATGCGCTACAACGTGGCAGGTCAGCCGGCAGCCCAGGAGGCCGTATCGGCCTCACCCTCGGCGCTGGTCCCGCGTTCTCTCCGTGCTTGTTTATACCTCGACACGTGGCGAGGGACGTGACGTTCGTTTGTTGTTGCGTTCCGCCGACTCCGTGACGTCGCCGACGCGTGGCGTGCTGCGCCCGTCAGGCCGTCGGAGGGGCGCGGGTGTGACGCCGCCGTGGGCCGTGCCGCAGGGGCCGGCCGGTTCTGGCGGAGCCGCGCCTACCGAGGCTCGGTGGCGTTCCGCACGGCCGCTGGCTCGCTCGCGCCGCACAAGCCCTGCTTCGCCGACTGTGATGTGTGCTGCCGCGAGCCGCCGCCGCCGCCCGACGCGCAGACAGAGCCGGCCGAGCCGACAGGTGGGCACTCCGGCCTCGTGAGGTCACGGTGGAGAGGGGCCGTCCCGATGGGGATGGGGGGGGGGAGCAGTGTGGGGTCACGGGTGGCGGCATATCTGTGTTTGGGGATGTGGTAACGCGGACGGGTCTCTGGCATATGTGACATCATATTGTTGGACATGTAAACGGTACATTTTTTGCACAGATCAGCAAAGGCTTAATTATTTCTTGGCCTGTCCGGGCAGAGTATTTTCTGGATAGTAATTGACTCTAATGGTAGGTTACCGTTCCCTAGAAAGCGTTATTGCTTTTTTCCAAAGTGCGATGAACCGAGCCGTTCGACGGTGGCGCTCATGCTGAGGTGGAAACACTTGTCCGATTGTCCGCCGCCGGTGGCGCTCCGTTGGCTGATCTCCTGCCCGCTCTGACCTTCCGCCGGCTGTGACCTCCCGCCCGCTCTGACCTTCCGCCGGCTGTGACCTCCCGCCGGCTCTGACTGAACTGCCACCCGCTCTGACCTTCCGCCGGCTGTGACCTCCCGCCCGCTCTGACCTTCCGCCGGCTGTGACCTCCCGCCGGCTCTGACTGAACTGCCGCCCGCTCTAACCTCCCGCCGGTTGTGACCTCCCGCCGTCTCTGACCTTCCGCCGGCTGTGACCTCCCGCCGGCTCTGACTGAACTGCCGCCCGCTCTTACCTCCCGCCGGCTGTGACCTCCCGCCCGCTCTGACCTTCCGCCCGCTCTGACCGCACGTCGGCGCTGATCTCCCGCCCGCGCTGACCTTCCGCCCGCGCTGACCTTCCGCCCGCGCTGACCTCCCGCCGGCCCTGACTCCCTCCGTCCCTGACTTCCCTCCGGCCCTGACCTCCCGCCCCCCTCTGACCTCCCGTTGTCTCTGACCTCCCGCCGGCCCTGACTTTCTCCGTCCCTGACCTCCCTCCGGCCCTGACCTCCCGCCCCCCTCTGCCCTCCCGTCGTCTCTGACCGACCGCCGGCCCGTTTTGACTGACCGCCCGCCCGCTCTGACTAACCGCCCGCCCGCTCTGACCTCCCGCCGTCTGTGACCTCCCGCCGTCTCTGACGTCCCGCCGGCTCTAACCTCCGACAGGCGAGTGGCATCGCGTGAGCGGCCCGTTCCTGGTGGTGAGCAGTGCCAACGTCAGCTGCCGCTGCAAGATCACGCCGGCCGGCATGTGCCCGCGCGCCCACCTGTCGGACGGCTGGGCGCACCTGATCCTGGTGCGCAAGACATCGCGCGCCAACTTCCTGCGCTACATGTACCGCTCGGCGGCCGGCAAGGACCCGGTGCGTGCCGCCGCCCCGCCCTCCGGAGAGAGGGCCGCGGCGCGAGAGGGCTGGTGCTGGGGCGCTGGGCGTTGTTAAAAAGTAAAAGTAAAAGTAGTTAAAAACCCAGGCAACTTCGTTGTGCACCGTGCAAGAAATCTGACGAACGTGGGACGTGCTAAAATGCTGCCTTCTCCGAGAAAAAAGTGTTGCACCCCGCTTATTGAGGAATCCTGCTTATGCTCCTGATCATTGTATCTACATTTCGCAATCCTGCGAATAGAGGGCGCCCACTCCACCGTCTGCTAGTGTTTCGTGTATGGTGGGTAAGTTTTGACTGGTGGCGATTGCCGAAAGCAACACGCAAGCAAGGGTGCCGATGGGTGAAATAGGAGTGCAAAAGATGTACCCGAGCAGTATCAACCAGCCCATGTCGCCAGACGGGCTTAAGTAAATGCATCGGCTGATCGTGGGCTCCATTGGGCCGGACCATGTCTGGGAGTGTGCTGCGGCGCCTGCCACCCCCTGCTGGCGGACGCCTCCCCGCAGGCTCGCCGCTTTTGACCGCTGCTCCCACCGCCAGTTCGACCTGCCGTTTGTCGAGTACTACCGCGTCAAGGAGTTCGAGCTGCTGCCGGAGGTGGTCGGCGATGGCCACCGCCTGCTCTGGGAGACGCACGTCAACTCGGCGCTGTCGGTGGACTCGGCGGCGGCCGGCGACTGGCCGGCGGCCGATCCGGAGGTGGCCGTGGTGCCGCCGGCTGCCGGCGACGCGCGCGACAGCGTCTGGAACTGCGACGGCGAGGTGGTGGCCCAGCCGCGCATCAATCTCAGGTGAGCATATCCAGCCGCCAGCAATTTCGGGTGAGCACATCCAGCCGCCATCAATCTTAGATGAGCAGATCCAGCCGCCATCAATCTTAGATGGGCAGATCCAGCCGCGCATCATTCTCAGATGAGAATGTCCAGCCGCCAGCAATCTGAGGTGAGCACATCCAGCCGCCAGCAATCTCCAATGCCCACGACACATGGCTGATCAGGCGGCACGGGTTACCCTGGTCCAACGGCTATGCCAGTTGTCTAGCTGTCGGCCCGCTCTATCCCCTGGTCTGACCTGGCCGGACCTGGGGTGTCGGCTGTAGCCGCCAGTGCACCGAGGCTCAGTGGGCGGTGTCGCTTACCGGCGGCGAGCGGCGGACGGCAGTCCTGTGGCGCTCGCCTGCCGCCCTCGGGCCGTCCGGCTCAGCCGTGCTGAAAGCGGGCAGCCAGTCAGCCGTGCTCTCCGCTGTCCTGACGCCGCGCGCACCGCCCAGCTGACGCCGCCCTGACGTCCATACTCTGCCGTGCTGAAGGCCTGCTCTGCGCTGTGCTGGGCTGCGCTCTGCGCTGTGCTCGGGCCACGCTCTATGCTGTGCTGGGGCCGTGCTCTGCGCTGTGCTCGGGCCGCGCTCTGCGCTGTGCTAGGGCCGCGTTCTGCGCTGTGCTAGGGCCGCGCTCTATTGTGCTGACACTGTGTCGTCCTCCGCTCGGCAGGGTGCACCCGCGCGCCGTGCGCATGTTCGGACGCGGCGTGGAGCGCGTGGAGGAGCGCGGCTGCTGCGGCGGCTGCGGCGGCCGCGCCAAGAAGCACATCTGACCGGCGGAGCCGCCGGCGCCAGCGGCCGCCCGCCGCCCCCACGCCGCCGCACTGCCCGACTGCGTTGTCTGAGCACGCGCCCGTAGCCAGCCGGCCCCGGCGGTTGTGGCTGGCCGCGGCCGCCATAGCCTGTCGGGATGGACCCTGCGCTCGAGCCGGATGGGTCCGTGGGTGTCGTCCTGACGCTGGGTCACGCTGATCCGATACGGGAATGTTCTGGCCGCTCGTTGGAGTCGCGGGTCCGGCGCATCGACGGACGCGACGCGGCGGCTCGAACCCTATGGTTTGAACCGCAAAGTTGCTTCCGAATCGACACGACCGAACTGACCCGACCCTTGGCCAGGACGACGCAGCCTGCCGGCTGTGGCACGACTCATTTATAGACACTTAAGACTTGATACACTGCAAACACTTAACTTTGCTCAGTCTTGTTCAAGGGCAGCTTGCGTGGGTTATCCTTACGAGGACCAGTACAGGTTGCAGCTGGAGAAATGCCCTTCGGCTCTATGGGCATTCGATACGGGACCCGCAGCACAGCAGCCCCGGTTGGCAGCATCCTAACCTGGTATTCGTCCCTGCACGTCTTCTGGTGGATGTGCGCGTTTCTGTTTGGTGAGAGCTGCTAAAAATATTTTCATATGGAGAGGGTAGGGGTGGCAGCTTTCTCCAAGTGCTCTGTAGTGTTCATCCTCCATTCTACTCTCCCTTTATTTTTGTATCTTGATGCATCCTTTTCTGGTACAAGTTCCATTTCACGGCGACTTGTAGCACGTAGTTAGGTCTTGGAGTGTTAATGGGGCTGCGGCCGAGGGTCTCAGTCGAAGTCAGGTGTTGGTTGCTGCTTTGAACTATAAATCAATGAGTTTGATTTGATTGGTATCATACATCTATGAATGATTATTGCTCCCGGGCCGCGGTAGTGATTTTGTTGGTTCCGAAAATAATTGTGATAATTATCGCGATTCTTGAACGGTTCTGGCATGGACTGAAAGTCTGCCATCCCCAGTCTAGTCAGTTACAGCTATGATGCCGGCTGTCTGTTTCATAGGCTATAGGGCATTATACGGTGTCCGGTGCTGGTGCCGCGGCCGCATGCCAATTAATGGGCAGATGCGTTCCGTCCCTTCCGTTGTCTCTAGGGAGGTCGTACGCTGGCCACGATTGGAGCTAGTTTGTAGAATAATTTTGAAATGTGGACAACATTCCTGATCTATTTTCGAGACAGGGCTGAACGATTTTTGAGAATATGCAATGTCTGGAATTTTGCATGAAAATCGTCTTAGTATTGCAAACCATCGAGCCAGGTTAGATAGCAAGTGCAGCCTAACAGGTGTTGTGATACTGACCAGTGACCGTTGCGCTGTGTTTGATGTGTGTTGCTCGCAGCCGTCTATGATCTGCACCCTGGTAACCGGCCCTTTGATAATCAAATCATGGTATTGGCTTCGATTGCGTTGCTATACTTTCCATCCATCCTCGTTAATTCTTCCTTATCTTCGTTTTTTTTTTTAGTAGAACTGCCTTTAGTCTTCGTCTTAGGGTTATTGTGATTTAGAGTGTTGGCTCGCAGTTTCCTCGCTCAATCATGAGTTCAAGTTGATCTATTTTTCTCCTAACTTTGTTGGAAGCTTTCCTGACGTCTTGTGGAATTTTTTACCGCTATGTCCCGTCATTTGACAGTGACGATGACATTGTGCTATTCGCCAGTCCGCTGCGACATTGATTTTTTGTTTCCCCTGGACAATGAGACCTCCCACGCTGCACGGGCGGTGGTGCCGGCCGCCCCCGACCAACCACTCCGACACGCGATCACCTCACCGGCCGGGCCCTCTGATGGGCTGGGAGTGCCCTCAGTGTAGCGCCAAAATGGACGTGTTGCTCGATGCAAACGAACGAGGGACCACGTCGAGGTAGGAATGTGCGTCTGTTGATCAAGTCGAGGATGCGGCGATCATTTGCATGAGAAAATCGAATTCCGTGACGCACGCACTGTGTGCTAACGTTTGCTGCGCTGGAGCTTGGCGATTCCTCTACGTAATTCCAGTTTCAGACCAGACCAGAGGAGAACTTGACGTATGCGATAAAAGGCTTCTGTAGCCCAATTCCGTGGTGTGTGCTGTGCGGCGATTCCGGTCCTGATTGTTGCGCAATTGAGCAGATCGTCTTCACGCGGCGTTCGATGCCTGTGTATCCCGTCTGCGGTGTTTGTGTTGTGGTCGATGTGCCTCTGCAGCGTGACGTCACTGGTGTTCGCTGCTGACGCTCACTGCGCCACGATTGCCAAAGGCTGCCGGTCCCCGACGTTCTCAGGATGGCGCCCGTCGTCGCCCCGCGACCGCCACCGGTGAGCACGCCGGCAGAGGTGGTGCCACCTGCCGCGTTGTGCGGTCCGGTCCCCTGTCGGTCGAGCAGTGCAGGTGGCGCCGGGGCTGCCACGCTGGCTTGTCCTGTCGAGCGGTGCAGGTGGCGCCGGGGCTGCCCGCGCCGGCTCGTCCCGTCGAGCAGTGCAGGTGGCCTCGAGGCTGCCCGCGCAGGCTCGTCCTGTCGAGCGGTGCAGTGGCCGAGACTGCCCGCGCCGGCTCGTCCTGTCGAGCGGTGCAGGTGGCGCCGGGCTGCCCGCGCGGCTCGTCCCATCGAGCGGTGCAGGTGGCGCCGGGGCTGCCCGCGCAGGCTCGTGCTGTCGAGCGGTGCAGGTGGCGCCGGGACTGCCGCCGCAAGCTCGTGAGTCGAGCGCGTGTGCAGGTGGCGCCGGCTCGTCCCATCGAGCGGTGCAGGTGGCGCCGGGGCTGCCCGCGCAGGCTCGTGCTGTCGAGCGGTGCAGGTGGCCGCCGGGGTGCCCGCGCAAGCTCGTGCTGTCGAGCGGTGCGGGGGGTGGCGCCAGGGCTGCCCGCGCAGGCTCGTGCTGTCGAGCGGGCAGGTGGCGCCGGGACTGCCCGCGCCGGCTCGTCTCTGTCGAGCGGTGGCAGGTGCCCCGAGATGCCCGCGCCGGCTCGTCCCATCGAGCGGTGCAGGTGGCGCCGGGACTGCCCGCGCCGGCTCGTCTGTCGAGCGGTGGCAGGATGGCCCCGGGCTGCCCGCGCTGGCTCGTCCTGTCGAGCGGTGCGGGTGGTGCCGGGACTGCCCGCGCTGGCTCGTCCCATCGAGCGGTTGCAGGTGGCCCCGGGCTGCCCGCGCTGGCTCGTCCTGTCGAGCGGTTGCGGGTGGGTGCCGGGGCCTGCCGCGCTGGGCATTCCCGCCGAGCGGCGTGCATGTGTGGGCACGGGTCGGTTCTGTTCGGTGTTTTGGATCGTATAGTCGATCGACGTGATAAAGAGCTGCCACTTGTCCACGCGACTGATGGGCCGGGTGGATACGAAATCACCTATAAATAAATCGGCCTATCCTCAGCGTCTGTGTGAACTGGAGCACTGCAGCCCCACGTGTGTTCCGCTGGCGCACCGGAACGCCGGAACCCGATATCGATTCGAAAGGCAAGCTTCACAGCTGTGATCGATGACAATGACGGTGTAACGATAGACGAGTTAACACTTCTGCCAACGGAGCTGGGTCATCCCGTTTTCATTAATTGTGCGTCAGCGCCAACGCGTGGTGGCTACGCTACCCACAGCCGCATTCTAGTCGTTTAGCTGCATATGCATCGTATTTCTGGCAGGGTTGTATGCTTTAAAGATGTATGATGGTATGGTTTGGGCTAGACTTGACTGTGTCTGGTGTAACAACCGTGCGTTTTCCTCGATTAGTTCCCGCAATTACGTAAATGCCGGTGATGTTCGTGAGGTCTGACGGCGTATGACTTCGCACAACTGTCAAGGCGTTTATCGCTGGTTGTCCGGACTGGGCTAGTGGACCTCACTGGTTCACAATACCAGCTAGAGGGTATTGGAGGGGAACCAGATTGGATTGTCAGACGGACGCAACACAGCCGGCCGATGGTGCTTGTGCAACTGGACGCTGGCAAGCTGCGTTAGATACGTAAGCATGGGGACGGCTGTTTGGCCCCCTCTAGTGAGGGCAACCTGGCCATGCGGTGCCGTCTGATCTCGGGTTTACCATGACCGTAGGAGCCACGGACCTGTGCGGAGACGCTGCGACTTCATGGTTCAATAGTTCAGTGACAAATATCTGGACTTTGTTTCGGCGTGTTGAAAAGCAGTGGTGGGGCGTCCCCGTAAATATGCCAGCTGTACGTCTTATGCACATTGTGATCCATACAGCCGGGATCCCTGCTCGGACGTTTGCTTACGTCGGCCAGAAATGTAACTCCTGCAAATATCCGAGCAGGGATCCCGGCTGTATGGACCATGACTTGCATAAGACGCACAGCTGGCATATTTACAGGGATGCCCCACCACTGCTTTTCAACACGCCGAAACAAAGTCCAGATATTTGTCATTGAACTATTAAACCATGAAGTCGCAGCGTCTCCTCTCAGGTCCGCGGCTCCTGCCGTCGTGGTAAACCAGATATCAGGCGGCCCCACATGACCAGGCGCAGCCCTTTAACTGGACGTCTGTTAGCGTAATTCCCCCAGAAGGGAAGAGAGATTTTGATGAGCTGTGACACATGGTGACTTCAGGTGATGTGGTGGTGAGCGAAGTGACTGGTGTGGTGACGAAGTGCCACATTACAGTAGTAAGGTGGTGGCTGGCGATTGAGATGAAAAAAGTCTTTTAATGACCGAGCATTGACAAAACATGCAGGAAAATGACGCATGGCAAATTTGCCCCTCTTACCAAGTCATTGTAACAAAGCCTGAGCTAGCTGTCATGAAAAGATTCAGATCAGGTGTGCTGTGTTCACTGGCGTCCGTGAGCTCGCGCGGTCTCAGACGCGGCGGCCGGCGCAGCCAGCCGCGGGTTATGGCTGGCCGGTCTGCTCGGGCCGGCTGGTGCCGCGGGGATGCCACGCGTGCAGGTGCCGCTGGGGATGTCGTGCGCGCAGGTGCCGCCGGGGATGCCGCGCGTGCAGGTGCCGCAGTGATGCCACGCGTGCAGATGCCGCGGGGATGTCATGAGTACAGGTGCCGCGAAGCCTAGACCATCGGCAATTCGTAAGTGCGCCGCTCGGTGGCCGCTTGCAGGTATCTCAGCGTGCGTGTCGGTGAAGGTCAAACTCGCCGAGCTGTCAAATGCACGGCATTTATTATAGGGCACATGTGAAAAGCACCGCCTCTCGCGGACAAGCTACCATATCTGTTGCTCCGGTTTTGGGCTAGCGAGGCTGCAGCGTAAGATGCGTTGGAGAGCGCCGACCACTGTGCATCATGGCGCCTTGCAGAATGGCCGACTGCGAGACCGTTAGTCTTCAACGCGGACGGCAACACACATCAGATCAGGAATGCAAATATAACAACACAAATGGGGAATCCCATGCACAAGTGCGCATTATCCGCCATTTTATGACTCAAAACGCGCTCCCCGAAATCACGAAACCGCACAAACGACCAAGAGCAGTGCCTATCGGCATTGGGGGTCATCGAGATGGAAGGTTAACGTCACAAAACGCCAGCATTGTCACCTACGAGGTAAAGTGCACTGTCACGGGACAGTTCTACAGCACGCACAATCCATCGAGCGTTTCGGTAAATGAGCGAGGTTAGCGCTGTTCAAGCGAAAAGCACACACAAGGCACAGCTCAGAAACCGCAAGACTTATCACGCGATGACGTGGAAGAAAGGACCGTCAAACGTACATTCATAGTTCCATATTGCTAGCATGCGGCAGCACACACCTACGGGGAAATTCGTAAAAATAATCACGTAAAACGTAAATAACGCCAGCAGCAGCACGCACACCTTACTGATACGTGCATCAATCACATCTACCGACGTCTACCAGAGAAACTTCAAGATCCCCGGAGGGACGCATGAAACATCGCCAGTCACAAATGGTTGGACATTAGCCTCCGGCGGCCACGGAGCCGGTCCGCCTCGTCTCAGTGCGGCACCAGGTAATCGACCCTGGGCACGCAGCCGTGCGCGCCGCGCACCACGGCGCCCCACAGCGTGTCTTGGTCGCCCTCCGAGAGCAGCGAGCCCCAGAGGCGCGAGTGGCGCACGGTGGTGGGCGCACCGCTCGCGCAGCGCACACCCCACTCCGCCTCCAGCTCCTCGCAGACGGCGACCACGTGACAGCGCGTGTAGGCGCGCGCCGGGTGCACGTCGTACGCGAGGTTGTCGCCCACGTAGACGCAGGCGGGCCGCTCGGTGCCGAGCTGCCGCTGCAGCAGGCCGTACAGCTCGGCCCAGCTGCCCTGCGAGTACACGCGGCCAGGCCGCAGCGCAGCGCCCGCCACTGGCGCCGCCTCGCGGTCGGCCGCGTCCAAGGCCAGGAACGGCGCGCGGCCCGTGAAGAAGCGCGGCTTGCAGGCGTACGTCACCACCACGTCGAAAAAGTCGAACCAGTCGGCGCCGCCGAGCGCTAGCCGCGCCATGTGCCGCGCGTAGTCAGCGTGTGACGATGTGATCAGGAAGAGCAGCTTGCCCTGGCTGCGCAGCTGGCGCAGCAGGCGCAGCACGGCGGCGCTGCACGGGTGCGCCAGCGCCGGCGTGTCGGCGCGCAGCCGGCTGAAGAAGCCGCCGTCGTCGGCGGCGAACTGATGGCGCGCGTACATGTGCGCGATGCCGTCCTGGACGGCGGCCGCCACGGCCGCGTAGTCGACGCCCGGCAGCCGGCCGGCGTCGACGGCGTCCACCAGGCAGGCGGCCGCCGGCACGCCCACCGCGTCGAAATAGTCGCGGAAACTGCGTAGCGTGCCGCACGGCGGATCGGCCACGGAGAGCGCCAGGTGGCGGGCGGCCGCCGGCGCGCCGCCCCGACCGTACGCCTCCACCAGCTCGGCGCGCGTCAGCGGCTGCGAGCCGTGCGTCGCGCGCAGTACGGCGCCGTCGTGGCGCAACTTCAGCAGGTTGCCGCGCATCGTGTCCAGGATGAGGCCACGCGCGCACAACTCGAGCTGGTCACACATGGGCGCAAACACGTCGGCTGGGTACTGCCAGCGAGAGATGAGGTGCGGCACAAGACACTGGTCGTAAGCCATCTCCATCAGTGGCTGCACCTGGTACTGGCATAGCGTGTTGTCCAGGTCAAAGCCCACACACTGATATGGACTGAAGTCAAAGGGCACATCACTCAGGAAAGTACTTGCATATCGGGGTATGACTGGGCTTAGAAAGGAGTGTCTGACAGCCACCTGGGCTGCCATACTGCACATCTGCCCACCATGCATCATCTGTCTCAGAAGCAACATCTTTGATGGTGACAGCTCAGATTGCTTAAATAGTCCAGAAGCAATACCATTGATATTGATAGCCAAGTTTTCTTAAATGTTCTAACACCCTGACCAATTCATGTTGTCACCTCCATAGTCTGGGGAAAGATCTGCACAGATCAGGGGATGGGGCTAGAACCCCATCAACATCTGGCCAAGATTGCTAAAACCTTTCTGAAAGCAAAGAAGGAACAACAAAATTACACAGGAAATTCACTTTTCACTGTACCCTGAGGCACTCTATGCACCACATTGTCAACAGGAATGGTTTCCAAGATAGAGAATTGTCCAAAACACCCAACATGGGTATGGTGTGCCCAACTCATTTTGATCATAATGATTTAATAGACTGAATGGGTTGGTATGGACAGACAGACTGAGTAGACAGTCATTAAAAATACATATGTGATGAAGGTGGCAATTGATGGGGAGGGGAATTAAGACAATACCAACTCTGCAGCCCCATCCACACAGACAAGTATCAATTGAAGGTCAGCTGTTATCTGACTACCACCTTCATCACACTTGCACTGTCGCATGCCACAAGACTCATAGCAGAACGTAGTTCGCTGTGGTAACAGGTTTGGTCCCGCCACCTGCCGCCAGTGCCCCGTACAGAGCTCGCGATGCCAGTCAAACACTAAGATGCATGTACTCGAAATCCATCTTCTTCGGAATGACCATGTCCTCTGTCTCGTCATACGTTAGCATCAACGCGTCACATATCCCTTCCACATGCCTAACTATGGGTCTGGGAACCGCCATACAACGTAGACTCGCGGGGCACGATACTGTCTTGAACCGAATATACAATGTCATCAACCGTGGATGCATGGAATCACAGGGGACTACCGTTCATAATTCCCGAGTTACCCTGTACCTATGTTGAATAAACACTCGCAACTGTGAGAACGTTACTACGTAGAAGTCATATGTAACACAAAAAGAGCTTTGGTGTGAAAGCCCCAATGTCCAATCCAATGTTTTATTAAAAATGCAAAAAAAAGCTTTCTTCAAAGCTGCTGCCTCTTAATTACCCTTTCTTCCACACATTTCTTGTTGCGTAAGTTTACTTTGACGTCATAAGAATGGTGAGTGCTACTTCGTAGATCCCGTATTCGACTGTGCATGTTATCAAAAATGAACGGACCCAAAGACGAAAACACCGTAACGTTGGTCGAAGAAAACATATTTGTGGGATCGGTGGAGTAAATTATACATTTGTGGTTGGAGGTGGGTGGTGAGTAGGCGTTGGCGCGTAAGGGGAAAAGAAATTGTTGTTTGCTCTAATCCTTTAGGCGCCAATGCCTGCATCGTATGAAATTTGATGGCAGTTAGTTGTTGGGTTCTCGGCAAGTCCGGGGCAGGTGGATTGTGAGGCCATACTCCTGTTTGGTTAGTCTGATGTGGAATCAGATTAAGAGGAAGGAAGGAAGGGTTCACATTCTTGGGTGCAGCCTCTAATTGGGGACATTTCCTCCAATTTTTCAGAATGTAATTTTTCTCTTGCAATCTTGCCTGCAGAAAGCATGTTTTTGCATTGTTTTTGCATTGTCATTGAATGCATGTTTGAAATTGCCATTTTGAAGTCAAGTTGTGAATTGTGCCCCTGTCCCCAGATTTCACGTTGGCTCTCCCAAACTTGATGTATCCCCATAATCTCAGAAATTTGATTATGCCCATACCCACACCAGCTGCTGAAGATACCAGGATGACAGTTGTATGATCTAAAGGTCTATTTTACCTGTGCTCACCATGATGTCAATGATGTCTGAAGACTGGGTGCTAGATTGGCACCTGGTTCAGCTTTCACAGAATCCATTCTGGCTGAGTAGCTATGCTTCTATTCATGGGATTAGTACTTACTACTAAAGCATAATTTTAAGACCGCTGGTTATGACTCAAATATGGCTCAATCCTGAAATCCTCTCCGGTTGATAGAATTCCAGTGAAAACAGTTTGAATGAAAACCTGGTTAATGGCATGCATACCACCCTGAATAGATAAGTGATATGATAACCATGCAGTTGAACCATAGCTACTAGTCAGAGCAGTGGACCATGAAACTATGAATATATACCATTGCTTTTAGCTTATTTGAGAGAACTTGCTGATGACTTGGTTGATTCAGCCAGGACTGAGCAGAAAGTTTTGAAAAAGAAATTATTTAACTCTGACTGAACCAGTATTTTGTTAATTCAGGAGGGGATTTCATCTCCATTTGGCATAAAGTGCAAGCCCATGTATGGAATAGTGTTTTAGTTAAAGATTGAACATGTCATGACAATTTGAAGTGTATTTACTTAGCCAATAGTTAGCTTATGGCATAACTCAGAAATTTTGCTGAGTATAGGGTCATCCTAAATGATTTATGTGTACTAATTGACATCACTTCTTGAAAGCATAAACAACCCATAAATGCTGCTAATATTTTTCTGGGGTCTAAATCAGTATGCCAAAATATCTTGATATCAATTGTTGAAGCATTTAATCATTGGAATTTCATATTCTTAAGATGTGTGCTCTAGTATTATGTAACCAAAAAGCAAAATACACAAAGACACCTTAGCACAATATTATGCTGGATTTAGCCAGGAAAATATGGGTAATGTTTTGTTTTCATTGATGTCATACCAAGTGGCAGAGCATTGTTTGCTGCATTATGTTTGCCATTACCATTATGCTTGGCTTTCCATGGTCATGTAGCCAGCTAGACATGGATGATCTAAGTGGTTAGCTGGGCTGGAGAGAAGCACCATCAAATTGCACACCAATGCTTAAAATACACCAATGCCGCCTCCGTGGTCTTGGGGAAAGATGCTGGACTCGTAATCCAGGGGCACTGGGTACGAGTCCCAGAGTGGGTGCATTGTGTGACCCCACTGAAACGGAAAGGCCAGCTGGCAACTGGCCAACGAGGTTCAACCCAGACCCCAGGCGGCCCTGTGGCAGCATTGTGCGGTGTGTAAAACCCTCTGCATTCCTGTCCGGCGAAAGGGCGGAGGCAAAATTAGCTGTTGAAATGGATGGCACGCTTGGGTGGTGGGTTCGGGGTACATGCAACAAGCTATGCTTAGCAGGCACTCTGAATCTGAAGTAACCCATACAAACCATTCGGTATAAATTTTTAAAAAAATAGATATCATTCAATATGTGAGTCACATCCCACAACTGTTTGCAATTTCCATTATCATGTGGAAGGCAAGTATTACTTGATGTACTTACAAGATGTGCACTTACAAGGTGGGGCCTACCAAGAATGTAGTTTACATTTTTGCCCTTTAAAATATTGCTGCCTGTCTTATTCTAGAGCACTGCTCACCAGCAACAGTGAGAAACAGTGGAGATGTCATAGTGTTGTCTCAGTTTTGGGGGAAATTTGAATGCCTCTTAAGGTGGATAGGCTGTCAAATTTGTGTTCAAGCCAGGGGGCATCAGAAGATCAACGCAACACAACACAACAGTTCCAAGTAGCACCAGTCAAACCAATGGACTAATGTTAACCTTACACATGCACTCCTGCTTACCCAGCCCTGGCTCATGTGCCTATGCTTTTCAATCAGCAGTTCCTCTACTCATGTAACTGACTACATATTTTGTATACTTTTGAGCACCATGTGGTATTGGCCGCCTTCTTAGTAGAACTTGAAAAGGCTACAGCAGGTGCAAAGGTGTTTTACAATGATCTCAATGAAAATTGACAAATGTGTGATGACAAAACATTTGCCTTCCATGAGCAGCATAGCTAAGTGGAAGCTCTTCAAGTCATATTGCCCTACTGGTGGGGTTAGCAGTGTCACTTATGGCTAGGACTTACAGTTTAGGGTGTATACAGAGCTTCCAAGATATATAAATAGGCTATCTAGGTATTTACCTCTGATTCTGTGCCTAAAAATATCACTGAAATGCTAAAACATGGCCTCTAAGTAACACAGAGTGGTCCTGTTGGTGGGAATCTCCTCCAAGTAGACATCAATCAATATATGCTGGAATACCCCCTGTTCCCCTATGACCCAGTTCAGTGTCATGCTTGGTGAAATCCTGCCTGCACCACTGCCTGCCACCTGAATTAGGGCTTGGTGTAGTTTGCTTTGTATTGAAAGTTAAAGTCCTAATGTAGCCATGAATGACATCACTCACTTGTAACCACTAACCATGTGTACAGCTGCAATCACACTGATTTGTCTCTGCTGGTTTTCAGACTTAAGTTGTTTAAAGTCTAAGTAATATTCAGAAGCACAGACAGGAAACAATGTCAAGATATCAGAGGGTAAGTGGTTCCCAAGATACCGAAATAACATGCTGTGTGCAGTGGCTGTTCCAATAGTGTACTGAACCATGTTTAAAAGCAGGAGCTACCTTACGGCTGCTGAATGTTTAGCCTTAGGGGACACATATTACTCTATTGCCTGATTCTCAGTCTATAGCCACAACTACTGGATGGACATGCATGTACTGTTACTGTTGAAAAGCCCCTTAAGAAACTCACCTTATTTCAAATTTGAGCTTCCACAGAAGAGCTATTCAACTGAATTAGGCCTGATATATTGTGCCAGAGATGAGATATAGTTATAATGAATAGGTGGATGAGGTAAGATGTAAAGCAGCCCTGATGATTCAGGTGGCAATCATGTACTGTTCTAGAGTTTCCTGTTATATTTGGGGCAGAAGATATTGCTAAGGATATATGCATTTACATTAATTTTCAGTTGCTTTGTGTTATCTGGCCATCCAGCATATCTTCTCCATTTTACAAGTTTATGATGCTCCTGTATCAGGTTCTGGCATGATACTGTGTGGCTGAGTCACTTTCCCTCACGGCTGGCTCTCCTTGTGGCTACTGGGGTCTTTCCAACCCCACAGATCTCTGGCCCATATGGTATCTGAAGTCTGGTCCCAGAGTGGGCACAGGGCATTATTCGACCAATACTGAATATGAGTTCACATCCCTCCTCTGATTCATCTGACCCCTGACATCTTCCCATACACTGAATGGTCGCCTGGCCATCTAACAGGTGTCTGAGCCGCCGGCGGCGGCGGCCGCCGAGCCCAGCGTGCCGGCGCCGCCGACAGAGCCGCCGCCGCCGTACGAGGCGGCGCAGGCGGTGGCCGGTCCGCCGCCGCCGCCGCCGCCACCGCCGCCGCCTCCGCCGCTGTCGGCCGAGAAGGCCACGCCCTTCGAGCCGCCGCCGGCGTACGACGACGCCACCAACCCGGCCAAGCTGCCGAGCTACGACGAGGTGCAGCAGGAGAAGGCCCGCGAGGGTGGGGCGCTGCCGGTACGTCCCGCGCCGCACGGCCACCTCCCGTCAGCGCAGGCCGCCGCGCCCGGCTGCTGTTCTGTCTGTGGTCCGTGTCTTCCGGCGGAGGGCGACCGGCTGGCTGGCCACTGTCGGTAGCTGATGAGACGTGTGCGCGTGTGCGTGTGCACTCTCCAGTCGCGGGTGCTGGGCGTGTAAGCGTATCCCCATAGGAGTGCAGATGACTGTCTTGTGAAGGACGCACCCCCCTCTAAACGGAGACATCGCGCCAGATGTGCCCCAGCCAAGTAATGCCTGATCGCCATCTGCGCTTGGCTGCTGCATGCTGCCCAGTTTAATTCTGAGTGGTGAACTGGTGAGGAGAATTTGCGAAAACGACATTGTGTTGTAGTGGTGTATGTGTGTATGTGTTCTAGTGCAACATATGACCAGCCCGTCTGCTCGCGCACCTGGCTCATTGTTTCGAAGATAAGTCCGCCACTTCAGTCCATCTGTTGCGCACGTGGTTCATTGTCTCGAAGATGGCTCCACCATTTCAGTCCATCTGACGCGCACGTGGTTGACTGCTTCGGAGATAGGTCCGCCATTTCCCGTCGGATCAACTTTTGGCCCTGACCCTTTTCGATTTGGGCAAATTTGGTGGCGATGGAGCACCTTAGGAATGACAAACCCTTTGGAGTTTTAGAAGACCCCTGGGGCTTAGTTCAAGAAGTTATTCAGTATTCACCATGCTTCATGGAAGTGGCAGCTCAAAATCTGCGTAACATTTCATGCAACTGGTATTGATTATAGGTGTGCTCAATCCCCAGGCGATTTTTCTTGATATGTGCAGGAGTTGTGTGCTGTGTGATTGATCTGACCTTCTGACGTGACAGAACCAAGTGTTATTTCAGTTGTTTTGTATCAGTTCTATATTTCTGGAGCCTTGATTTCACACCTCACTCTGTTTGCCCTGTGACGGAAAATTTTGAAACAAAAGACATTGGTGTCTGTGTCGGGCCGTTGTCTCCCCTGGCGTCTGTGACTTCCCATTGTCTCCCCTGGGGTCTCTGACGTCCCGTTGTCGCACGTGCGGCCTGTGACGTCCCGTTGTCTCGCCTGAGGTATATTTCGTCCCATTGTCCCCTGGCGTCTGGGACTTTGGACTGTCTCCCCTGGGGTCTGACGTCTCGTTGTCTCCCCGGGGGTCCGTGACGTCCCGATGTCTCCTCTGGGGTCTGACGTCCCGTGGTCCCCTGGGGTCTGACGTCTCGTTGTCTCCCTTGGGATCTGTGACGTCCTGATGTCTCCCCTGGGGTCTGTGACGTCCCGATGTCTCTTCTGGTGTCTGTGACGTTCTGTTGTCTCCTGGCGTCTGGTGTCCCGCTGTCTTCCCCGGGGTCTGTGACGTCACGTTGTCTCACCTAGGGTCTGTGACGTTCCGATGTCTCCTCTGGAGTCTGTGACGTTCCGTTGTCTCCCCTGGCGTCGGTGACTTCCCGTCGTCTCCCCTGGGGCTTTACCTCCTGCTTTCTACCCTGGTGGCCGCTAGGTCTGTTATCTGGCCCAGAGTCTGTGATGTTCTACCGTCTCTCCTGACGTCTGTGATGTCGCGCACTGCTTGATAATGACGTCCGTGACATCTGGCCGTCCCACTTGACGTGTGAGACGTCCCGCTGCCCCGCCTGACGTCTCTGACGTCCCGCTGCCCCGCCTGACGTCTGTGACGCCCTGCTGCCCGCCTGACGTCTGTGACGCCCCGCTGCCCGCCTGACGTCTGTGACGTCCCGCTGCCACGCCCGACGTCTGTGACGTTCCGCTGCCCGCCTGACGTCTGTGACGTTCCGCTGCCACGCCCGACGTGTGTGACGCCCCGCTGCCCGCCTGACGTCTGTGACGCCCCGCTGCCCGCCTGACGTCGGGTGCTGTCAGGCGTGGCCGTTTCGCTGCCGGCTGACCTCATGACCTTCACCTCGACAGCCGGCCGAGCCGCTCCCGGATGAGCTTGACGAGGACCGGTCAGCGCTGCACCTGTGGCGCATCTCGTCGGTCGGCCTCGATCCGGAGGCTGCGGCCGCCCTGCACGACCAGCAGCTGCTCGGCACCGACCTCATGTTCTTCACCGCCTTCCTCGGTCAGTCTCGGCGCCGACCTCATGCTCTTCATCCACGTCTTCGATCAGTTTCGGCACCGGCCCCATGTTTGTATACCCCTTCCTCGGTTAGTCTCGATATCGACCCCATGTTTTTCACTTTCTTCGTCAGCCAGTCTCGGCACTGACCTCATGGTCTTCATCTTCTGCTTCCATCAGCCTTGGCACCACCTTCGTGCTCTTGATCAGTGCCCAGTGAGCATCCTTCACTACCTTTTTCTGGTGATGCATGTTTTGGAGAATTCGTTTAGATACCTCACTTGCATATAGGACATATCACATGAAGCATGTTGATGAAAGAGAAGATTGACTCAAGTGGTGAGCGATGACGAGAAGGTTCCATAGTACATATAATGGTCTTCGCAATTCTTAGTGCATGAATAGTCTCGTTCTGGTGGGACCACCACCCATGACAGCACAATGCAGTCACGTGATTGGTTACTTGACTTGAATTGTATGTCTGATTGTGTCACCAGATGCAATTGACGAGGGTTGGGGAATGATCGGGACATAGCCTAAAACGCATCGAAGCAGTCGATATGATGCTGTCCTCAGCCTGACCAGATGGCCGCCCAGCCAGTGTTGTGAATAACGTTGCGGTCATCCGGCTCTTCACAATTGCGTTGTCGAGCCTTGTGCTCGGCTTTCACGTTCTTCCCAGTAGCAAACTCAGAAATGGTTTAGTCTAGTGGGGCACTGACCTGACCTGGTGGTTTGTCTGATACGACGACCTGATCATTGGTCGTCTTGCCAGCAGGTCACTTGCCACCTGGTATGCCCAGTGATTTGGTAGTCTGGTAGTCCAGTTTGCAGTCTAGTCACTGATTACCCAGATGTGGGATATCTTCGACAGCAGTTTGTACCCTGTCCCATTCAAATGTCGCGGTTCATATATCATGTGCTCTGCACATATCTCCACCGTGCGTTCATCATCCGTTGGCTGTGCTGGTATGACTTCCTCCCCACATGTCAGTGGTGTCCGGCTGCGGCGCCGCTGCCACGCCCCCCACCATCGCCTGCCCGCGCCGCCCGCGCCTGCCCGTGTCCCGCCTTGTCCCGGGCCTGTGCCGGCGGCACCGCGCCCCAGCCTGACTCGACCCGTCGGCGCCCGGTCCGCAGCGGCGTTCCTCTTCAACTGGATCGGGTTCCTGCTGCTGCTGTGCTTCTGCCACTCGGTGGCCGGACGCTACGGAGCGCTGGCTGGCTTCGGCCTCTCGCTCGCCAAGTGGACCCTGATTGTGAAGAACTCGACCACGCTTGTCTCGCACGACAACTCCTGGCTCTGGTGGCTCATCATGGCGTTCGGTCAGTAGCGCTCTTGCGCTCGCTGCGAGGCGGCGTAAGCACGAGGTCATGCTGGTGGGAGTGGACCGCGTGGGGTGAAGTTTGATTGGTGGGCGTGGTCTGATATCTTGTGTGGCACGAGGCTGACTAAGGTTGACGTCTTTCAACCTGAGGTGTTATGTCCGACCTGGGATCAGTCTGTGATTTGCTTACCGTTCGCCACTTTTGGGACTAATGTCCAGCTAAAAATGTCCATTTAAACTCGTCTGCTGCTGCTGGGTGTATGTTGACATTTGATTCCAGTTAGCTAGAAAGTACCTTGTTTCGCCCTTCGCGATGCCTGTGGAGTGTCGGTCGTGTCCGCCGTGGTCCTGCTCTGTCGTGTCTGCCGCGGTCCCGCCCTGTCGTGTCCACCGCTGTCCCGCTCTGTCATGTCCACTGCGGTGCCGCCCTGTCGTGTCCACCGCGGTCCCGCCCTGTCGTGTCCACCGAGGTCCCGCGGGGTCCTGCGTCGCCTGACACCGCGTTGTGGGGCGACGCGGTGTCGATGCCGCCCTGACCTGTACACCCCGTCACCGCCAGGGCTGGTGATCTCTGTTCGCGCCATGCTGCAGTACCTATACATCAAGCGCGAGTGGCGCCAGCTGTCGGTCGCCGCCCGCCAGCGGCTCATCTTCTTCTACTAGGCGGTGCCGCGGCGCCGTCGCCCCGGGCGTGGCGTGGGGACGGCCTGAGCCCGACCCTGGGGCGGCGGCGGACCGTTGCTGGCGGCGCGCTCCCGGCCGGGCCGACCGGGGCGTACGCTGCCTCCGGTCAGTCGGCCGCGGGTCACCAGCACTTGCTGCCGCACCCGCCGTGTAGGGCTCTGTCGAGCGCTGCCGCAGCCACCTCCAGTCTGATAGCCCGCTTGCCGGCCTCCGTATCAAGGATAGGTTTTTGGTTTTATTGATTGACGTGGCTACTTCGTTGCGGGGACTCCGTTCCGTTGCCGCGGCGCTTTCTGACCAGTGTAAAAGCGCAAGGCCGTTTGCGCGGCCGCCACTGCACTGGCTGTATGTAGCGTGCATGTTTGGAGTACAGTTGGCCGCCACGGGCCATGATAGCGTGTGACTGTGATCCGTGTTTCCGGCTGGGGGGACGTGCAGTGTTGGATGCTGCTGATGTGATCTAGTAGGATAGGAGGTATACCTTCATACGCCGGGGCACCTAATGTTGCATATGGGATATTGGCGGCGGCAACAGCGCTTCTTACAGTGTGCATTCCCGATCCTGCCTAATCGGAGGAGCCCACGCTCCGCCCCTCGCTGCTTCTGAGCGCCGTCTTGTCCCGACGGCGTTGTTGGGGGACAGCCACATAAGTTTTAAATGTGCTGGACGGCGTATTGGATACATTTAATGGGGACTGGATACACACTTTGCTGCATTAATCGCAGGCGTAATGGCAGGTCGTGAAGAGGGCAGATGCGTTCTATCGTTTTACTACTTCTTCGGGAGCTTTTGTGCCGCACCTGTCGAACTGGCGCCACCTTTCGGTGGACCGCATCTCCGTGCGCCTGTACTAGAATGTGATGTTGCGTTGGTGGTTTCCCTAGTGGTTCTTCGGGCCCCAGCTTAGTCGCCGTGTCTGCTACTTAGCATTGATGGCCATGCCTGTCCGGTCAAACGCACAGGCGTTGTCGGGTTGTCCAGTTGTCGTCCGCGGGGTGGGCCCCGTTTCCGCCGGTTTCGGTATCGCTGTCGCCGGTGCGTCGCTCGGTCGGCATTTGTCGAGGACATAGCCGCCGCCGCGCTTTATCCGCTAACCACGCGCCTTCACGTCCTCTAGTCGCCTCGAAGCTAACCGTCGTGTGCACTTGTGTGTTCTGTCCAGTCACCGGTCGTTGTTGCGAGGCGGCCGTCGGCACTGGCGCCTTGAACGCTGTCTGCGGAGCCGCCACGAGGCCCGTCACCGCCGGGCCACGCGGATGTCAGAGGAGTCGTCATTTAGTCCAAAATACACCTAAACTACCATCTTTGTGTGTGGCTCTGCCCATGTACACCTGCCAAGGTTAGGGGGCGGGCGTCGCCTCTCGCTTTCGATCAGAGACGCATGAGTCCAGGCCTTTGCAGATTCTCCCCGTAGGTTCCAGTCCGATAAATGTCTCCCTCCAAATAGCCAACGATTTTTATCAATTTTTACTTCGTTTGGCCCGAAGCTACCTGACCTTTCGGTCATTTTATCTGTCATCCAGGAGTCATCACCCAGGTGCTATCGTACCCAGCGGCCTTTCTCCGAGAACTTCCCAGTTCTAGGATTATTGGGAGGGGTGAGCATTACTGGCACGGGGAGGTGGTGGATTTCATCCGTCAGGGACGCGCCACTGACAGACCGTACCCCCCCCCCCCCCCGGCACGTATGACACCGACACCCGGGCGTTTGCTCAGCCTTAGTGTTCATGGCACAACGCAACATACGAGTCCATCAGCATCGGCATCCCTTCCGCACCTCCTCCGACATGCTCCATCGATTATGCAATGCGGGTTATGTTGCTAGCAAAGGACGTTGTGCCGTGCCTTGCAAACAGCGCAGCATGTGGATTTCGTAAACAACCGGATCGGAGGCCTGACATGTGTACTTTTATTCCGCGACCTACGCGCCGCGCGCCTCTGGCCCCGATCCACGATGCGCTCAGCAATGCAAGATTTTAATTGCTCCCAATGGACGCTATATGACCGCGCAGTCGAAACGCCGTAAACCCCCAATTACTACTACTACTTCTTAGCCCCGTAAGCTGTTAAGGGCATGCGCGATGAATATTATATACAGAGGTGAGACGTAGCAACAGCCTTATTCCTCAGAGAAAAATGTAGGAGGGTGATGTATTTCCGCTTCTGCTTTTCGTTTCGCTAAAAGCATGATACCAAACTCTCAAGGCATCGATACCTCCATTCTCCGGTTTGTTCTCGGAGGAATAAGGCTATTACTACCGTCTAAATCCTTCGTTCGTTTACGAAGTGCACCACACTTCCCACATGACAAAAACCTAAAGGTTTGTGCTTGGCAAACTGATTTGCGCAGAAGCTCATTTTTCCTCGGCGCCCAAACGACTTTCGTCTCACGAAAGCCCCGGTTTCCGTAGACGTGACCCCCGCGAGCTAATCCATCACGGCTTGCATGAGCTGCTGGTGCATGCGACAAGCTTACGTAATTTCCCGTGCATAGCTTAGCCCTTGACTTTTTACTATCGCTTATTTTGGATCTAAGAAGTCAGCATGGTGTGCGTCGACTTTTGAAGGCGTCTTCACTGAGGCGCTGCTTATTTTAAATGCCATTTAATGCATTTCTCCTTTGGGAAGTTGTCCGGTACCTTCAATTCACCGTGTACTGGTGGTATGGCTGGTCGGCGGTATATTCTCCAGGATTTATTATTCAACTTTCTCACAATTCGTTTCCTGTGCAGGCCATCATACTACAGGCGCCATGTGTACGACAAAGCTCTAGGTAGCTCAGCCAATGGAAAGATCAATGGCAAATTCCCTAACGCGGACAATAATTACAATGATATTTGACGTGCAGCATGTAGCACCACACTCACGCGCACACCTGCACACGTCTGCACACCCCGGCTCGGTTGACCCTCGCACTGGCACCACCCTACAAATGATCAAAACGGCACGCGGCCCGGGCTGGGGCCGGCCGGCGCACGCCACAGTCGCGTGCTCCACCTGCGGCGGCGTGCTCGGTGCCGGCCGGTCCGGCGCGCCGCCGCTAGGAATGTGGCGGCGGACGACGCAGCTCGCTTCAGAGCAGCATCACATGGAATATAGGCGGGGGCGGGGTGGTCGCGCGGCCACCCATTACGCCTTGATGTAGAGGAAGATGGCCACGATGAGGCCGTACAGGCCGAGCACCTCGGCGAAAATGAGGATGAGGATCATGCCGACGAAGAGGCGCGGCTGCTGCGCCGTGCCGCGCACGCCCGCGTCGCCCACGATGCCGATGGCGAAGCCGGCCGCCAGCCCGCTCAGACCGACCGACAGGCCGGCGCCAAAGTGCACGAACCCGCTGTGGAGGAGACGTGGTCATCTCATCTGCAGTGTCAAGGGAGCCAGCCAGCTTCCGACTGGACACAGTCGCGCTGCGTCACGTGACACGCCTGCGCCACATGACACTCCTGCATCACGGGACACTTCTGCGCCACGTGACACTGCTGCGCCACGTGACACTCCTGCATCACGTTAAACGGCTCGAACATTCATGAGCTGGTGTCAACAATGACTCTAAAAGGACAGCATTTGTTGAGACCTTGAACATAATACAACATCGCTGAGACCTTGAACACAGTGAAGTGGCATTGATGCTTCATGCCCCAAGGAGGACTCACTGAATCTCCGACATTTTGCGTGCATCAGTGTCATCCATCCTTCTCGGAATGTCTCACGGTCCACAGCCCCTTTGAGCACATGCTGGCCAACCAGTGTACGGGTACCGGGACGCAGAACTCACGAGAAGAGCTCGTAGGTGGCTGGCTTGGTAATGCCACCAGCGATAAGCACGGCCACCACCAGACCATAGATGGCGAGGATACCAGCCATCACCACGGGGATGATGGACTTCATGATGAGCTCGGGCCGCATCACCGACATGGCCGCGATGCCAGTGCCCGACTTGGCTGTGCCATATGCGGCGCCCATCGCTGCAAAAACCCACATCAGGGTCAGCAATGACTGGCAGCACACATCATAAAACTCTGTCACCTGATACTGGGCTGGCACAGACAGTCATGGATCCCTCAGACAATCAGGGGCACCTAGCACGGTTTGTACACTGTGAGCAGGACTTCACATCATTGACAGAACACAAGAGCAAAGTTCGGGGGGCGCAGTCATCCCCCACAGGGTGTGGGGAGGGGATCATTTTTATGCCACATAACAACATTTTCTCTTGTATTTGCTTTTTAGACCTGTCCAGGGGATAAAATCCCTGAACCTATCAGCACTTTCAATTGCTGCAGGAAAGGAGAGACAAACAGAGGAGCTGCTCAAAGTTCCAAAACAATGTTCTCACTTCACCCACAGTCTTGTGTAGTCTTACCATATTCTATTTTCCTCATTGATCATGACTAGTGATTGTAACTTGAACATGAACTCATGAACAACAGTTAGACATATATATATATATATATATATATATATATATATATATATATATATATAAAGGTGTGTCATGGGGCCTCTTAACATTTTGCCGTTCTTGTTTAGATGCCAACTGGCCTGTGAGATATCATAACTGCCACAGAGCGGCATCCCTCAGCATTATATGATACAGGAAATATTCTCTCATGCTGTCTCAACACTTGCTGTTGAAATGGAACTGCCCTGATATGGTGCTAGATATCATGGTCTTCACATCCTGTCTGCATATCACTTATTACAATGTCTTATCTCAGAACCATCCTAAAAATGATCATTTTTCAATTGTTTCACAGAATAACTTAAGATGGCCTTCTCTCAGAACAGATGGTCCACAGGCTCTGCCAAATGACTGCTAAAAAATATTTCAGCACTCATCTTGAATGTTAAGAGACCCAGAACAGCAGCCTGACATGCTGCTATGCTTTATTCAGTTAATTATGCAGTCAAGGAACCAAACTTCATCAGATTTTGCACTAACGATATATCACTAACCCCCAGCTCACAAAGCATGACAGGGCTGTCAGAAAGATGTTTGATATATCAAAATGATGTCCCTAATATGTGGGCCTTCCACTCTTAATTACATCAACATTTCAGGATAACTTACAATAGATCACATCCCCATCACAATTAAGCCATACAGCACATAACAGAATCACTGCCCAACATTTTAAGCTTGTCCCAACTAGCATTATTTCTGTGATGCCCATTCTAACATGCGACCTTCACATCTAGGTGCCAGCTTTGGTTCCCCAAAATGTGCAAGCTCCTTGTCAAATCACACAGCTGAGAACTGTTCACCCTGATCCCTAGCTTAGTAGGTTACAACATCAATCAGGTGACACCACAGGGGAGGGAAGACTGCTCAATTAGATTGGACAAACATTAAGGCATGGCCAAACAAGAAGCAAGATGAGTCAAGGTGAGCCTGAGGAAATGCAAATTCCTATTTCAGAGCTTTATTGAGGGCCACATCTGGCCAAGCCAGAGGATCCACATTGCCTAGGCACCTTACCCTATTATCCAATGTGACTGCAATCCATGCAAACATTCCCTAATTCACACAAAGCAATTCACAAACATTGCCCAATTATACCACAAACTCTGCACAATGTCTTCAACTGAAAGGAAAGATCCAAGCACCACTTCTCCGGCCACAGGCTAACGGCAGGGACGAACAATAGGCAAGTTCACATACGGCGGTCCTTACCACTGAACACCATGGCTGAAGCAGCTCCCATGACGCCGAAAAAGGGGCCATAGATTGGTCTTTCGTCAGTCGACATGTTGTAGGTCTTGGAAATACTTTATGTGACGTGTCTTTAACGACCCAACCTACAGGCAGCCAGCACGGGGCACGACACAGCCACTTCCCAGCCGGTGCTGTCGGGAGATGGCCGAGTCTTGTGACACTCAATAGTCGGCGACGGGATGTATTTGTTCCAGCGGTTTTGATTCGTCAACGGCCCAAGTTTCGTCCTCCATAAACCAATCAGAGACCCTGTCACTCAGCACCGTGCCGATGACGTCCTCTGACGTCACAAAACTTGACTAGGAAAGTGGGATTTACTACGGTAAAGAGGACTAACGTTAGCTAGTTTATGCGATTGCGTAAGGGAAGCCACCCTAATTAGGCCTATGTTTAGCATGCCGTCTTGGGTTTAGCCTTGTTCCCTGTTTTCTCCCAACAGCTTTCGTCAAACTTCACCGACATACCCGTAAAAAACTGCGAAGAAGTAGCGTAAGCAAACGCTACGAAACTTTCTTTTTTCTGAATCGAATTTTTTCGGCTGTTGAAGCTAGTTTTGAAGTCCAGAAGCCTTATTTAGGTCAATTTGTGATACAACCGGCTTTCCGACAGTTTCCAGTACGGCCTAAACCTGCGCGGTTCACCCAAATTTGCGCGGTCCGGCCCGATGCTGATGAAGTCGTCCGAGAGATTGGAGGCAGCGTGACCGACAGGAAGGGTCATGTCTTCCCTTCCCAGATGCCTCGTGACCACACCTGACAACAGTGTCGACTCCTGTTCCGCCAAGGTTTGCCCCCTCCCTCCAAAAACCAACTGGAACCTGCAGCTTATTTGAAACACCACCGAGCTGTGGTGGCGCCCCGCCACCGAACCTGATCAGTGCGCGTTTTGTACAAATCACGCGCGGGGCAGTCCGTCTCATCAACCATAATCTCCAGATCGCGTTCAGACGGATTAAATCGCTTGCGTTGCAAGTAATGATATTCATGTGATTGCATGGGACACAAGTCCCAACATTTAGATCATAGTATGTCAATTTCCGACCAGATACTAAACAAATATTGATCTGTAAGACGAAATCAAACAACCATCACCAATTGGATGCGTATTTATGAACGACTACGGATCAACACTACATTCACCACCCTATGCTCATGTAATAACAGACTGCGTGCGGGACTTCTTCGCATCACGTTATCTTCGCGTTCACAGAAAGCGCAGAACAAACACTAGTACTGAAGACGTATACCATGTGGGACACGCTATGAGGACGTCACTTAAACCAGCTGGAATGAGTGATGTGCAAACCATGCAGCATCAGGCGAATGTCACAATTCCCACTTTATAGCTAAGATTGTATCATAAATTAATCGTCTATACCAAGTCATGCAAATTACAAAGGATACAAACCATCAACAAAATCAGGCGCATCCAACAGAATGAACTTATCCCTCAAAGCGAGAGAACATGAAATGATGATCATTCACTCAGCCTCACTGCAAAACGCATCTAAAAACCAAAGACACGTGAGCAGGGTGACTTAGGGAACCGTAAGGCCACCTATCAGGTCAGTCACACGCAAACACACTCGTAACAAAGCCACGCGCCCCACACAAGCATCACTAAAATAGAGCCATCGCCGAGGCACGCCGGTCATCAAAATCACTACCCCTCATAAAACACTGCGACCGGGCCAGGCGCCGGGAAAACCAGGTTACGCATCACCCCCGGGCGCCGGGCGCCAGGCGCGATGCCGACCACGCCGAGAGCTCCACCAATCGCCACAGCGCACGCCGCGACCGCCGGCCGCGTGACCAGCGCGGCCGAGCGCCCTCACGCCTGGGCGGCCAGCTGCGCCAGGCTCTGGGCGAAGTTGTGCAGCACGCGGTGCCAGAGCGCCGGGTCGTGCAGGTACGCCGGGTGCCCGCCGCCGGGGATCACCGCCACCGTCGACGTCGGGATGGCCGAGAGCGCGCGCTGCGACGCGGCGCCCAGGCCGCGGTCTTCTGAGCCGTACACGATGGCGGTCGGCACCTGCCGGCACGGGGTGGCGTCAGGCGGCCGGCGGGTTACATGCGGCGGCGTCAGGCGGCTGGCGGACCGCACGCGGCAGCGGACCCTACCCGGGAATAGCCGACATCGCCACACACGGACGGTCAGTGACTCGACGACGAATGGCATGCACCGACACGTTGCAGCCACCGTGCGTGAGGGCTATGGCTAAAGGCCGATTTTTTGCAAGCTAATCGAATGCCCACACATATGTTAACGCAAACGATTTTTTGCTCAGCAGTTTGGCGAGCAACTTTTGCAGGTGTAGTGATAAGGATCGTTCCACTTTTGTATGGGGTTTGAAATGAGACAGACATTTTCTCAAATCCTTCCATGCAGTTCACAGCCATGCTCTTTTTAACGCTTCAAATCCTTTCGTTTCTAAGCTAGGCGCATGCGAACTTGTACATATTTTTCGCGACACCTAGTTTAAAAGCACCCAGAGATGCATGACGTCGAAAAAACGTCACAAGAATTCCGCCTCCTCCAAGGCCATATTGTGTTCAAGGTCAACAAACGCAAGGCCAATGATCTTTCCGTGCCTGAATTGCGGCAGCACGCATTGTCGCATCATAGGACACCAGTTAGCTTTCAACAAGCCTAACGCGTTAAATGCAAATCTCGAAAGGCGTTTCGTGACTTGTGTGCATAACACAGACTTTTGGGCAGATCTACTAATCGTAACAGACATGAGACTGGGAATCGAATAGCTTAAGAAAAGCGCCCGACAGAAGAATGCAAATACAAGTAAAAAACACGCTATCACGGAAAAATATAAAAGAACACCACGAGAAAGGGCCAAAACACGCGTACATCACAATGGTCGTTTTTTGCTTATAATTCACGAAACACCTTGCGGCGAATTGAAGTACTATAAGTAGGTCAGCCAACGCCAAAATTCGCAATTCTGACAGGGCTAGTCTGACAGCGACTCTGACGCCACAAAACTGTGCCATGGCTTAATCAAACGATGACGTTTCGAGGGTCATATTAACTGACTAGTAACACCGCGTTATCTAGAACGGTCTTTTGCAGTGAAAGGCGTACCAATAGTCACAAGTGAGCTTGTTCCGTCTTATCTCATGCCTGCCACAATATCTTCAAATGTGAAACATTACTTTGACAGTTAAACAGCCACAACAGGCATTAGAGCTTACAGAGTCATGGTACACACCCGACCGAGACAGATTACAGTACCGGAAGTAAAAATACCCACTCGCCGGTTTCCGTCCCAACTGGCGGCGTATTGCACCACGATGCACTTGGAAATCGAGCTGTCGTCCAGGCCACACGACGATAAGGTTCCACCACCCATTCCACAGGTCCCACCCCAACAACCACTACGGGTGCCAACCGTGGGGGTGGAAACAGTGTAGTGGTTAAAGCGTCTGCATTCACCACTGCGTGTCTGGGAAACCAGGGGTTCGATACCCCGCGGTGCCCGCCCTTCCTGCCACGGTGAGAGACAGGCGACGCCATACAGTCTCAGCAGCTGAGAGCGTCATAAAGCCCTTATGACGACGACGGCGCCCGCCGCGGCCGCACGACGGCGCCACCGTCGCGGCCGGCGGGTGACGGCCGGCCCGCAGACGGTCGGCCGCGTACCCGGATGGCGCGCAGCTGCTCAGCTGAAAGCTTCTCGGTGCCGACCGGCGCCACGGGCACGAAGCCGGCCAGCCAGCCGGGCTGCTCGGCCAGCAGCGGCAGCGAGAACTCGCCCGACAGCGAGGGCGACACGAGCACTGTGCGCCCGCTCAGGCCCAGCGCGCTGCGCACGGCCGCCAGGAAGCCGGCGCGGCTGGCGTCGGCCGGCAGGCTGCCGCGCGACCGCGATTTGGAGAAGCCTGCCGGCGAGAAGGGCGGCGTGACACGCGGCGGCGCGTGCAATGGAGGGCAGAGGCGAGGCGGCGGACACACGCAGCACCGACTCACGCACTGCAGAGTGCACAGCGTGAGGCTCGTCCGGACGGGTGGGATCGGGATGGATGGGCGAGTGGTGAAACACCTCGCAATCCGCCATGGCCGGCACTACCACACAGGATCTGGCGCGGTTGCTCTCACATCATGGAGAATGATTAAACAATGATATTATCGCATTGTGTGATCGAGACGCATTTGCGAGACGTTTCTGTCCCTCTTCCACATTTGCAGTGAGTTTCCGCACCCTTGTATAGACGTGAGGATGGTTCAGCCACGTGGCAGCACATGCTGGGACCACAAGACAGCACAGCAACGACACTAAGGGACAACAACGACGAACACAACAAGGCAACAATAAGTGAATACAAGACACATCCTTTTGGATACTTGTACTGGACATGGCAGTAACTAATGCAGTGACGGCGGCACCGCACGTCCCGACCGGGCCTGCGCATGCGCCGTACCGGCGCCAGGCAGGTCGATGGCCACGGCCGTGTAGCCGAGCGCAGCCAGCGTGCGCAGCGTCTTCATCTCCTGCCACGTGGCCGACGAGAAGCGGGAGCCGTGCAGCAGCAGGAATGTCAAGCCGTCCGCCGGCGGCGCCTCGGGCAGTGCCACCGCGTAGTGCACGTCCACACCCTGCAGGAGGAAGAGGTCAGACGAGGCCCATCAGCCACCGGCATGGGCCTCGACGGGGGCGTGCGGTCGGAGCTGCAGCGAGGGTGAGACCCAGCGCCGTGATCGGCCGCTTGTTGGCGGATGAGCCCTTCCGTGGTCCTCCGAAACCGTTTCTCTTGTCAATCCTCATCCTGCTACCAGACAGATAAGGAGATATGGGCAACAGTTTCGTGCCCAGAACGCGCACAACTCAATCAGATCAGGTAGATATCAATGCTCGCGATGTTCTTCTCCGCGCTGCTGTTTAAAAGCGCAGTGCTTTGCCGCATGTACACCACTTGGTACAAAATCTCCAAATTTCATGGGGTAGAGGAAGTCACGAAACATTAAAATTAGTTAACAAGCACTCACCTGAACCGAGACTTCTCCGGTTTTCACCGTAATCTCGTCCACACTGAGGCTGGGCAGCTGGCCAACAGTGAGGTCGATGGCAGCGCTCCTAGCGGCGCCAGCCCGAGACTCAACGCGTCCCGACGACGCCACGCCGTCATTCACGCCAGCCATGATGATGGGCGACTTTTTCCCGGCAGCCAGAAGGCGCTCATATAAGCTGTTGCCCTTGATGATCGTGCGTGGCGGAAACGAGAACTGCGCCTGTGGAATGGTACTGCTTAGATGGAAACGCCACACTTAGATAGCTGCATCACCTAAAGTGCATAACCGAGCGAGTCTTACATGAACTGAACATTACTTTTTTCAAACTCAGGGGCGTGGCTTGGTTCGGCCACCACGCTTTGTGGAAGCTTATTGCTTTGCAGCCACTGATCACAGGTTTATACAGTTTCCGGCAAAAACAAGTGCCGTTTTTTTAAAAGCTGTGCGGGATATATTGTTGACCATTTGTGCATGAGTTGTCTCATCAGTGAAGCTTTCCCTGCAACAATGCAAAATTACTATTTCACCTTCCCATTCCTTAACACCTTGACCTACTTGTTACAAATCCTGAAGAACACAGGTCAAAACCGCATCCAGATTTTGACAATGTGGCGTTGCAGCGACGCAAGATTGACATATTCTCTTGCAAGGTAAAGCTGACAATCGTAATGACAGAAGTGTAAGTCAATAGGCATACAGATAGATGGCCACATGCTGCCATGGGAAAAGCATGGACCTGCCCAGCTTACTATGATTTTAAGTGGCTCATGTCAGATCTCAGCAAATGGAGCAGATCACAACATGAAAGCCTGAGTACTGTAACTTCAAAATGGAGTGAAACTAACCACATGAGTGTGAACAGACAGAATTGGGCTCCATAACCAGCCTTGCAATTATTATATGGGTCTACCATGGACTGGAAATGACAAGCATCACTACTTACAAAATGGACCTTGACAAAATGGCCTCTACTATTGACCATGGAAATTTAATGGGTGTGTAGTGCTGACCACTGTAAATGTTATCATCAGAAAAATATCCACAGTTTCCAAACAGGTGCATAGTATCCATTCCAAAACTCATTACAATCTTAGCAATTTTATTGCTGATATTTCCAGATATGCCTACCTTAAACCTTTACTGCAAATGTTATGCTTATTATTGAACTGTTGGTCTCACACTGGAAAGCTTAACATGCTGGTATTAACTAGGAGGATAGTACCACATAATAATGGTGATAGCATAAGAATGTCAACTTTGTGAGAAAAGTAGCTTAGTAGAGGATCAGCTATAGCTCATTGACCACAGTCTTATTGTAAACCTGAATAATTAAGATGATTTAAATTGACAATTATACCTACAGCATAATTGTGCTGCATCATAACTACACAAGAGTTGCCCACTTTCATGAGCCACCACAATACTTGGGGAGATCACTCCTAAGATCTAAATGTCCAGAACTCCACTTAACCCATATCATGGTTCTATGTAAAATTGGTGCCTGTTATCAGTCAACCAGGTACATTCTATATAGATTGATAGTAAGTCATCATCTGTCTGTCAAAAAAATGCATGAGCCAAACTGTATTGAAATTGAAGTATATCATTTTTAAGTATGTTTGTTTAAGTATATTATTTTAACTACAAAATATACCTGTGACACATACACAATGCATACAAGCCTTCCTCAGGCTGCCTGAGTCAGGCACACCCAACATCTGAGAAGGTAGCAGGCAATGCTATTGCTGTTATCTTGCTAACTTGCCAATGTTTTACTAACTTAATGTTTTACTCAACTTCATATTTCAGCATATACATAAGCAGCTACACATGCATCATATTCAGCCACCTATAGGAGGCCACACATGCATGCACACACATGCATCTAAATATATATATAGCTATTTATACCTAAAAATGGCTGGACTCCCATGACATTATACCTAAAAATGGCTGGACTCCCATGACACTGTTTACTTAATGGTTGCCCTCATAAGTTAATTTATTTCAAAGCTACATTGATCTACACCTCTGCAAGTCACATACACCAACTCAATGTTCATATACAAGCCATGTTTATTCTTAGACCCAATGAACTGACAGGCGCTCTGAAGGATCCAAAAAGGAACACATTTAATGGGGAAGGGCTTAATATTTTCTGTAAAGGCACTTATCCTGGCAGCACAACACTGATTGGTTCTCAAGCAACGCATTGGAGTGCAGGATCAGGACGCAGGTAAGTTTTCAGTTGCATTGCATTACGTGATAACCCCACCAATCCCGGTAAACATTATTAACGCCTACCCTCCTGCGTGCCCGGGGTATATCTTTGAATGCACCCAAACAGAACATTGGTTCCGGTGCATTCTACATGTCTTTGGCGCGTCAATATGACCGCGGCGAGAATATACCATATAGGGTGGATTGTTTCCAAATTCCTTTATGCAGCATATTGGTTTCGAAAAACGCCGAATCTGAACTAATGCGGTTCCCTTTCAGGGAGAACAAAGAGGGGCAGTAGTGCTTCCCTAATTTGCAAAAAGGGAGGAATTTTGTAGATGTAAGGCTTTCTCATCATGCTTCTTTACATCAGGAAATCAGGCACCTTTACTACACGACGAGCACTTCGGGCCAGCCCTCAAAACTGTGCTCCGGTCCCCCCTGGTCCCGGCCAGGGATGGTGATGCCGTGAGGGACGTAGGAACACGTCCGCTGTAACTTTCAAGACTTGGGGGCCTTCCGCACAACATCCGAGACCCGCAAAAGTTCAACGCTTGTGCGCGAGTTCTGGTGAAGTTAGTAAAACCACATCTCACACAAAACGTGACATGCCCTTCTTATTTGACGCAGCTCTTCAGGGATATTTCCTAGAGGGGGGAGAGGAGTTAGGAGCACCGGGGGCACTTGCTCCTATGAAATACTAACAGGCAAAAATATGCACGTAGCAATGTTGGCGATTAAAAATCGAGATGGACACGTAAGTATAAGTGGATTAAATACATGCCACGCCATTATATTAGCGTGCAATAAATATCGCGCGGAGGTATCTAAATGAAAACTTCCTTCATCCTGCCCGCCATTATGAAATCCTTTACCTGCTCCAGCGACTTAACAA